TTATTGCAGAATCTGCGCAGAGGGACAGCCAGTGGAATAGCTTCCAAAGACTGGCCGCCCCCTATTGTCTTCCAAGCATTCTTATACTGAAGCTGCAAGCTTGGCCCCCAGTTGCTCCCCAATCAACAGGCAGAGATACACTTTATTACCTTATTGGGCTAGCTAAGCCCTCCTCCCCCACCTTTGCATATTGTTTGCTTCGCTTTATAAATGTTTGCATCTTTGCACAGCTGAGGCAGGAAGCTAGCTCACCACAACTGAAGCAGACAGGAAAACCACTACCGGCCTCCCGAGCTAAACCTGCATAGCTAGAAGCAATTGTTAGCTGGAGCGCTAAAACACGATGGAGTTTTACCTTCCCCCACCTCTTCACTCCTCTCCCTTCACTTCCAGTCCAGTCGGTGTCTGTATCTTGGACTAGTGGTGGCACCATCTTGTCCTTCACTTCAGACAACAAAACCTCTTGGGCCATCCAAGGGTCTGCCAGGGTTGTTTTAGGTGTAGGGCATGGTGCCTGGGATCTGGGCTTTGTGACCATTCAGTTTGTGACTCCATGGCTTAAAAAAGCCATTGGGAAACTCAGTTGGCCTTATATCTGAGAAAACAAACACTCAAGATCCTAATCAGGCAGAGCAAACCCTAACCATGGCTGGGAAACAGCAGGGAGAAGGTGGATGGGGACACTCTCCCCTCCCGATTTATCACTGAGGGGCCCAAGGAGCAATCCCCTCAGTGAATCCTCAGGGGTTTGGATTCACTTTATGCCCGAGTGCCGTTAAACACATAGAAACAGGGCCTATTAAAGAAGAAGCTGGCAACCCTACTCACTGTAATTCTCATGGGGGGGGGAATGGTAAGGCATGAAGGAAAGCAGGACACCAACTTTGCTGCTGCTAACTGACTATGTGCACAAATTGTTTGAGCACTCCTGGAGTCAGGTAATCTAAACAACATTACTCCATGAAAAAGAAGGATTCATTTGTGGAACCTCCTGGTGAGAGTTCTACCCTTGAAAAAAGTGGCCTGCCAAAAAAGATTTTTTAAAAAGAATAGAAAAGAAAAAAAGCCAAGCGCATGTACATTAGTTTTCCCTGTTTTTTTCTGTCAGTGGGTGGGGGTGGGAGGAAACAACAGGAACCCCAAGCAAATTACAAGAGGCAGAAAAACTTTTCTGTGCTCTATTAATGGTCAGATGTTCCTTGGGTGGCCTCTGCATAGCTTAGCATCTTCTGCTTAGCATCTCCAAAGCCAGAGCGAGCCACACAAAGTTATACACCAAGGGTTGCTTTAATCTTGGATAACTGCTCAGCTCAACTCTGTCCCATGAGATAGCTTAAAGAATACAACAGTTAAAACTTGCTGATGTACAAACCAATAGGCATCAGAGGGCAGAATTCAGCTGCTGCTTGCACAGATTGATTCCACTCATGCAACAGGACTTTCCTCCCTCTCTGCCCTCTGTGCTGCCTAAATCTGCTCTGGAGAATTGGGGGAAATCCCAGAACAGATTTAGGGGGCATGCAGGGGAAGGAGGAGGGGAAATCTCATTGCACAAGCAGACCTTGTTCCCTGGACATATATCCCACTTAGTGGTACATTGAATTCCACCCAGAGTGATCTCTGTGATCTCAAGATACATTTTCTGTGTTCACCCTTAGTGGCAGAATTGTTTGTGTTTGTGCAGTAGGAACATTCGTATTTGGGGTGCCTTCATGTTCTAGGAATTGCTTGGAGCAAAGTAAAACAATTCAATTACTGCAAGCAATTTTGCACATGGACAGATATTGCAGCATGGGAGCAAGAACAGATTTGATGCATTCACAGGATGGGCCTTTGGCAAATAATGGCAGATGGGTTATATGGCCAGTGAATGCATACAGTAATGCTTAATCTCTATGTCCGGGAGGTAAGTCAGTTACCTGCTCCAGATGGGTTTGCACTCTCTTTGAAGGAACAGGTATATAGTCTGGGGCTGCTCCTGGGTCTGTCTTTGTCATCTGATGCACAGGTGGCCTCGGTGGCTAGGAGTGCCTTTTACTAGCATCAGCTGGTAAAACAACTGCAGTCATTCTTGGACCAAAATAGTTTGGCCACGGTAATCTTGGCATTGGTAACCTCAATAATTTATTACTGCAACACGCTCTATGTGGGGTTTCCGTTGGGCTTATCCTAGAAGCTGCAGCTAAATTGTTGACTGGGGCACCCCAATGACACCATATAACTCCTCTGCTGAGGGAGCCGCACTGTTTGCCAGTATCCCACTGCCTGCAGCTCAAGGTTTTGTATTTAGTATTTAAAGCCCCACACAGCTTGGGACCAGGATATCCAAGGGACCAATATATCCCTGCTGGGCAACAGCAGCCCTCAGGTGGGGAGCTGCTGAGAGTACCATATGCTCCTGTGATGCACTTAGCCTGTACTAGTGATTTTAGTGCTTTAGCTGCAGCTCTCTGGAATCAATTACCAGCCAAAATCAGACAGCCACGTAGCATGATGTTTAGGCACCTACTGAATAAATTTTTGTTTAACAAGGCTTTCCTGGAATATCAATTTTATGTCTGAAGATTTTTTTAGAGTTTACTGTTTAGAGTTTATTGTTTTTAGAGTTTGCTGAATTGATTTTATTATTTTCAGAGCTTGAGCTTTTTTTTTTTATCTTGTACACAGCTCTGATGGCCCTACAGATTTGTTTATTATCATATTGCAGGGGGTTGGACGTTATGACTTGGGGTCCCTTCCAACTCCACAATTCTACAATATCATACTATATTATATGATATTATATTCATTATCAGCATCACCAGGAAAATAACGAGAAAAGGGAATAAAGGGAAATCTAAATACTGAAAAGAAGAAAGCAACACAAGGAGGAATAATGTCTGCAGGAAAACCAAGCCTACCAACTTGGTAGATGGAGATTTAATAGCTGTGACAAGTTGGCAATTCTGTTATATCATTAAGGCTGATTTGGGAGGCCTTGATTGTGAAAAAGAAGAAGCAGGAAAGGAGGGCAATAAAAGGTTATTGTATGTGGTGGCAATTGAAAATCATTAAAAAGGCCTGGGAGAAGATATACAAAGATTGGAAAGGACTGTGGAAAATGACTGTTGTTAAAAAAATTGAAGTTATAATATTGAGATGTACAGGTTTTGTTGGACTTATTGAACAGAAGACTTTGTTCCTGTACTCAAGTATGGACGCCAGGCCAAGACCAGCCAGCCCCTACAGAAGGAAGAAGCCTCTGCCAAAGAAGATAAAGAAGACTGGCAAAATAAGCTATTGAATTACACAGGACAAACTAGTTAACTTGAAACCCAAAAAAGAAAGAAAGAAAGAGGACTTTGAATTTTTTTAAAAGGGATAAATGTTGAATGCATAGCTTTAAAGCTTTGTGTATAGATTTCTACATTATTATGACTTTCAAAACTCACTTGTAATAAGATGAAATAAGTTTAAAATTGAAATATTAAGAGTATAAGGTTTCAGTACGTGTGTGAATGAATATTAAGCATTGAAACCAAGAAGGGGAGGGGAGGGAAGTCAACCAAAATTATGGTTTTAAAATTTGTTGATGGTGTTTTTGTTGTTACTTTTGGAAAATTTAATAAATTGTTATTTAAAAAAATGATATAATTAAGGCTGCCATCCTAGTCACATTTACATGGGAGTAAGCCCCACTGAACTCAACAGGGCTTCCTTCTGCATGGTCATGCATAGAACTGCCATGAAAGTTAACAGAAATCATACTTTTTTCTGATATGCACTGGAAGTTGCAGAACCTCTTTGTCAGTAGCTGACTACCTCTCTTCTATTTTCAAAGGATAGATATTATTTTTTTGGTGCCTGGGTCAATACAGTATGTTGAAACATAAACTCTGAGGCCTGCTGGCCAAGGGAAACTTCAAGGTCTCTAAAGGCCCCCACCCCCTGGCAGTGTGGAAGTTTAGGGAATAATAAACATGTAATAAAGGTATAGGGATGAAGTAGAATTGGATTGAAGTAGATTGAAGTAGAGTTGAACCATGTTGATTGAATTCATGGGTGGAAGTTTGCTGCCACCTGCTGCTTAAACCTAAGAAAAAAATGTCCAGATTAGTATAGTACTTTGTTGTAATAAGAGATCCACCAATTAATGTGTTTCATAATAAACTACAGTGAAAATGCCTGTGCACTTTCTGGGGTGTTAATGCTGTGAGCCCATCCATCATAGGCTCGGGTTGTATATATGTGTAAATGAACCATATATCCCAAAGACACTACAATCTTCGCTGTCCCTCATTCCAAGGAAACCAAACCCTGAGTAAGTGCCTGGAACTCCTGGAATCTCACACAGTTTGGAGATTGGGGTGGCATGCAACAATATTATACAAGACTAATCTGTAAGACAGAGGGAACCTGTGGCCTTCCAGAGGTTGTTGGACTATGGCTTTCATCACCCTTGACAATTGGGCCTTGGCAGCTGGGGCTGATGAATATTGGACTCCAATCACACTGGGAGGGCACCAGTGCTATTCTAGAAAAAGAGGGACCAGAAGTTGCCATGAATGCCTCCCTTGTTCTCTTATAATGGCAATGGCGCCCACCTGAGAGGTGCCAGAACTGAGTTTCGGTTGGGGGAAAAAAAGCCTTGGAGGGCACCAGAGTCCCCACAACTGATGAAGAAGTATAGAAGCTCTATGCTTTCTCACGCTTCTCTCCAGGTAATAATGATAACAGACATTTTTCATAATCACCACAGCAAATTGATGTACATCCCAAGCCTATACATGCTTACTCAGAAGCATCAATGAGTTTGACAGAATTTATTCTCAAATAGCTGTGCATTTGTCTGCAGTCATATTTTATTAATGGGGTGAGCATTCATAAACAGTGGGTTTAAAAACAGAGAGAGAATAAATTATCTCTTGATTATTTCTACTAAGAAACCTTGAAACATTTGATTGAGGGAACACAAATGTGTTTTCACAGACATAAGCAGAGAGAGAGGGAGAGCAGCTGTTGGATTGGATCCCACACATTCAGGAGCGGTTTTGCAAGGCCTAAAAACGGAAACACTGCCTGTCAAGAAGCTAAATTTATTTGATCTCAATTGAGTCAGAAGCTGTTTGGAGCCTGTGAAGTAAATGTAATCTGATGAAGACTTCCATGCTTTCATCAAGCTTTTACATTTCTTCCTCAGTTTCTCAATTTTGCCTCAAAAATAGAGGTAAAATTGACACAGGGCTAACAGAGGCATAAAATAGAGCTGAAGTACACGCTGAGGAACCTGAGGTGTCTGGGAGGAACCCCCATGTTCATGAGGCCATTACAAAACAACAACAACAACAACAAAGTGCACACTGGGAATATCCTGTTTACTTTTCTGCCCCAGTGAAAGTGCATGGGAAACTCCTGTCATGTTTATGTGACTGGGATGCAAACCTCTCTTGCTGAGGGCGGATGGAGGCAGCAGAGGTGGAGGCAGCTACCTGAGGGCCTCAGCAGAGCAAAGGTACGTGAGGGGAGTGAAATTGCACCGCAGGAGAAGGAAGAACCATAAGGAAACAACACTTAAGGTCAGAGGGATACTGACAGAAAGAGAGGTAGAAACAAAGCAGAGGATTAGACAAATTCATGCAGGGTAGTCCTATCAGGGGCTACAGGCCATGATGGCTATCTCCTACCTTCACTGTTGGAGGCAGCATGCTTCCAGTCGCTGGAAACCATGGGACGGGAGAGGGCTCTTGAGAAGGTCCTGGTTGCCAGTTTCTCACAGGCATCTGGTTGGCCTGCAGGCTCTTCTTATGTACTTAAATAAACTAGGCCTACTGAGGAGCCAGTGTGTGTGGAGAGTGGGTAAGAAGATGGACAACCTTTTATTTTATTTAACACACACACCCCTTCCCTATACAGAATTGCCTTCAGATGGCTCGGGGGTCAGGTAACTCCATATGCTCCAACATTTCTCCAATGAAAATAGGGACATCCTAAAGAAAAGTGGGACATTCCAGGATCAAATCAGAAACCGGGATGGCTCCTCTAAATCAGGGACATCCCTGGATGATAAACAGAAAGCTGCCAATGGCTGGGGAAAATATCAGTTGTTAATAAAGACACACTCTGGAGTGCTGGATTTTGCCCATTGTTTCAAGCTAGGGTGGTTAGTCCTTTTGACTTTGGGTGGTGTAACTTTTCATTCTGTGAATTAAGCCTTGAAATTCATGCTCATTGATGGGGCATTTAATAGGGGCATATATTTGATTGAATTAAGATACGAATCATAGAGGGGGAAACAGGCTCAATGCTGAGGTATATCAGTGAATGCTATCTTCAGTTGCATTAATTCCCAACATTTGTATTTCAATAAACTTCCATTTGTTTCAGTGAGGGGAATAAAATACAGATCTTGCTAGTTAGCTGTATGGTAATTAATGACTCCATACAATCAGCAGAGCAGCAGGTAGAGCAAATTTGGAAGCATGAGACCAGTGCACAAACCTTTAGCCTTTCCAGTGGCCTTCCACCCATCTTGATTGAGGCTCCTAAAATTTAAGGATTCCATCAGTGAACTTGTTTGGAAAGAATACAGGGAGATTTCCAAAATCTTTATGCATCCAGCAGCTTTCATCATGTCACTAAGGATTAAAAATGCAAGGGATTTCAGTGCACTAAGTAAATGGGAGCATGTTACAATATACAACAACCGGAGATCTAAAGGGAAGTCCTGTGGAATAATCCAAACCAGGTGCAAATAATGACAAGGTATTCCCGCCCCCCACCCAGTAATGATTTTCACACAAAGTGACAGGAGACACCACAAGTGGGGGCAATTCTACGATTTTCTTTTTAAAAACTTCACATATGGTCTTCACATAAGTAATCAGAGACAATCCTGAGAAAGCAATGTGGCTCATTGGTTCCAATGGATAAATTTAAAAATGTATATAACATGAGCATGCATACATCTGGCAAGATCATGCCCAAGGTCATTGTGTTCAGGTATCAAAAGGTGCCTAGACAGGTCAGAAATGTCATACAACCTGTTCAGCAGCTTTAGGCTTACTGGCTTGGATCAGTAAACAATAGGGTTGCCATAATTTCTTTCAGTCTTAAGTTCAGTTCTCTACATTTCCAAATCAGTTTGTGATTTATGTTTTTTAAGTCCTCATGAAAATTCACCAGCATTTTGGTGTGGTACGTGTTTACTGAGATACATGTTACACTTCAACCTAAACAGAACAATTCCCCCCTCTATTATTATGCATTGTGTATGTTATTTTCACTAATAAATATATTTTTATGCACATCCTACCCCAGGACATGCATTTTGTATGCATTATTTGGCCGGAGAACTGCACTGTAAAATTCATTGAATTTCAGGTTTCAAAGGATGACTGTGTTTTGGTTCACCTAGTGCTTTGGAAAGGTAAGTTTTACCTTTAAATGCTGATTGAATCAAATTGTTCCCCCATCCCTAGCTGTTAGTCTTGGTCCACAGCTTATCTGTCCCTCTCTTACCTCTTCTGGAACCTGGAAGGTAAGGGGACAGGTTTGTTTCACAGTCTCAGGGCCAAGCCTTGGATGTCCAGAAGCAGCCTCAAGGACCAGTAAACATTATGCATCAAACTGGAAACACCAAAGCATGAGAGGTAAAATTTGTCAAAGCAAATCTGCCCGAAAACTAATTCTCACTAGTGTAAATAGAAATGGATTGAGAGCATGGAAGCAAGCAGAGGAAGGATATTTCTCATGTTGTAAATATTGGAAAGAAAGTGTTGCTATTGTCCAGTGTATTTTGCAAAGATGGTTATGGGACTGAGAACTGAAGGAAAACATTTAAGTGCACCATGTTGATGGATATTATAGCTGAATAACCAGGCAGCATTTCTGTGGACTGGCAAGTATCCAAACATGTCCCAAGACTCCTCAGATTAGCAGTAAGCACTCATACACATCTTGGAGTGACATTAGTTTAAATGACAACAGGAAATACATTAGATAGATGAGAATCCTTGAACTTTAGCATCACCTGGGAATGTATATAAAGCAGCAAATTATTTGAGAGGCTGATAGAAAGCATGGCTGTTGGATCATTCAGTGAGCTGGGAGGATTTCCTGAAGAAGCAACATGAGAAATATAGCGTACCAGCACCAGTTTATCAACCCCATACGCTGTGGGGTGGATGTCAAATGCTGGAAAAACTGTCTGCGGACAAACGTCAGCTCCCTCGGCCAGTAAAGCGAGATGAGCGCCGCAACCCCAGAGTCGTTCGTGATTGGACTTCTGTCAGGGGTCCTTTACCTTTTTATTCTTTAAAGCATTCCATAAAGAAACTTATAAGTTCTTGTTGAATCCCACATATAATTGTATATCCCATATATGAATCCCATATATAATTGTAATTCATTCAGTGAAGACTTGCCAACTCATAGCACAGCAAATATAATGTAAATATAACGTGAAAAGAGAAAAAGGCTCCTTTTCCCTTACGTAGCATTCCAATTACGATGAGAGTCCTCTCCAGATCAAAACCTTGGCACTCAGTGGCTGATTCATTTAGCAGGTTATCTTTCTCCTTCATCCAGAACATGTCTGTTTCTTAAGTCCAAATTCAGATCCTTCTTAAAAGAAACAGAAGTACCTCTGCTCATGGCGACCGCATTGGGGAGTTTCCAATATTTACAGTGCTATGTACTCTGTAGCCTCCGCTTTCCATCGGAACAAGAGGTAGTTATCGAACGATCCATAAGTGAAAGTTGTAAGGATAATTACTCCCAGATTATCCTTAATTAACTGCATGGCTGGCATCCGCTATCGTGGGATCTGCTGTTGGCAGCACTGGAAGTCCTCTCATTGGGGGACTTTGGGCCAGTGATCCCGGGAGCATGCAGGTATTAAATTGTGTCCCTCCAACCGTACCAGTAGGCAACCCATTTCAGCAAAAAATATATGATGATAATAGGAGGGGAAATGTCCTAGTGTGGATCTGAACCAATGATTCCATGATCAGATGTGTTTGTGCATTATTAGAATGGAGCTTTAGCATTGGCCACTGCCTTTACTTGCTTCTGTGCATTTCTTGCATATTAGAGCCACATGGGACTCTACCTCAGTCTTCATGGATTGGCTGCTTCCATGTCCATGTGGCATGTGGGCTTCATTGCTGGTCCAACCACTGATTGGTGGGCTGCAACAGTGTCTCCAGGGATGCTGGGGACATAACATTTTCTGTATTTTCTATTTTTCATTTTCCCACCTGGGCTGAGCACACAGTGGATACGGTGACCATCCCACAAGTGTAGTGACAGCGTAACTCCAGACCCAAAGGAATGTGAGTAGAGGATTGCTGTGCCCATAGAGAAGCTGAGCAGGGCTGCGGCAGACTCTTAGTGAAGACCCATGACCTTCCGACTTCAATTGAAGCCGGTAGATGAGTTCATTGTGCAGGTATTTACACACGTATCCATGCAATCCCCCTGCCCAGTGGCAATACACACAGAGATCCTCCAGTAGGAAGATATACATTATTATACATTTTACATTTTTAATATTTTAACATTTAACATTTATCAACCCATTGCAGTTGGTTAACATTCTTTAAATGAGTTATATTTCCAAAAGATGTTGTTGATAGGTAATCTTCTCGTGAAGAGAAGCCAAGGCAATCAAGAAGAGGAGGGGATGGGGTAGAACCTCAAGTATCCAGACTCTAGGCCAGCTGCTTTGCTTCTTTTTCTTACCCTGTGAAAAGTTTGAAATTGTTTAAATAGTTGTCCCCCCCCCGCCACCCCCTTGCCATCCTTGCATTCAAGCCCATGTCAAAAGTTCACTGTGTAATTATGATGCCAAGAGGTGAATAATAGTTGAAATTCCTTGTATCAGACTACCCTGCCACAGGATCTGAGTGAATCCTGTTGACTTCAATTACTGCCCAGGAAAGAGGATGGGTCTTCGAAGGGAAGCACACATTCTTCTAAGCTCTTCAGGCAAAAGAAATTATTCAAGAGGCAACGGCACCCCCAAACAAGCAGCTGCAGCTCACACTTGACATATGCGGGTCATACCCAGTAGTGACAAATGTTGGTGTAAAGTTACTGATGATTTGCACACCGGCTGGGAAGCATGTAATTTAGCCCGCCGTGGTAATTTAGGAAGTCATAAACTGGTGGTGTTTGAATAGGGCAGATGAGTGGAGTGACGGGGTGTCGTAGATTAGGGTAGCCCACTGAATGCAAGACAGGAAAACAACCAGTCATGAAAGTGAGAGGGTACAGTTTGGTAGGGACAGTGCAGTACTTTTTTTCTGGGGGGACGCAGGGGGACGCATACCCCTAAACATTTTGTGAATCTAAGTTTGGCCTCATTGAGGGACAGTATTTCAATTATGAGTAGGAAAATGAATGTGTCCCTAAACATTTTTTGGGGGGGTGGGGGGGAGCACAGGGACAGTGTATCCACATATGGATTAAAGATTATGTGTGTCACAGGAACCTGGCAGGATGAGAGAGTGGCTACAAGCTTGAAAAGTCTCTGGGAAGTTTTCACACTGTTCTCAGAATGCTGGCAAGGGATATGGTGGGGGAAATGCTTTCTTTTTAAAAAGAGAGATGCTGTGACTTGGGCCTGGATGGAAGCCATGCCATCTGTCTTGGAATATATTAATTCTATGTCTAAAAGGGGCTGGACTGCAGTTGCTAAGGGCAGAAGGAAAAGGGTATCAATCTACGCTACTTTTCTTTATTCCTTTGCTTCAGTCTTTCTAGACAAAGATGACAAGGAGTGATGCTGAATTCCTTAGTGAGAGGAGTATGTGTGGGTGTGTAAAACCCACAACATCAGTAATGTTCAGAGGAGGTTCTATGCACTCTACTTAACACCACTGAAAGTAGTGTCAGTAACTTTTACTTTTTACTGAATCTATCGAAAATGTAACAGGTTTTTTTTATACTAGAAGCCTATTTTGGCATTACGTCGCATAAATAATAAAAACCATCACCCTCATCATCATCATCATCATCATCGAATTGTAGCGTTGGAAGGGACCACGAGGGTCATCTAGTCCAACCCCTCAATGCAGGATCTTTTTGCCCAACATGAGGCTCGAACCCATGATCCTGAGATTAAGAGTCTCATGCTCTACTGACTGAGCTATCCCAGGGATATTATATTGCACATCTTTTTTCAGAGCAAGTTATTTTTACTTTTATTGCATCCCAACTCTGGATAGAAATATGAACTGTTTAACAAAAACAAATGCAGGTAAGGTACTCCGTTACCTGTCCACAAATGTGTTAACTGTCTTTACCATTGAGCTAAATGACCCTTGTGGGGCCTTCCAACCCCTTATTATTATTATACTCTACAGCAGGCGTGAAGAACCTGTGGCCCTCCAGATGTTGTTGGACTACAGCTCCCATGATTCCTGACCACTGGTACCAGGAGGTACCACTGTATTTTGCACTCCCTTGGCTCAGTGCCCTGGGGGGGGGGAGCCATTTGTACCACCCTAAATCCATAGCTGTCAACCTTCCCTTTTTTGTGGGAAATTCCCTTATTCCAGTGCCGTTTCCCGCTGCTTCCCGCTGCTATCTCGGATTGTTAGATATCCCATAGACTGTCCCCAGGACAGGTGAGGCTGCTGATCCCTTATTTTCGAGGCTGCTGATCCCTTTTTTCAAATCTGAAAGTTGACAGCTATACCTAAATCTGGCGCTGGAAAGTTAGGGTGGGGAGAAGGGCTGCCTTTTATTTTGCACATAATTACCTGTGTAAAGCAAAAGGCATTATTTCCATCAACTACCAGAGCTGGATTGGTTGGGAGGCTGTGGAAATGCCAATGGTGTGTTTTGTTTTATGTGCCTGCAATAGCCTGGGCATTTGTGTGAGAAAGTGTATGTATGAGTGTGTGAGAGAGAGCAGTGAAAGAGAGGGAGAGAGTGCTTTGTGCCTGAAAGTCTGTTGTGTGCGCGTGCACTATTTATGTGGTGAATGTGCATGTATGGTGAGCGTAGGTGTATATGGTCTGCAAATGGAGTGTGCATTTATGTCTATGCATATGTACATGCATTGGCCACACTCACTGCTGGCATGCAGCCATTGGAGGGGTGGCTGACCATCAATGCGGCTCTCAAGCCGAGAAATGTTAGCCACCCCGATCTACAATATAAATCAGCTGATTATTATTATTATTATTATTATTATTATTATTTTGGTGGAAGTTGAAAGGCTCAATGCACACTCAGGGGCCATTTATTGCTGTGGAAAGAAGCACAGAAGATACTAAGACTGCAATTTGTTGCTCTGATTAGTTCAAGTGAGAATGTTGATTCTTCTGCTCTCGTGCAGAGCACATAAGTGTGATATCTCTCTGTCCCATTTTGGAATGGTTTATGGGGTTTTTTAATTGCAGTGATTTTTATTTGTTCTAAAACTGTATTTTTTCTGTTTATTGTAATCAACCCTGGGATCAACCTCATGGTGAAGTGTGGGTTATAAATCTTATTTATACATACATACATACATACATACATACATTCTTACATGTTAATACTGATTGCTGATGAATATTTTTTTATTTGTAGTTTAATTCCAGCATTGTAAGGGTTAATCTGGTAGGTTTGCTTTCACTTTAATTCTTTGATGAGCCTTTAGCTTACAGCTGCGTTAAGCCTGAGTGTATATATTTATGTGTGTATCTTGGAGTTATCCAGCTGCCCTAGAGGGTTGGTTTTTTTGGAGAAGCATTGAAGAAATGAATTTTTTTTTGGTAAGTTTAAATGCTTCAGTGTGCAAACTGGTTGCTATTTTATTTGCTTTAAAAAAGTGGCTTTGCAATGCGTTTCTAGTTATACAGCTTCAAGAAAGTTTATAATTATATATTTGTTTATATATTTTATCATATATAAATTATAGCAATAGCAAATATAGTGTGTGTGTGTGTGTGTGTGTGTGTGTGTGTGTGTACACGTATATATACACATTATATTTACTACAGCTATGATTTCTTTTAGGTATTTATGCTCATAAAGAGCTATAATTATAACTGTGTTGGTTTTACAATGAGAACATGGTGAGTCTTACAGAGTCATCCTATACATAATGACCATGAGAGTAAGCTCCATTGAGTTACTGGGACTTGCTTCCTAGTCAGCTGGTATATGAGTCAACCTCACTTCGTTAGAAGTGTGACTTTTTGATTATGATTGATGGCTGTCTTGCAACAATTCCATTATTAAGGAAGAGGCTGCTGTAATGGAACATATGTCAGAAAACAAAGGCAGAGGAACAATGGCTTTTCCAAAGCCTCTGAGCCCAAGACTTTGACTGAGGCATGTTTTGAATGCAGGTACATATCTAGCAGTCTATGAAGTGACTGCACACACCTCCCAGTACTTTTGTCATCAGCAGCTGCCGCTTAACGACAGTCATATCTCATTTCCTCAGAATGCATTTGAGGTCGTGCACAATGGCATCATCGGGGTCCTTCAGTCTGTAACAGGACTTTGTAATAGGACTCCATTTCTGAAGATTTAGACCTAATGAATAAGTTGTCACTGTGGCCTGGCTGTTGTGAAAAAAAACATTTCTGCATGGTTTGGGAAGCACCCTATTTTTGGTAGTGTATGGACACATCACCCACATAGGTTGGTTAAACCGTGTCAGCTGGCATGGAAAGGAAGCAGGGTGAGGCTTCCTGCATGTGTACGTTTACTGTACAAATGTGTGTGTAGTTGGGTTATGTGGGTTTTTTTGGAAGCTGTCTCATGAACTGAGTCTTTGGGTGAGTTAGGCTCTTGGGAAGTTCTGCTTAGGGTAACTGGTGATCGGCAGTGACAAAGACAACTTTATTTTCAGACAGCAGAGGTATTCCAGGTTGCAAAAAGCCTCGTGACACTGGAAAGGCCTCATCCAGAGGTTGAATTCTTTCTTCTTCTGCCATGGTCTTCAGTTGAGGGAACCATATTAACACCAGTATTTAAATCGCTGATTTAACCAGTGCTATTTTTTTAAGGGGGGTACTCAAGTGTACACAGTACTGGCACCTCTTTTTACTGTTGTTAAAAAGTGTGGCACTTCCTTGAACAATTTCATGGTGGGTACCAGCACCTATTTTTCTAGAAAAAAAGCAATGGATGGAACTGACCTTTAAATTTTGTGTTGACTCCCAGGCTTTCTACTTGGGTGGGCTAGTGCTCTGGAAGAATAACATAAATTAAGGCTGCAATCCTAGACACTTAGCCAAGGAGGGACTTAACTTCTGAGTTAAGGATAACACTGTAAAGCTCTCTGAACTGTTTCCAACTTTTGCTTTGTGTGCTAGTCAATTCTAAACTTAGCTTTAACTGTCTTCTTGTTGTATTATAGGTTCCTAGACACATTCTTGTCCAAGAATTAGATATGTTTAATATTAAATGCTAATGTATTGAGGTGTCACTGGTAGTTGTGCACAGTAGTGCTGTGAAAACAATGTTCAATTTCATGTTCAGATAAACAGTTTTTTTTAAAGCAGGAATTCAGGCTCAATTAAATGACTCGATATGCTTTCTCTATTTCCTGGAGGAAGCAAATAAATGCAGAATGGTGTGACATACTTATCTACATTTAAGTCATTTCTGTTCCTCTTAAAATAGAGACTGCCTTGAAATTTCCTTAGCTACTGGTGTTACACATGCATATGCTGATCTCATGCAATTTGTTTACAAACCTTGTTACCCAGAGGTTAGTATATGAATTAGCTCAACAATCACTTTCTGGCAGTGACAGTTCAGGCCCTGCTGTTCTACCTAGTAATCTTGAGTCAGCTGACAAAAAGACAGAAATCTGAGCATACCCTGAGATCACTTCCTCCATTTATCCCTAAGTGATTAGTGTGACACCCAGTAGCTCAAGGGTCTACCAACGGCTTAGCCTCCGCTCATGGAAGGCCACCCTTTGAAAACTTTTGCGGTGCGATTTGCATGCAACATTTTCCAAGGAGATTGATGAGTCTCAGCAGGGACACTCAGGTTTGAACAGTAGTCTTTTCTGGAAGATTGTATGACCAGATTTTTTTTGTATTTGTTTTTACTGCTTATACAAACACAAACAGGTATGTAAAAACAGCATGTCATTTAACCATCGGGCAAAAAAAATAAAAATCTGATCACAACTTTGTGATTACAATGCTAAGCCCTGACAGTGCTTTGGGGTGTTATACACCTTTTGTGTTTTGTAATAAGGAGGTTGCGTTGCTCTTTGTTTGTTTTTCAGGTGTAATGGCAGCACGTTAAAAAACCAAAGCACAGCTTCCAGGCTTTTGCTTTCAGCTGGAAGAAAGACCTCTGCTTTAGCCCTGCACTTCAGCTGCTTGACAGGCCAGTAGATTTATGCACCATCAGCTGCTTCTATATTAAATGCTACACACATAGTTAAAATTAGAAGTTAATCAGATCAGGTTTCCAAGAGTGGATTCTGCTATACATCCCTCAGACAGGCCGGATCCATGGCCTGGGCTTCCTAGCGCTAATGGATAGATTGTCTGGCAGGAACACAGACCTCTGCTATTCCGTTAATCCAAAAAATCCGCATCCACTTGCTATCAAAACACCTGATTATGTTTGTGGTATATTTTGAGGCACTGTTGCACTCCTCTAGGAAAGAACTTGCAAAGAAGCAGCACTCTGCAAAAGGCAAAGTGTAAACATGCAATTTGCTTTTATAAAAGATAGTATATTTTACTGTGGATTTAGTGGCCAGAAAGACAGTGTATAAAAATTCAGAGGTGTGTTGTTGTTGTTGTTTTTTGGGGGGAAGATAGTGGGAGGAAGACAGCAGCTGATGTACAAGCCCAACCTATACAACAACAGGATAGTCATGATTCATTGTTGTTCTCTTGCAAATGCCATATCGGTTCTGGACTTTTACTTTCAGGAATCAGTATGAAGAACAAATACATAGATCACACTCACCTTCATTTTAATTGGGCAGCCATTTGTTTATCTTTGATTCTGAATATTTCAACCTCTTAGCTGAGTACTGATGCCCACAGAAAGCTTGCATCCACAGGGTAAACATCGGTTCAATGTAGCCCTCCATATGCTGCAGCACACTGTCCATTATATACTCCAATCTATTTATCATGGTTCTTACTGGTGCCTATCCTTCATTCTTTGAGCCACATGGGATGATTGATCAATTCCGATTTTATTAGCTTTTTTTGAAATATGTGCTTGTGAAGAATACATCTAAATTCAGCACTGCATCCTCTAAATTTGCAGTTTGGTGTATTTTATATTCTCTTTGAATTATTAGATTGTCTCTGCTTGAAAGTGCATGGATTTGGCATTATTCTTCCATTTTAGTGGCTTTAAATTGACCTGTGATAAATCCTTGTTTTCTCAAGTTGCAATGTTTTCCCATGTGAGGACAGCTGAATAAGTTGTCTAAGTGTCTGAGAAATTAGGTTTTGGACTTATTTAATGAGAAGTGAGATAAACCATTTGTCATGAGAGCACATTATGGCAGTGAATTTCACCAAGTGCACAGCAAAACATTATTTGTAGACAATTTCCTGTTCAAAAGTGTGCTAGCCCTTCCAAGCCAGTCAGCTAAAGTAGGAAACAATGACCTGTGCTCTCATACAATCAGCAATAGGAGCACTGTATTAACAAAGGACTCTGCGATTACAACCTTAAGAAATAGTCTGTTACAAGATGCTGAAAAACATATCTCTGTATGCATCAGTGGCCGAAAGTGCTCCCTGTTGCACTTTGTAGAATGATTACAAGTGTTTGCTTCACATTCAGCCATTTTCACAGATCTGTGAAAAGATGGATAGTATTACTGCAATGTGCTGTGTACAGTGCCACTCTTGAAGACTTCTTAGAAGCCCCAGCAGGTGCGGCTTGCTCCAGTTTAGCAAGTGTTTGCTGTTAGGACCATATCCATATTACTCAATTTCTGCAAAAAGAAGAGACTCTGGCTTCCTACCTGCTTCCGGGTGCAGTTAAAGCTGACATTCCATTAGAAAGCCCTACATGGCTTGAGTTGTAACTCTTGTAAATCCTTGCTCTTTGTGAGCTAAACTAATGATGGGGGGGGCGGGGGGAAATGTAGCTGAAGCTTTTGCAATATAAGGGCTGAAGTTTGATTTGTACAGTCATTGTATGAATTGGTTTACCAAACTGTATATGACAGGGGTTGGTGATTACCAAGTAGGGAGGTAGAGCCTACCAGTGGGTTGCAATAAGGCTTTTGTGTTGTTGTTTAATAGTTTAGTCGTGTCCGACTCTTCATGACCCCATGGACCAGAGCACGCCAGGCACTCCTGTCTTCCACTGCCTCCCGCAGTTTGGTCAAACTCATGCTGGTAGCTTCGAGAACACTATCCAACCATCTCGTCCTCTGTCGTCCCCTTCTCCTTGTGCCCTCCATCTTTCCCAACATCAGGGTCTTTTCCAGGGAGTCTTCTCTTCTCATGAGGTGGCCAAAGTATTGGAGCCTCAGCTTCAGGATCTGTCCTTCATGTACTCAAGAACAAATGGCTCAGAGCAGCAGCTACTAGGTCAGGTGATAAAATTACTAGACCTTCAGTCCCTCACCAAAAACAATTTTGTTGTTGGAACAAAAATGTTTTGATTTGCGGCTCAGGTTGGATCATAGGAAGATGCCAGTATTCCAAATTAGACCATTGGCCCATCTAGCTCTGTATTTCCACACTGACTAGCGGCAGCTCTCCAGCGTTTCAAACAGGGAGTTTATCCCAGTCCTTCCTGGTGAAGGCAGGGGCCAAACCTGGGAATTCTTGCATGCAAATCATGTCTTCCACCACTGAGCGACACCCCCCAAGAATGTACCTGTGTCCTGCTGAGAATATTATATTTCCTCTTGCACAAAGTTTGTTACTTGACAGGGTTATCCACATGTGCTAGGAGTAGCAGCTGCCAGATCTGTAGAACAGAAACTAGAACATTCAGGTGGGACCTGCACTAAAACGTTTCATTGAACAGCACTCCTGTTCAAGATGTCAGCAAGCCACATGCTTTTCCAGAGTACTGTACTGCATTTCCCCAACACCACTGCCCAGCAGACATTCATTATGGCCTCTTAATGCATACAGTTTTCTTTGGGCTGCTCTGGGATTCGCACCCCCACCCCCTTGGGTTTTTAAGTACTTCTGCAAAAACTTTGTTTCCCTTAGGCCTGCTGATACCTCCCTCTTGAGCATGGTTATACCAGGTCTGATGCTTGGAGAATGAGTTTTGCTATTAGTATATATGATTTGGTGCCCATGGAAGCTTGCCTTCTGATGCAAATAGCTGTCATCAGGACCATGGAAGGAGAATGGTTGAACTCTCCCTCCTCACCCAGTCCCATTTCTGTTCTCTCTCCTCCCACCTCCTGCCTCAGGCCAGCTGCTAATCAGACTTTTAAAAAGCATGCACATTAACTGCATTCACACAGTGTTGTGCCATTTCAGACTATAGAATTGTAGAACAGCAGGAGCCACAATGTTGGTGTCAAATAGTAATTCAGGGCTGCTTGTGGGACAGCAAAAGACTACCTCATCCCAGGATAGCAAAAGTACTGAATCATGCTCATAACCAATGTCCACAATCTTAGCAATGTCTCCTTGAGTTACATGTTGGCCTTTATATGGATGGGCGCACCCAGGGTGTGCTGTTTGAATAGGGAGTGGGATTCTCCCCCCTCCCCACACACTTCTAAGGTGAATTTAGACCTAGCACTTGGCGATGGGTTCTTAAAGTAGCAAATAAGGGTTTTCCCCAAAACTATTTATTTCAGATTTCAAAGTACTTCTGAGCAGTTGCTTAGCCCTGTGAAAGTTTCCTCAACACTTAAAAGATTCTCTGAGAGACCAAAAAAAAAAAAAAAGAAGAAGAAGGAGAAGGAGAAGGAGGAGAAGAAGAAGAAGAAGAAGAAGAAGAAGAAGAAGAAGATTCTCTGAGAGACCAAGCAAAGCCTGTTTCTGATGACATTTTGAATATGGCCAGTTTGTGTGGAATTTCTGAAATGTTTATAAAGAGCACAGAACTTGGAAATACTTTATGGCAGTAAGAAAGAACAAAATGCAGGTATTAAAAACAAAAAGCCAGCACAATTAAGGAATCAGTGGCTTTCGAAAAGAAATTGCACACAGAGAATGGACTGTTCCTAACCAAATATCTTTATTTTAGCTTCAAGGATGCAGACATCTTTAAAAAGCACAAGTCAAATTGTACTAAATAAATGCTAAGATAATTTTTCTATCATCCTCTATTTGGCTTGCAACTGAGCTGTTCTGACTGGATGATGACTTTTAAATACCCCTCTGCCCTGTTAGCACGAATTTCTTGGCATTCTCTTCTCCCTGTCATAACTTAATGTGGGCATATATCCCCTACATAGTTACCCACAAAAGAACATGTTCCAGGGATTTTCTTGCATCCTTGGGGAACCCACCGACTTTCATTAATTTTTAGAGAAGCTGCTCAGGGAACAAGCATGGAGCACTTACTTTCAAAGGGGTTGCTGACAGATGAGCAAATAAAAATAGCTGGGGGAGTAGAGATCAAATTAAGAACTCCATAGTCTCAGAACAAACAAAAAAAGCCCCATGGATCCAAGAGTCTATTATTGCCTTGCATTAATGGTTAATTGACTAAAAGAAGGAAGAAAAAGAAGTCCTGAGAACCATAAAATCCATGCAGGGGAAAGGCACAGATAAGTATCTATCACACCCTCTGGGGCCAGATATCTCCAGTCCTTAATTCCAGGTATGTGAGATCTAGCTGAGAATATGCAGTGATGAGGAAGATACCTTACAAATTTGTCCCTATTTTCCTAATCTGGATTGTTTTGTTAGCGTACAACTAGCTGAACTGAAAACATACTGAAAATCTACTTGCCTTTCTCCCGGGTGCCAAGTAAGGCCATCTATTCTCCATTTTGTTCCCTTAGTCCTCTCCACTTTTAAAAATCTCAAATCCAAGAGAGATTTTATCTTGCATCCCTTTTTAAAAAAAAAATGTGGAGAGCCCAACCAAGTTAGTTTTGAGTTAGTACAGTCATGTACCTACCTCTGAGCTCCAACTTCTTATTGGGCCTCTGGATGCATCACAATACAGTTCAAGAATCTGGAGAAGAGAAAGCAGCTACAGGCGCTTTTCACATAAAGTTCTTCACAGGTGCTAGTATTGGTGGAAATATGACTAGCAACATCATGTCTGACACCACCAGTAGGCAAATGATGATGATCCAGGAAACAGTAAGGGGCCACCATGAAAAAATTCCCTTGGATTTTTGCTATTGTTGAATGGCTTTAACAGATCTGCCAAAAGGTAAATCTTTGCCACTAGGAGGCTCTGCAAGAATAGCTTCTTAGGAAACATAATTCCTTACTAAACAACTAAGATCTGAGGGCGGAGAGGGGAACTATCCTCCCTGCGTTACATATGATTGTTTCTGTATTAATTCCATTTTGGTATATGGTTATTTTCCCGCCCCACCCCCTTGTCACTGGATGTCTTCCAACAGCGGTTAATTTCCTCTGAATGGGAACAAACATTCTGCAGGAATGTGGTTTCTAGTGACAGATTAGCCTTATAACACTCTATGTTGTGTAGTTTTCCTACCTAGAAACATAGTGTTGGAAGGGACCACTAGGGTCATCTAGTCCAACCCCTGCAATGCAGGAATCTTTTGCCCGACGTGGGGCTCAAACCCATGACCCTGAGGTTAAAAATCTCATGCTCTACCAACTGATCTATCAAAATTGCCAGTGCTTAGTTCTCAAATATCACGAGCCTTCTCATGGGATTAGCAGTACAAGTAATGACATGTTTTTAGCTGGCATCTCTATTGTATGCTATCTCTTCTTCAAAGGCAAAATATTCAGGAGCCTTTTTAAAAAGCTGGATCTGTTCTTAAATGCTACCAAATATATTTATAAAAGGCTTTGTAAAAGTTGGGACCTACAAACCTCATGCATTGAATGCTTACTGGACTTTCTACATCTCTATGCTGTATACAGGAGTCTCTTGTGACTAGCATTTAGCACGTTTTAGAAATTCATTTGAGAATGTTAATTCTCTTCCTTCTTGTCACCTGTCATGTTGGCTCAGATGATCACATTAAGCTTTTACTTCCTTGCTCTATATATTCCTGTTCATCTGTAAAAAAAATACCAGATGAGCAAATTCTGTAAGAAAATCCTCTTACAGAATTGATTGCCATAGGATATTGTGATGTCTCTTAGCGGACCTCTACTGCTGATTCAGAACTTCTTCAGGGCTACATTTGATTGGGGAAAGATAAAACTCTCTTACCTTAGCAGCCTTGTTGGAATCCAAACTCAGTATAATAAGGTCAACCACAAATAAAATGACAGAAAAATGCATAATTAAAATAGATAATTCAGTTTAAAAATGCAGCTTTTAGTTCATATTTATTCTGTATCATCAGTGACCGGAACTAATATACCACCATTACATAAAATATGAAAAATAACATGGCAACATCAGCCAGACTTCAATTTTGTTTTTCTCAATGCACTGGAGGCAACTGCCTTGAATTTTGCGATTTAAACAAACATACAAAGTGAAAGACTTACTATCAAAGGACTAAGTTCATGTTGTGTAAAAGTCTATAGCAAAACTCCCATTTGATTTTATTGGTTTTAGGTCTGTTAATGAATGCATTTGTTCCTTCTCAGTTTTACACTCATGATACATCAAATTCATGAGATAGTAACATTTTTGTTACTAAATAGCCCGTGGATCTTTTGAAAAGTGGGTCTTTTAAAATGTCGCTTTGTTTCTAAATGTGTGTCACTAATCTTTCCAAGTAATATATGAAGTGTTTTAATTAAAAATCAAAATTCCTTGTAGATTCTCTCATTGTTGGTAAATAAACAAGGAGATTTTAGAAAAGTGACTTGTCTCTTTGGGTGAATTAAGGAATAGCCATGTTACTGTTGAACTACTTGTAATTCCCTAACTCAGCCTTGAGGCATCTAAAATTGAACCACAAGCAGCACTTCTATCATATTGCTTCTCCAAAAGCATCCTTATTCATTCAACTCCTGTGTCCATTCAAACCTGGAAAGGGATGTAAAGGTAATGTGCATAAAACAAAATGTAAGAACCCAAATAGAATTTTAAAGCACTGTACACCATATATGTTCAGCATGCAGGCAATCCTGTTAAAATAGCAATTCAATGAAATTTTTGAATGTGGTTTGCATAATTCATCATATCCATAGTTAGTGGAAGACTTTACAGATGGACCATGTTTATTTAACAGCACAAGACACACCCATGCATTAGAATGAATCCTGTCTTACCTCTTTACCAGGGGGTTTCAGATATTCCTTTTTCCCACCCCCACCCTTCACCCAAATGAGTTTATTTCAAAATCTACCAGAAGAAATGTTAGTTGCTACAACAGATTTAATAGTCTGTCTACTTTTCATATCTCTGGCAAAGTGCTTCTTGAAGCCTTCATAATATTTTCCTAACCCTCTCTGTATTACATCTGTCCCTGTCCTGGAGACAGCATAATTGTGCAAACATCTCAGCTATTCAGGTAGTCGTCATTATTGTTTGTGTCAACAGCATGATTGGTATGTACCTTATTATAATCTTGGTGTTGGGTTGCAAAGGTCCTCCTCTCTTCATCTGGCTGAGTCTAATTCCGTCATCTTCACTAAGATCTAAAGTTACACCAAGTAAAGGTTGCCATTTACGTGGAACACTGAGGTTGCTAAAATGACTCCCTTAGGTACAGTCTATGCTATTTCTTCTTCCAAGGACACAGTCAGGACAATGCAGAGGTTTTTGCCAAAGCAAATTAGAAACTCTTGATGTACAGATATGTGGAGTGAAGCACCAGTTTTGTTTCTCCTTACCAGTTATTATGAATATGTTGTACTGTTACATTGATGAAGCTGTTCTTGAGTAATGTGAAATTATTCAAATGTGATCTTAGCTTCTTGGGTCAATTGGTAGCAGGGTCATTCAACCTTGCATCGTCACATTTTTGACAAATCTGATTGTTAAAATTAACCACCAAAGTTTGCTGGTAAGCTACACCCTGTTATAACTTTGTTCCCATAAGTGTAGAGTACCCAATGGAGACTGAAATGCCCAGTACAAGGTTAGTTATATTACAAGTGTGCTAAAGTGTCTGTGGAATTGAGTTCTTTAGGGTGGCAAGGAAATTGGTTCATTGGGATCTCTCATTTGGGTTATCTGAGAGTGTTCCCACAGCTCAGAATCTTCTTAAACTAGAATACATCTGAATTGTAGAGAGCCTGATGAGCTTTTACACCAAGTGATGTATCCAAGTATAGTGGTACCTTGGTTTACGAACTTAATATGTTCCGGAAGTCCTTAAACCGAAACCGTTCTTAAACCGAGGTGCACTTTCCCTAATGAGGCCTCCCGCCGCCGGTGCCCTTCCACCATTCGGATTCCGTTCTTAGACCAAGGTAAAGTTCACAAACTGGGACACTTCTTCCTGTTTTGCGGAGTTCTTAAACTGAATAATTCGTAAACAGGGCTGTTCTTAAACCGAGGTACCACTGTATGTCCTACTCAGAGCAGACCCAATGAAATTAATGTACCTAAGTTAGACCTGTCTATCTATTTCACTGGGTCTGTTCTAAATAGGACCAACACTGGAAACAACACCCAATTTTGATATTTTATTAAATTATTCATAAACTGCCCTCTATCCAAGGATTTCACTGTGGAGCATTTTACTGGAATTTGCACGCAGTAAAAGAGTGAAAGAAGAAAGCATGTCTTTGGAATGTTGTAGCATTCTAAAATAAAGTCAAGATCCAGCTCTTCATTTCTGGTTTCAATGGGTCTTGCAATTTCTAAGGTTATTGTCATTTTAAGATCTTCATCACCATTTTCTTTTATTCAGGCTGCAGTGCTAAGGACCCTTATTTCCAGGAGGTAAAATCCACTTCCTGAAGCAGTAAATGTTATTTGAGAAGTTCAAAGAAATGACTAAAAACATCTTAAGGAAAAAGTAGCCCCAAAGCAGACTTTGAAAATTGAGCTATAAACATTTCCGTTTAAACATTATCATGTAATATCCCATATTACATGGTAATAATGTAATCCTGACATGCCTTCCTATGTAGCATGTTTCTTTATTATTATTATTAAACCCATCTTTTCTCTCTTGCATTTCTTTCTTGATTACTTTAGTTATCTTCCTACTGTTATTGTTAATCTCCAGTTTTTAGTTTTAACGTCTTGCTTTCTTTAGTTTTGCTCAACTAGGGCAGTTTCTACTTTCAAAATTATTTGATGTACTTTCTTAAAGATACTGAGACTGTTCATTTCATTTCTGTTCCATACCTAGTAGTTTAGGTATTATTATTTTTATTACTATAATTGATTACTATAATAATTATAATTTCTATTTATTTGTTTGTTATTTTTATATCCCACCTTTCTTCTAAAGAGCTCAAGGTGGGGTACACAGTTCTGTCCCTCCTCATTTACTCTCCACAACAACCCTGTGAGGTAGGTTAGACTGAGAGGTAGTGACTGGCCCAGTGTCACCCAGTGAGCTTCAGGGCTGAGTGGAGTATTCAAGCTTTGGTCTACCAGGTCCTGGGGCAACCCAGGCAGGTGGGTTGGGAATAATAATAATAATAATAATAATAATAATACCTACACATACACACACACCCAGTGATATCTGTAATGACAAATCTTTACATGGCCAAGAGTGGCATCACTGCAATCAGGGAGTAGTGCAAACTCCCGGCAATACTGTGCCACATTGAACTTATCTATTTAAAGAGCTAACAACTACACGGAGCAGGAGAAAGTGAGGTCACTTCTACACCAAAACATTTAAAGCACACTTAACAGTTGTGGCTTCCCCACAAAGACTCTTGGGAACTGTAGTTTAAGGGTGCTGAGAGTTGCTTATTGCTTTATTTATATATTATATTTGTATCCCACCCTTCTTCCCAAAGGAGCCCACAGCAGTAAACAGCAACATGTTAAAACCGTACAATTTAAAATCAAATTAAAAAACTCACACATTTAAAACAATTGCTTTGAAGCTCCTTACAGAGCTGCAGTCCCCAGTGCCCTTAACAAACTTTAGTTATTGGGATTCTTTGGGGGAAGCTATGACTGTTTCAAGTGGTATAAGAGCGCTTTAAATGTTTGGTGTGGATGTGACCACAGGCAGAAAACTGGATCGAGAGCTGCCAAGCCTAAATTTAGGGCTCTTCCTACAATGCATGTTTGCTGCAGGATTTGCAGTACAATCAGGGGCAGCTTTTCCTGTCCCTGCAAGACACTTTGGCAGGGATGGGGGCTAAATGTTTCCTGCCAGCTGCACAAATATTACTAGCCATGGTTAAGTCTAGATATCTGTCTTGGTCCAGAATTCTTGGAGGTTGCCTGCGCTTATAAGAATAACATATGCTTAAAAATAACATCTCTAGAGGACCTTTCAAAAAGTTGAAGGGGCTGCAGCATTGTATTTTTACTTATGTTTTCATCCAGTGGTGATACTGCTAGAATTGTAATAGTGCCGTCCTTTCCATGGCATGCTGTCTGCCTGACATTCAGTTTTCACCATCCCAATCTATTAAACTTGCTCATTGGTTCCCCTCAGGGCGAGGGAAGATAAAGTGAATTATGTTTAACATACAAGCCTGGTTGATGTTGTTTCCTCTAGGTTTACAAGGAAATCCTGACCAAGCTCTTCTCTGTGAGTGTCAGCATACTGGCTGGGCCAGAGGAATGTCACAGTAAGTGAAGAGGTTCTCCATTGTATGCATAATCACCCAATAAAAACGTATGTCCGTCTCCCAGTAAGCTGTGCTTATTATTGTTTCTCCCCTGCCCTCAATACACTTAGGACCGAGCGGAAAACTTCCAGCCTGTCACTGACCATTGGATCACCAGCCAGTGGAGAGTTTAGCAGCAGCAGCAGCAAAGCATGTCGCAGTTATTCCACTTTAATTCAGCCGTTATCCACTGACCCTCAAAGAGTAGGTTAAACACTTCCTGTTCCCTTTGCATTAATTTTGGCAAAACGTTGAATCCTGTATTGAAATTCCAGTTTGTCTGCATTGGTTTATTTCTCCCCCCTCCCCCCCATTTAAAACATGTCTGGCTGGGGTTGGGGGGTTTTTTGGCATCTATCAATGAGAGGATTAGAAGCAGTCATGTGGCTACCCTGGAGCTTAGCCATTTGTCATATTCTTCCAAAGACATTTAAGAAAGGACAGTTGGATCAAAGCAGCTACTTAGTATAGAGATGGAGAATTCAAAACATCCAGGGATTTAAATGCCTTTCAAGTTGTTGGGGGAAAGTGTGGGGAGAGATTACATAGGTTTCTTTTTATAAGATTCTGCTAAAGTAAAAAAGCAAATATATTATCAGTGGTAGAATTTTTTGTACACTATATTGACTAGTAGGCAGTTTCAGGCAGCCCCTATGGAATTGGCTTCCTTGTAAAGAAGTTTTAGAGACATAAATATCTCTTTACAAATGTACAAGTTGTGAATGCAGACAAGCACGCAGGTACCACAAATCTTGAAAGGAGCATGGAGTCTCCCAAAAACAAACATAGCATGCCTACAGTTTGAAGCTTGTGCTTTCCAACTCCCATCCATGTCTGTGTTGTTCACAAGTTAGTATCCACCAGCCATCAAAGGCAACTGAAGGTTCTTCCAGCCATTAATGACCATTGAATAAACGCATTTAGCAAAATGCTAAACAAAATATATTTATTGACACAGGCACATCCATACATCCAAATCTACAGCAATCAGCATAATTTGCCAATGTTTCCTTCCTTATTTCAATAGTCGACAGGAAGAAATCAGTTGAAAAAAATGTAAAATATTCTGATGACTTGGTTCTTCATATGTCAAAGGCAAGAGTTTCTGCTTATTCCAGAACCCTAAATTTCTATATTGCAACTGAAAGACTTTCCAAAAGGAAAAGGCAGATTTCCCCAGCTGGTGTCCATCAGATGTTTTACTGGCTGGGGCTGATGGTAGTTGTAGTCCAAAACATCTGGAGGGTACCAAGTCAAGGAAGCATATCTAGAATCTGTGGACACTTAAGTACCAAGGACTAGGTCTAGTTTACATGTTAACAGTCATAATATGATGGTTACCACATAAATAACAATTCCTGTTCAGCAGCTCACAGTGCAAGTTAGTTGATTTCAATAAGCGATGAGAAGAACCCCATGACATGCAGGGTTGTGTGCTGCCACAACTCCCCATTACCATGACCCTGTGAGAATCCCAGGCTGCTGACCTCTTATGATGGGACAAGCAGATGAGCTACGTGACTTGTTGGAATTAATAGCATTACATTGGCATATCTAGGACACACATCTAAAACTTCAAGTGGAGATGCCTTAAAACAGTGATGGCCAAACTTGGCCCTCCAGCTGTTTTGGGACTACAGTTCTCATCATCCCTGACCACTGGTTCTGTTAGCTAGGGATGATAGGAGTTGTAGTCCCAAAACAGCTGGAGGGCCAAGGCATCACTGCCTTAAAACCATAACTCATTCATTTTCTTCCATACAACTTCCTTTTTGCTTTTTTCTAATAAGAGATTTTTTATATTTTTTTTATTTTTTGGTATGGAGAGCATAAATTAGGATTATCAGAAGAGAACTGTACCATAGATAACCTAGTGTACAAACTCCAGATAAAGTGCTTAGAAGTTATTTTTTCCTTTTGTCAGTAGTGAACGATATGCAGCTTCTCTAGATATTAAATACAGTGACAGCAATATCTCTCTTGTTTTTTAACATACAGATGCAAAACCCATCAAAAAACCAGACTGGATCCACATATGAAGCTGCCCCTGTATTTATAAAGGTAAGTAGCATAATCTAGACAGCAGCAGCTTGAAGCCAAAGGTGCTGTGGCAGGAGTGGAAGGCATTTTTGCTCACAGGAGGCAGGTTGCTAAATCTCTGTCCCAGGGTTTGATTGCTCTACAGTATAGGAAATGGAATGCTGGGCTAGACATCCTTTGCAGGGCTTTTGTGTTAATCTGTTTCCCCTTGGAATCTATCTCCAGATGCCCCCTCTTGTTCAGTGATATGTCTTTGAAATATTCTCCATATTTCAAAAAGTGAAAATCTGCAACTGCTAGAGGTTTTATTTACAATTAAGTGGTATACAAATTCTTTTAAATAATACTGTTCATTTCTTCTTTATTTTGACAATCTCTATACCGTTGAATTACAAAAATCTATAAGCAGTGTACCGCCACGGGGTGAGCTCCCGCTGCTCGGTCCCTGCTCCTGCCAACCTAGCAGTTCGAAAGCACGTCAAAGTGCAAGTAGGCGTTTCCGTGCACTGCTCTGGTTCTCCACATGCTGGCCACATGACCCGGAAGCTGTACGCCGGCTCCCTCAGCCAATAAAGTGAGATGAGCACCGCAACCCCAGAGTCTGTCACGAGTGGACCTAATGGTCAGGGGTCCCTTTACCTTTTATAAGCAGTGTACAAGAAAATAAAAATCCAATTCCAAACAGTTGATCCCCAGTTTCTCTCTAAGCAGAGTAAGTGTGGGGAAGTCTTATGTCATGCATATTTACGGTACTTTTTAACTCCTTCAGGGTCTTCAAAACATTAGCACTACCAACGGCCAGCTAGTGGTGTTTGAATGTCGAATACGGGCATCACCCACTCTTCAAGTTCACTGGTACAGAGAGAACAATCAAATAATCGATTCTGCAGACTTCCGAATATTGAGAAAAAGTATGTTTCCTGATTTTTAAGAAAACTTCTGTATCTACTACCCAAATTTCCAATTTCAATTTATAAAAGAAAAAAGATTGTTTCTATCCATGGAATTTAACAAATCTAAACAAGCTGTAATCTGCAAAAATGTCTCAAGTTTGTGCACAGTGTTCGGCAAATCCTGTTGAAGTCAATGAAACTTAAGCAGCCAATAGTTGAATAGCACGGCAAACCTAACAATTAAATATCTACTTGCTGAGCAAAATGCAGTTAAATATTACAAGCTTCTACCATGAAACATGTAGTCTGATACTACACGTTTACTCAGATCTCATTGATGTTTCAAGGAAAATACGCTATTGGATTAATATACGTATGACTGCATTATAACCAGGTGTTTATGGGGTTGTGTGACTGCTGCTGAACTGCATCTCTCCTGTTGGTGTCCATGGTAACATCTAGTAAAAGAAATACATGACTGTCCTGTTCAGCATTTCCCCATTCTCTGCAAGTACCAGCCAATGAATGGGAACAGGGAAAGAGGCGTGCTGAGCCAATGCCTTTTCATGTGTTTTCTTTTGCTAAGGAGAGTTTAGATGATGTTGGGAAGAGACATGCGGATTGGCAGCAGCCAGATGTCTGCATAATATCTAGTTAGCCCCTAAAAAGCTTTTATATTGGCCTTTTGGTAATGTATCTTTCAAAAGTGTGGCCCATGGACTTAGGCTGTGTACATGTGACATTTTATTCTAGAATCAGCGGAGACTATTTGTTTTTTTCTACATAGTCCACACACAATCTAGATTTTTTTGCCCTTGAAAAGCACTTCTTGAGAAACCAGTTTATTTCTGAAAATAAAAACTCACTGCATATTTATTCTGCATTACCTCATAGTGTGTCCATTTAGAACAAGATCAAAATAGATACAGGTGGTCTTGAGTCTTGGCAGTAGGTGTGTGTGTCCACAGGTGCCCAACATTGTAGGTAGCGTATAGCAAGATTGCAATCACCGCTTCAAGGGGAAGGTTTTCAAACACATATCATGTACCCTCTTTGGACAACAAGATCTGAAATCAATCTAGATTAAGGTTACCAGATTGTTTTCAATGAATCCGGGGAAACTTTTCAACATCAATAGATTTTGCATGTGGACTGATTTGTATGAGGACTGTCCCCGGGAAACGGAGACTTCTGGTAACCTTAATCTAGATTAAAAGCATGTGGAGGACAAGCATGTCTAATTCCAGACTGAGAGAAACTACATTTTTGTGCTGCAAATGAATTAATGTGCTCAAGCAAAATTATATGCAAATGTCTCCTTCTACCACAGATACATACGTAAAACAACAATTAAACTATTGTGTATTCCTGTTGTTTTGGGGCCTAATGCTAGCCTAGGGTTGACAGAAAACTAATTTTCCTCTACAGCCTCATGGAAGGCCAACAGGTCTAGTAATGCTGGCAGGGAAATAAGTGCTTAGTTGTATCTTAAGGTTCACAGCTTGTGTCTTTCAGATCTTCATTTTCAGTAGGCTTCACTAAACTAGTCTTTCCATTGATTGAAATGCAGTACAGATTGCGCTCTTGGCATAATTTGATTGAAACCTAAGGTCAAAACCTAATAGTATTGACTATTGTTTAAGTGTTTGCTTAAGTGGCTTTGTCCCAAACAGTACAGGAAAATATTTGATATGCACTATATGCTGAGGCACTGGAGATCAGTACTGAATAAGAGCAGCAATCTAACCTCTACTCTGTGCTTTTCCCAGACTTCAAGCACGCTCTCTCCGTTTCAGCTCTTTTCCAACAATGCATCCCTCCTCCAGCCCACCTGCTGGAGGTAAAAACAGGTGGGACTGTGCAACCCTGGGGAAAGGAAGTGGGACAGTCATTAAAATGAGAACAAATGGGTTGTATTGGATGACAAGTAGCACAGATTATAAACTGATAAGAAGGCTATTATGAAATGCTAAGCCTGCATGGCATTTCGAACTGCATCAGTACCAGAATCAAGCCTCATCTCGTATGTCCCTCATATTAAATGACATTCCACATACATCTTCAAGAGGCTCCAGTGACAGATGCGTTTTTCATCAGTGGGACTATCGGTATAGTATATTTATTAGGTTATGTATCTTGCAACAGTATTTACTAGAGTCATTAGAAACCTGTGTATTCAGCTTGTTGAACAGCTCTTACTGCTAGGAACTTTGTCCTGAGCATAACAATTAAGCCATTGTCCATACTGATGTTCACTCTCTCTGTCTGTCTCTCTTTGTGTGTGTTTCAGAGGCTTGTTCATCCCTGACCCCTGGTAAGTAATTCTAAAGGACTAGGCGGGAACTAGTTGCTGAAAACCAGGCAAATCCAACAACTAGTGACCCCAGATGAGAATGTGCATCCAGTCAGTACAATGAGGCTTAGCTGAGCGCAGCAATACAGAAGTGTCCCTGCATCAGTTACAACATGCACAGAATCTGCTTTGGTGTGCAGATATTTCTTGCTGCATCTGAGAGATATTGCTCAGCAAGCTGTATGCTGTATCATCAGTAAGAAATTCTGCAGCCTTCTGTGTAAAAGTGACACAACAGCAAGCAACAAAGTGCACATAATACTCAACTTCTTATATGCCTGTAGCCTAGCTGTACTAGTAAAGAGGTGTGTTGGTGTCTAGCTCAATGCTTTGAAGTCTGTCCCATTTAATTACCCATCAACATTAAATTAATTACTTAATTTAATTACTTGAATTAGTTTACTCCCATGTAAGTATACCTTGAATTGCAGTGGTATTTGTACACAGAATCTAATAATTTGTGTCATTCCTTCACAGCCGTTTTCATTAAGGCAAACCACGTTCTACATTCACCAGCCTGCATTTGTATAGTGGCCTTCTGAGTTCAGTTCTCAAAGCTTGAATGGGGTTAACGTTTGCAGAGGCTTACATTTAGATTGAACACATGTATTCTTCCTGTTTTAAAGGCTCTGCAGTTGCTATTTGATTAGACCTTGCCTATTCATTTTATTTTGTCATAACTGAATTTGTTTAAAATCGTGAATTGTTTTTTGCGAACTGCCTTGGGAATATCGTGAACAAAGTGACAACAGAATCTGCTTCAAATTTATAAGAATAACCATGCCTTAATTGCCAGAATAAACCATGAACTTCGATAGTACTGCCTTTTTACCCGAGAAGTACTTTATATCCAGCAATAAGTTCTATGGAAAATTAGGTCAATTCCCACTGGTAGTATGGGAGAAATTGTAATATAGCTATGTTTAAAAATTCATTTTTAAGTGTCTCATTCAGGTATTTCCTCCTTCCAGAGGAAGTTTGCACCTTAGTGATTACAGAAGCATTTCCTGAAGATTCTGGAATATTTAAATGCATTGCTGAAAATGAGTTTGGTGCAGTAGCCTCCAGTGCATACCTTTTTGTTTCCCAAGGTAATTGCAGATTCTTCGCCCTCTCAGTTTTGGTGGGAGGGTAGGATGCTGTTTCTTCTCTGGAAGGATGACTTCTATTTCCCACTTGTCCAAAACAGCGGTACTTAAGCCTGGAATAGCTTGTTGCCAGCTGTGCAGCAGAGCAAAATGATCAGACTATATATACACAATCTGAAAGCTAAAAATGATTGTTTTTAAATATATCTAGTGAAGCTTTAGAGACACAACTTGCCTGGTCTAAAAATACTTTCTGAAAACTGAGTGCCTAGAGCATGGGTAGGCAAACTAAAGCCTGGGGGCCGGATCCAGCCCAATTGCCTTCTAAATCCGGCCCACGGATGGTCTGGGAATCAGCATGTTTTTACATGAGTAAAATGTGTGCTTTTATTTAAAATGCTTCACTGGGTTATATGTGGGGTATAGGAATTTGTTCTTTTTTTTCTTCTTCTTCAAAATATAGTCTGGCCCCCCACAAAGTCTGAGGGACAGTGGACCGGCCCCGTGCTGAAAAAGTTTGCTGACCCCTGGCCTAGATAATTAACGGAGGGCGTGTTAAGCAGTTAACATTATAAAAGCTAAGCAAGCCTTGCATTGCTCAGTACTGATAGCCTTGGACTTCCATGCAAGTTGTTCTGAGCTTTCCAAAGAATAATATGTATACTTTGATTTAATTAACTAAATCTAAATCAAGGCATATCAATGGAGATTTGTTTGGTGCAATTCAGAGACAGTACAAGATGCTTTTGTGTTTCTTTACAGTCCATGACGTTCTCTCTTTTTTTATTTCTTTAAAAGCCTGCTCTTATTATTGGTTCTGGATTCTGTAATGGATTCCACAAGGATTCCCATCCTTAGTTTCTCTCTTTTCAGATAAGAACTGTCAGTTTATAAATAGTTTTAGTTGTTTTAGTTTCACTCAGAATATGCAAATCCTTTCCATCAAGAAGATACAGTGGAATTTCCCTGATGAGTAAAGAGATTAGAGAGAGAGTTACAATATGGCTCTTTAGAAATCACTTTCCCACCCCAAACTAGACAATAATACAATGGTGTGAGTCAGTGCTTTTGGTTTTATATCTAAATTGTGCTTTTCAGGAACAGAGGAGATTGAAGGATTTGAAGTGGCTCCCTCACTGTCAGCTACACCAGCCACAATGAACGTCCTCTCTACACCAAACAGCCAATGTGTAGGAATGGGAAGTGATGTAGACAACAAACCTTCCAGTGTTACACTACAAAAGTCTTCTGGCTCATCAAGTCCAGAGGAACCTGCAGGTTCCTGGTGGCGAAACTATGGTGACGAGAGCAAGGATTTTAGTGACATTTATGAAGAAACTTCAGATAACTCATATCATAGGTAAGTCAAAGCAAAGATTCTAATAACTCTTCTACTCAACTGTAGGAACTGCTTCTACTATAAATCACTGCAAACAATACCCACCGCCTCCAAAAAATTACCCTAGATCTATAGGATATGAATGGATTTTGGAAGCACAGTTTCTGGTTTGCCTGCAAACAAATTGACCTTCTAGTCTAGCCATGCAATTGCAGAGTCAGCTAGCTTTATATGCTCATAGACATTTTAATTTGGATGAGTTAGCCACAAAAGTCAGGCAGGTTGTTGAATAAAGTAAAGGGTAAAGGGATCCTTGACCATTAGGTCCAGTTGTGGCCGACTCTGGGGTTGCAGCGCTCATCTCGCTTTATTGGCCAAGGGAGCCGGCGTACAGCTTCCGGGTCATGTGGCCAGCATGACTAAGCCGCTTCTGGGGAACCAGAGCAGCGCACGGAAACGCCGTTTACCTTCCCGCCGGAACGGTAACTATTTATCTACTTGCACTTTGACATGCTTTCGAACTGCTAGGTTGGCAGGAGCAGGGACCAAGCAACGGGAGCTCACAGCGTTGCGGGGATTCGAACCGCCAACCTTCTGATCGGCAAGTCCTAGGCTCTGTGGTTTAACCCACAGCGCCACCCACGTCCCATTGTTGAATGCAGACCCTTTAATTCAGTGGTAGGGTACAGCACAATAATGGTAAGCACAGCTGCAAACATTTTCATCTGGCCACAGATTTTCCAAAATATGACTTAAATTAAAACTAATTTTTGCTCTCTGAGGTTAAAAGATCAGCACTGTACCAAAAAGAAAGAAAGAAAAAGAAAAACCACAGAAAATTGTTGTCTGTGCATAAAACTAAAATAAATACCTGAACCCATGTCAAGTTCACTTGAGAACTAACACTTCATTGAGATAATATATTTGCCTCAAGAATGTCTGTTTTCTGTGATAAAAAGCAATGAGTAGTTCAGTTGAGTGGAATATCCTATCTTTAAATTTGGTAATCAACATTTTAAAAACAATTACCTGTTCTGAATGCACCACTACAAATGAGAAGAGTTCCTAGTGGAATGATTTACACCTCTATAAAATTAATTTCAATAGCATGGCTACCTATAAATTAGAAATTTTTTAAAAAACTGTTTCTTTTAATTTTGGTGACACCAAATTTTGATTTGGTTCTTAAAACCAATTTGGTTTTTCTATCTAACATCGTATCATCTCAGGGTGGCTTACAATATAATAAAACAGGAAGACAGCACTATGATAAGACTTAATTCAATGAAACTTATAAAAGCAGTATAAAATACGGAACCACAACCTGGGCTCTTCATTTGCCCAAAGAACCACAATTCATGCTCTTCATTTGCAATAACAACATATTTCCTGATAATCTCCCAAACCCCCTGGCAAACATGAATTTTCACCTGACACCAAAATCCCAATGCCAGTCATGACTCTAGGAAGAGGATATTCTCTTGCTAGGGTGCCACCACAAATAATGCCCTATCCCATGTCCCCACATAATGCACTTCAGCTGATTGGTAGAACAATGAGAAGGGCCTCCACTCCAGAACTAAAATAATGGGCAGGCTGATGCAGGGAGAGGCATTATTCAGTTGTTTAGATCCTAAGATGTTTAGAACTTTGTGGTATACACCATCTCCTTGAATTCCACCTTCACCTTCTTCTTCTTCTCTTCTCTGGCGATCACTCGTAGCAGGTGAGTAAGATTGTCTTCCATAAACACGGTTTTAACAATGAGTCCGTAAGTGACTGTGGAGGCCAATTCTGGATCCACACGTCCTTCCACAGTGGGGACGTTGGTTCCGGGCAGGAGTTGATCATGGTGTAGATTTGCCAAGCATGCCTTCCTCTTAGCACGTTTCTCCCTTGCATCCTGAGTTCGAGTGTCTTCAAAGCCCATGACACCTTTGGTAAAGGCTGTTCTCCAATTGGAGCGCTCTCAGGCCACTGTTTCCCAATTGTTGGTGTTTAGTATAAAATGTAGTATACATTTTTTTAGATTTGGCTTGAGACAGTCTTTAAACCTCTTTTGTTGACCACCAGCATTACGCTTTCCATTTTTCAGTTCGGAATAGAGTAGTTGCTTTGGAAGACTGTAATCAGGCATCCGCACAACATGACCAGTCCAACGAAGCTGATGTTGAAGAATCATTGCTTCAACACTGGTGATCTTTGCTTCTTCCAGTACACTGTTATTAGTTTGTTTGTCTTCCCAAGTGATGTGTAATTTTTTTTTGGAGGCACTGTTGATGGAATCTTTTGAGGAGTTGGAAATGGCGTTTATAAGTGGTCCATGATTCACAAGTAAGGTTGGTAGGCAGCCAGTAATAAATTGTCCAGATCATAAAGAAGAAGGTATATCTAGGTCTAGTATAACGTTGTGAAATATTTAAGCCTGTAAATTTGTGTGCTTTGGACTGGCAAAATACATTATGCATTAATCCATACATGGGATGTTATTGGAATTCTTCACAAGCCTAATTCCAAGGGAAATGATTGAATAAGGGAAATTACAAGGGAAATAACTGAATAAGTCTCCAGTCCTATATACTTACCTGGGAGAAAGTCCCATTGAACTTAATATGACTGACTTCTGAGTAGACATGTGTAGGGTCTTCTGGCTCCTTAAAAAAGATTTATTGTGTGCCATAGCTAATGTTGTAATAAGCCTTTAAGGAACTATGAGACTCTTTAGAATTTCAGAAATCCAGAGTTGTAGAATGTCCTAATTCCTTATGACACCTGAAAGTACAACCAGATCTCTCATGAGGTGGCCGTCATATGATCATAGTAGCAGTGGTTGTTTTCTGTCTCTGGCATAAAGATGTTTTGGGCCAGGCTTTATTTTCTAGTTTCAACTTTGTGATGGCAAGTTCAGGATGACTTTTTACAGGGTTGTTTTTAGAAGAGGTAGATACTGGAGTCTTGATTTCTGTATTAATCTTTATTTACCGTACACATTAGAGCATACAGGCTTTATGAAGCTGATGGTTATACTACAGTTTCCTTCTATGCCTGCTAATTCTGACTTTTGACTGAAAAGGCTTGGTTTCAGTTACATAGCCAGTTTCCTTTTCATAATCACTATTTTCTTTAGGTGGAATTTTATGCTAATCGGTACCCAATTAATGCTTGCTTGATAGAATGAGTGTCCAAAGTACTGGTATGTGAGCTTAATTTTACATTTCTAATCAGAACCTTAATACGGTAGTTTTCTCTGTAAAAGATAAACAATCCAAAAAGGAAGTAGGTACTTTTGGTTTACGCATTTAAACTTTTTCCTTCGCTATCAATATAGATCAAGGCAATACTGCATTAACATATTCTTTTGAACTGCAAATTCAGTGAATTTAGGGTGTAACATTGGAACTGTTATTTGTAGTGGAAATTGGGGGAATAAACCTTAGCTTTTTGGCTGACCTCAGTTACAGACAATTTCTCATTCCTGTTTGTTCCTGGATGGAACTTCTCACCTTCTCCAGTTGTAGCACAGAAGTTGTTATTCTTCTGTAGCTCAAAGCAAGCAGCTCAAAGCATGCAATGTGAAACTGCAGATTAAATGGCTTAAACCTAACATGTTTATTCAGAAGCAAAGCCCAGCAATTTTCAGTTGGCTTTACTTTCATGAAAGCATGCTTAGGTATGCAGCCCAAGATAGAACTTTTGGACAGGAAGTGAACATGCTTTACTACAGTGGAGAACGTATTGGATAATGCATGGAAAGTGATATTTGTGACCGGGTTGCATTTGGACCTAGTTTAAAGGTAAAGGGACCCCTGACCGTTACGTCCAGTTGTGGACGACTCTGGGGTTGTGGTGCTCATCTCGCTTTACTGGCCGAAGGAGCTGGCGTACAGCTTCCGGGTCATGTGGTCAGTATGACTAAGCCGCTTCTGGGGAACGAGAGCAGCACACAGAAACGTTGTTTACCTTCCCAACGGAGCAGTACCTATTTAGGGAACCTGTTTAGGGAAGCTTTTAATAGGTTATTGTATTTTAGTGTTTTGTTGGAAGCCACCCAGAGTGGCTGGGGAAACCCAGCCAGATGGGCGGGGTATAAATAATAATAAATAATAAATAATAATAATTATTATTATTATTATTTCTCTACTTGCACTTTGACGTGCTTTCGAACTGCTAGGTTGGCAGGAGCAAGGACCAAGCAACAGGACCTCACCCCCCCCGTCACAGTGATTCAAACCACTGACTTCCTGATTGGCAAGCCCTAGGCTCTGTGGTTTAGACCACAGCACCACCCATGTGCCTAAACCCAGTTTAGTGCACCCTAAAACAAGGCTGGGGAACCTGTGGTCCTCTGATGGCATTGGACTCCCAACTCCTACCAATCTTTACCATTGGCCATGCTGCATGGTACTGATGGGGAGTCCAATGACAACTAGAGGGCCAACGGGTTTCTCAGAAGCCAGGCACTACCGGTATATTGTAAAGGCTGCCAGTTTTCATACAAGCTTTGTTTCTTATGATTTGTGGTTGCACAGCTGGACTTTTGTCACTCCAGCATCGTATTAGTGGGATGCTCTTCCTAAAGAGGTCTGCACACCCACCTCAATGCCAATGATCAAACTTGATGATTCAGAAAAGCCTTTGGGGTTATTTGAACTAGGCTGAACCATCACAATGGCTTCTACGGCTTTTTGCTGGCATTTATTTTGTTTTTACCAGTTGTATGGATTTTAAATCAAGTTGTTTGCAAGCTGCTTTGGTCATCCCCCTCCCAAAAGGTGGACTATAAACGTTTTATTAAATTAATAAACAATGCAAGACTTGGAATGCCTTCTAAGCACTGTTTATGAAAAATACTTCTGAGCTCTATATATATATTTAGCCATATCTGGAGACCTTAGTGCACATGCCACTAAAAAATAGGTTGGCCTTTAACCAGGGGCATTCTGAAAATGTCAAATCGGGGGCATTCTGTGTAAGTCTGGATTATAATGCTGCAGTCGAACCCCTTTAAAGGAGTTCAAGATTTCCGTGCAAATCTCTTCGCTGAAATCTAGGCTGGAACTTTTCCAAGGAGGAAGGGAAGAAGCATCGCCGCCTGTGTATTGTGAGGGAAATCCGAGACTAGATGCCCAGAGGAGAAGAAAAAAATCACAAGCCTCTGGCCGCTTTCGTTTTTTTCGGCGCCTAAACAAGGTGGTTGTGTGAATTGGGTGGGAAAGCGAGGCTTTCTTTCACGTCTCTTCACCATAAGCTAAGCATCCAGACACCTCGTCGGTTGGAACCGTCTGCCGAGACTCCCTGCCAGGGAGGAAGGTCAGAGGGGTGCTTGAACAAAAGGAGCGCCAGCAGGGCTAGGTTGGAAATCTGATCGGGTGCGACACAATCTCCCCTTGTCTCCGCTTCAGAATCAAAGTCCCCTCGACGGCTGGAATGGGGGTGTGTTTTATTTCGAAGGGGCTGCTCAATTTGCGAGAAGGGCTAATCCAGCGCACTAGTTTATTCTACCTCGTTAAACTTTTCTTCACTTCTTCACCTTCGCGCCTATCCTTCCACAGAGAGGTGGAGCAGCTTCAGGTCGTCCCTTCTCTTAGCTGCCTGAGCCAACCCGCTTTGCAAACGAAATGCCCAGTTAGATCATAATTTTAGCTTTTCCTCCAAAGCCGGGCTTTGGTTCGGAAAGTTCACCCGGTTCAGCACCGCTGTTCTCTTGGAAGAGGCCCGCTGAAGTTGGAGTCAGAGGATCATGTGCACAATTTAGGCGCAGTTGGCAACCGCGGAGCATCCGGGTGCGCAGGAATGGTAACGCTCCAGAGGATGCCCTTGGGGCGGTGGGATTAGTTCGAGGCTATTCCGGGCTCGGTAGGCTGTGAGCTGTAATTTGCTTTGAATTGTAGTCCCGGAGGGCGTCTTTTTCCCGGCGGGAGGGGGGCCTTCAGTGAGATGGCCGGTACTGCAGCCTCAATCGATGAATGAAAAGTTGTGTTAGCAGTTGGGAGCACTTCTCTTGCAAATGTGTTCTTTTTTCTTTCTGTTTTAAGGGAGCCTTTCTCACCAAACTTACTTTATTTTATTCTGTCCTCCCCCAAATCCACGTGCTATACACGGACATGTTAAAAGTTAGGCTCGCTCCCAGTAGGACATTTTCACTTGCTTTTCTTTCTCCCCTCCCACTATCGTTGCCCGCGCAGGCGCCATGGGCGGGGACGGGGGCAGCTGCCCCACATCAAGTAAATAAATAAAAATTACTAACTAAACTAACTGACCAATTGCGTCGCAGATAATTTGGTTCTGCCTCCCCCCAAAAAAACGCAAGGCCTCCCCACCCCCAATAAATCTTGGCTACGTCCATGACAGGCGCCCCCGACCAAGAGACTTGTGCAACGGTTTTAAAGTGGCAAGCGGTCTTTTGCACGCCTACTCGGGAGTAAGCCTGATTGAATCCCTTGGGGTTTACAAGAATAAATATGCACGATATATCGGCTTGCCTAACAGAATCGCTGGACAGCCTGTGTCCTACCTAACGAGAGATGACCGTGATAGGGCGGGGGACTTTTATTCTGACACCTTAGCCTGGGTAGGTGGACAAGCGGGCACATCGGATGTCATTATTTGGCAGCAGATAAAAGTCACTGGCCTTATTAATACTAAGCAGAGAGCTACTATGATTGTAGTCTGTGTTAGTGAATGGCTGGCTTCCCCCACCAGCACTGGTTAAAAACACCTCAGGTGATACCATCTTTTGACAACAGGTAAGACTCTTTTGTTCCTCCCCTCCCGCCTTGCTTTTAAACCTCTGGAGCAGTAAGTGCGCCGCTTTAGAGGCTCCCGAGTGCTTAGCATGCTTGTAAAGAGTTAAGACCCACAGAGCCCAGCGAGAGTTTTGAGTAAAAACTCGTTTAGGAACTCGCTGTTAGTAATGGATGCGAGGTGCAGTGGAACCTTCTCTTTTAAGATGAGTTGGAAAGGGAACGTTTTGTATTTGTGCTCAGTAGGATATGTGTAAATAGCAAAGTCAATTATATTAGGATTTCACCGGCTCGGTTTGTTTGGGGTCTGGGGGACACCTTGCAAGCTTTATAGCAGGGGTGGGGAGGAAGGGTAGGTGTTTTAGGGTGGTAGTGTAGTATTAAAGTGTTCAGCCTTCTTCGCCATGCCGACTTGAAGGTGATTTTGTCTTGCATTCCTGAAATGTGCAAAGAGGAAGAAGTAGGAGACTTGTTGCTTTCTTTTTCATAATTATTTACTTAGGGTTGCATCTTCTTTTAAATATCGTAAGGAAAAGGCTTTATACAGCGCACCCCACTCCCCTTAATAATTTGATCTCACTGGGGAATGTATGACCTCATGGAACCTTCTTTAGGCTCTCCTGTGAAAAGAAGACAATGTACTGTATTTACACACACACAAATATATATAGCAAAACAGCTGATCTGGGACTCCGCAGGGGGAAGCAGCTGCTGTGCTGGTAGTTTTTGATTTGGAAAAATAGCTGATGGAGAAAGGGTTAAGTAGCTCTCCCCCCTACTATTCAACCCTCCTCCTAGAGGTCTTTTCACTAAAAAAAACACAGTGGCATGCATGAGATTTGGGGAGCTTGCAGACAGGTGCTTGTGGGATGGGTGCTCTTGATGTATGCATTTTTTTTTTTGCGGTTTCCACACAACATTGTTGGTATAAGAATGGCAGCCTGTATTCTTCCCCCAATCTCATCAGGATTTACCCTGTCTGGGTTTAAAATATATCTATACTGTATATCTAATTAAGTTGTCTAAAAATTTGCCAACAACTCAATACAAATCCCTGTCTGGAAGCACCTATGGGGTTTGCTGTACAGGTGGATTTTCCCAGTAACACATTAATTGTTGGTTGTATTGATTTAAGTATTCCCCATAAGCAACTTTCTGAATTTTTGCTCAGTTTAAAAAAATAAAACTTCCTCTTTATCTATCGCTTACAGTTTGCATATGAAGAGTCACGTTAATAGAAATTGTTGCTAACTAAATCTGTAAATGCTTGCTTCTTGTAACATCCATATGAGCATGTGCCTGAGGGTGGCTATGACTGCTAGTTCAGACAGAAAATGAATTGTGAACATAATCTCCTGTATAAGGTTTATTTTTTGTGGGTTGCAAAAAGTTGTGGTTAATTAGGTAATTCTAATCTATAAATCTTACATAATTAAAGTTGTTTCTGCATATTTGCTGCTCACTGATTTTGGTAGTTCTCTATAAATTGTTGATGAAACTGGACTCTAAATCTGAAAGTGAGGTCTAAACTTTTAATTTCCCAGATGACCCACTAGCTTCCAAGGAACTACTTGGAATGACTACTTGGCTTTAATAATAATAATAATAATAATAATAATAATAATAATTTATAATGTATACCCTGCCCATCCGGCTGGGTTTTCCCAGCCACTCTGGGTGGCTAAATTTATTTAGTTGTGTATATAAATTTCTGTAGGTTTAGCACAAGCCAGAAAAAGGCAAGCTCACTCACCCAATTAATTTCAGTGGGACATCAACAAACATTTTCTGGTTAGAACTTGTATCTATAGTTGTAAAATTACAGCATAAAGAAATCTTGGTTGTTGAGAAGGCTAACAGAATGTTAGTGAGGAGCCATGTTTTGTTAACCCTAATATACTAGTATATTCTGTAACCTTTTTTAAATGAATTCAAGTCAATTTATGTGAGATGCATTAGAGCAGCTCATATACTTTTAGTGTTCTCGGCTTTGAAAAAATTAATTTTTTTCTGACCTGCTTATGCTTTCTTCTGACACACAGCAGCTAGAAGCATCCCTTTTAATGAAGGCAATATTGGTGCTTGTTCATTGTACATACCTTTCACACAAGTTGTGAAGCCTCCATGGAAAATTAGTGTTAACGTTCTGTAATTATAGGTCATTTATGGAACCAAAGTTTTGCTTTGTTTTTGGGGTCTCCAGTAGTTGACCGCTACATTGTATGCTGAGCACTGTGATCATTTATTTAATGGGCTAGTATCTTTTAGTGGTAGCTATAGGGGTAATCCAACAAAAGTAACTCATTGAGTTCCATTGATTTCAGTGGGTGAGAGGTTGTAATCAACATGTAAATTAATATGTAGTAATACTGTATACTAAAGCAAGTGTATTCACTATTGTATTTTGGAGAGCTGAACTTTCAGAAGCATGTAAAGTGGAAAACTTTTAATAAAGAGTTAGCAGGGGGGAAAGAGGTTAGACAGATATACCTCCAGGATACTTTAGGTACAAGACGTTATGTTTTGTCAGGGTTGGGCAACCATTGGAACCTTCCAGTCTGATAAGTCTACATGACCTTTTGCTAGTCATTGTGGCATGCCATTTATTTTTTATTTGTATTGTTTTCCTAAAGGAATTGCCATCATCAAGACAGCCACACTCTGCTGAGGCAGGGATTCTGTTCCACCCAGGAACCTAGCCGAGAAAGGCCACAAAATTTATCAGCTTATTCTTTCCAGCCACCAACCCAAAGCCCTTTTTTCACCTTCTAAAACACAGGACAATTGTGAAATCTTCCCCATGAGTGTCAGTAACCTCCCATCCGTGTCCTCTATGTATCAACCAAGCATGTTTAACTATGAGCGTCCAAAACATTTTATCCAGTCTCAAAATACATATCAAGGGAAACCACAGCCTCCAGGACCAGAAACCTCTACTACGCTTCCAAGCAGGCAAACCAAACAGTCTTCCATTCTAATCCAGCCTTGTAATCCTAATGAGAAGAAGTTTTCTTCCTCTTCATCGCTGAGCTCGCCAATCTCACTCTCCTCACCTTCATATAGTGCTTCATTTCCCGTAACACCTGCATCTGCACAGTCTCCTGCTAGCTCCTCATCTGGGCAGAGGATTTCATCCATGCATAACCAGTCCCCTGCGGCATTCCTTTGCTCCGTGTTGCCCTCCCACTTTGATTATAATAGCCAAGGTCCTTCCTCAGTGGAGTCAAAGTAAGTATGTTCTTTCCCTTTGAAGTATGTGTATGTATGGCTCTTGAAAACCCTTGGCCTGTTTCATCCTGTGCTCCCATGTACTGTACTCAGCTTCAAGTGTTGACTCTGGAGACAGGAGGGGAAACCAGGAATGGCAACCTTGAGAAGTGCCCTTCATTTTGCAAAGTCTGCTTTTGCTTTTCTAAATGCCAAGGGACGGGAGGTATGAGGTATGAGACATGAGACTTCCCAAAGCTTAGTATAAGAGAAGGCAGAACATGGTTGAAAAATAAAAGTAGTTGCAGAATGTCCCATTCTGTTTTTTAGTTGGATACTTAAACCAGGCCCCAAATGCATGATTATATCTGTGCTCTTCACCTCAGTCTCTCCACCCTGGCCTCCTGGTTGGTGTATGACAAAAGCCATGTCTGTTAAGGGATCCTTTTTAAAGACAGGATAAATTATCTTAAGCCAGATACGTATCCCTTACATTTTTCCAGGTTTTAAACATGAATTGTGGCTCTGTCTTTTTGTGAAAATAGGTGGGGGGACTGCTTGACTGATTTATGTGTTGATTGACTTTAGTAGGGCAACCCCCACCAAGCAAATTTGCTACAATCCTAAGCAGACCCAAGTCCAGTTGAACTCAAGAGTTACTTCTGGGTAAAACATGCTTAGGACTGTACTGTTAAATCATAACCAAAGTTAGTCTTTCACTGTGTTTTGGTTTCACCAGAAGCAGCTTAGTCATGCTGGCCACATGACCCGGAAGCTGTACGCCGGCTCCCTCGGCCAGTAAAGTGAGATGAGCGCCGCAACCCCAGAGTTGTTCGCGACTGGACTTAACTGTTAGGGGTCATTTACCTTTACCTTTTTTTTTACTCCCCACTGAGGATGTCTTGAATTTCCGCCTTAGCGATAATTCCTCATAGAGTAGGAATTAAGCCAAGCAAATTACACAAAACAAGTGGAATTATTCCCTGCATACAATCTATCCCTCAGTGGAGATAATTCCTGCTCTCCAGTATATTATGGTTTTGATAATGTATATTTAGAGCAGACAAATATATAACAGAGGAAATTGAAGAATGAAAACTCTCTCCCGGTACCCTTAAATTCTTTGAAATGTTTTATTGACAGTCAGCTTTCTTGAAAAACGAGCTTCATACCAATTAGGATAAGTGTTTTGTTCCCAGAATAAAGGACAACTCTTGGTAGTGCCCAGACAGAACACAATGTTCCACCTTCCTTGTCTCTCCAAACAACCCTTTCTTGCTGTGCTTTGAAAAGCTGTGGCATTCATATTCTGCATAATATCTGAAGGGCACAAAGGAGCGCCAATGGCAGGAGTGTTTCCTAATCATAATAGGGCTGAAATGCAGGTGCTACAAAGGCAAGAATTTGTCTGTAAGGGTTACACATTCCTGCATTAGCCAGCATAATACATGATACGTATAAAATACTTTGCATTCCTTTAATGCTTTTCATTGTAAAATTGCTAAACATTTTGCCATTATTTAAGTTCTCAGAGGTGGATAATCCTCCAAGACTAGGACTGCAACCCTAAGTATGGATACCTAGAATCAAGTTCTATTGCAATCAGTATGACGGAATTGCAAGTAAATGTGTACAGGAGTTGAGTGTGAGACAACAGACAGAAGACCCAGTGGAGGACTGTTTGGGGAAGTAGCATGCAAATATAGTAGAATCAGGATTCCTGGTGTTGGTGAATCCTGCTGTGAAATTATTAGGAGTGAATTGCCAAGAAGCTCTAAACTAAAAATGCCAAAAAATTCAGGGCTCACAGATTGAGAGCTAATCCTGAGTCTTCCTTCATAAAATAAAAAGATACTCTTGCAATTATCTGTTCAGAGACAGATTCCTTATGTCTCAGTCTTAAAAATAAATCAAAAGTTCAATTTTGGCCATACCGGATGTCCCTGTTGGCACATGACTTAGCTCTCTTTTCTATAAAAAAATAGTCCTAGGTTGCAGAAAATGAAATGACACAAGTAAGCTACTGGCAGTACAGTGGTACCTCGGGTTATGAACTTAATTTGTTCCGGAGGTCTGTTCTTAACCTGAGGTACTAATTTAGCTAATGGAGCCTCCCACTGCTGCTGCGCTGCCGGTGCCCGAGGTACTACTTCCGGGTTAGTGGAGTTCATAACCTGAAGTGTTTGTAACCCGAAGCATTTGTAACCCAAGGTACCACTGTACTCAATGTATGTACCTATTGAGGCAACATTCAGTATATGTACCTATTAGTATTAAGTAGCTTGGAGAATGCCCAGAAAATAAGGGGCGGACCAATAGCTTGTGCCTTCTTCCAAACATTAATTATAATATGGGGTCAAATATGTGGCAGGTGCCATTGCCACCCAGTAAACTGCATAAGCCTTATTCACATCTTACTTTCATGTAGCATGTTACTGTGATTACTTTAGAACTGGGTCTAAAGTGCCACTTGCTTGGATCACACATACCTGCTACACGTGAGCAGGAACATGTGTGTTTGGCTTTCATCTCAGACAACCATGAGCAGCATGTGGTTGTTTGGGGAAGGAGACACCACATCAGAAGTGTGGCTAGAAGCGCAGCCCCACTTGAAAGTAGTTGCAGTAATATCCTGTGCATGAGTAACATGTGACTATGGCTACCAGTGTGTCTACATATGGTGTTGATGTTGTCTTCTGGCACAACAACTGAGTAGCAAGACAAACTTCTAATGGAGCTGCCTTCAGTAGTATGTCTTGTATCCAGCTCTAAATAGCTACCAATTTCACCTTTCCCCTTAAATTAGCAGTTATTCGAAGCCTATGTACAAGAAGCAAACCAGCAGCACCAAACCAGTGCAGAAGACATCTGACAGAGAGATACAAGGAACGAAAGACGCCCTCATTCAAGACTTGGAAAGGAAACTACGATGTAAAGACAGCCTTCTCCATAACGGGAACCAAGTAAGAGATGTATATTATCTGGCAGAGGGGAGCTTGCAAGTTAAGTGACTGAGCTGGATGGCTCTGAGCTTAGTTACCGTGCAGTTTGTGCATCTTAAGCCAGGCATAGCCAATGTGGGGCCCTCTCTCTTAACTCCTATCAGTCCAAACCAGTATGGCTCATGTTTTACTAAAACATGAGGGCACCATGTTGTCTCCGCTGCATTAAACCAATTTAATTAGCTATAGCCCATCTCTAAAACTTATTTGATGTGTGATCAAATATTTATTTCATGAATTTTATATATTAAAAACATTTTAAAAATTAGCAATAAACTAAAAACGGATTACAACACACATCAGTATACTACATGTCTGGGGAGGCTTGTCTAATAAATATGATTTTAGCAAGTGCTAAAAGAGCATGTTGAAGACGCCTGCCTGATGTCCGTAGGCAGGAAGTTCCAAGTGTAGGTGATGCCACACTAAAAGATTGATTTCTTACAAATGCAGACTCGAGATTATGTGACACCTATAACACCTGTAATGTATGTTGAAACTGCCATTCAAACTGTGTCAATTGAGAAAGACATTCTCTAGATTAATTTAGGAGTACTTTTAATATCAAAGGCAATCATTTCAGAATTGGGAATGATTTCACTGAAGTGCTGTCCTCCAGAGCTATTGAGCTCTGGCAACAGAGTGGCTTCTTAGAGATAAATTGGCCCTTGAGTCACCAGTGCTTAATTTCTGATCAAGTGCCATTCATGGATGTAATCCTGTAATTTACAGTTGATGCCAAAGCCATAACCTGATCAAAGTCAAAGCTAAAATCCTATGGCAAGGATGTGAGAGAGATTAGTTTAACCACCAGGATCTCAACCACGTATGTCAGACTATGCTGTAGCAGACAGTTAACTACTAGGGTCGCGCTGAAAATGTCACTTCTGTGTTGAGTTTTCCCCTGATGTCAACATCACCTTACCCTGTATATGTCATTAATATATGTTTTTCCATAGCAGTCATCTAGGAGAAGGTGAGGGTAGCAAGCACATTATGATTTTGAGTAGATTGAACTGGATTGACACTGGGTACATTCAATTAGATATTGAAAGAGGAGAAGAAGGAACTCCACACAAGGCTGTTACTTGCCACAGTAACCCCATGATTTTACCCTGCTTACACCTATTTAAAAGAAGTGGTGTTGCACTTCATGCATCTTGTCCCAAAAGACAATGGATTTGAGATCTGAACCTTTGCACCCATTGAGCTTGCCCAGAACACTTGTAGTACACTAACTTATTATTGCTCTTGCTTTATGTATTGGCCCAGGCTGAATCTATCTCAAATGAGTTAAAGCTTCTATTTAACTTCCCAGATCATGTATTTTATAGTTTATTCATTCATCAGGTAGCTTGAATTGTGTAACAACCATTAGTAATTTGCCAAGTACTCTCAAGCAGTGTGTGTGTGTGGGGGGGGGATATCTGCCTGGATCAGCTGTATGTTTAGTAATAAAGGTAAAGTCCAGTCAGAGTCAATTGGGGTGCGGCGCTCATCTCGCTTCAGGCCGAGGGAGCCGATATTTGTCCATAGATAGCTTTCCAGGTCATGTGGCCAGCATGACTAAACTGCTTCTGGCGCAAAGGGACACCATGATGGAAGCCAGAGCGCACAGAAACGCCGTTTACCTTCCCACCGCAGCTGTACCTATTTATCTACTTGCACTTGTGTGCTTTCAAACTGCTAGGTTGGCAGGAGCTGGGACAGAGCAACGGGAGCTCACCCCGTCGCAGGGATTCGAACTGCCAACCTTCCGATCAGCAAGCCCAAGAGGCTCAGTGGTTTAGACCACAGCGCCACCCACATACCTGTTTTGTAATAAGTCCTCCCTTGGCCTAAGCCCTGAGAGACATGCATGTGGAATGGAATCCAGAGCTAGTTTTATTCTTGTTAATGTGTCCCTTGGTTCTCCTGACTGCAGTGAAGAGATCCCCTGAGTAAATCAAGTATTGGAATACTTTAAGGCATTCATGGGCTTGTCTTGCAGTTATCTCTTCATGTAGTTAGCTCTGTTATGCTGAATAGGAATTAGAAGTTCAAACAGCATTAAACAGCCTTTTCTAACTAACCCTTTCTTTTGCTCTGTGTTTAGCGTTTAAGCTACGAGGAGAGAATGGCTCGCAGGTTACTTGGACCAGAAAATGCTGCATCTGTGTTTGAACCACAGAGTGAAGAAAACGTACAGGATGCACAAGTAAGGTTTTTAAAAATATATATATATATTCACAGTCCAGAACATAAATTGGGATTTCCAAAAATAAAATAAGACTGGGGGTTAGTAACTGATAATAGTAATATTTGTTCCTACTGTCATCCATACGACCTAGCAGAATTTTTTTCTGAACAACATTCAAGGGATGGATATTAGGATTCTTCATTTGAGGAATAAAGATACATTACGCTGCCCAAGACAAGACATGGATTAGGTAACACGTGTGTCCTCCCTCCATAGTTTCCCATGTTACCATGGTAACATAAGGATAAGACCACTTCACAAATGGCCTGTCATGGGTCACTGCAATATGCATAATAAATACATATTCATAATAATAAAGACATATGCAGGTTAAATGTAGGAAAGGAGGAGTACTTATAGCCATCTGTGGGTTCCCATTCTGTCATGACCCACACCATGAGATGATTACTTCAGCAAGCCCAAGAGGCTCAGTGGTTCCCATGCTGTCATGACCCGCACCATGAGATGATTACTTCAGCAAGCCCAAGAGGCTCAGTGGTTTAGACCACAGCGCCACCCACATACCTGTTTTGTAATAAGTCCTCCCTTGGCCTAAGCCCTGAGAGACATGCATGTGGAATGGAATCCAGAGCTAGTTTTATTCTTGTTAATGTGTCCCTTGGTTCTCCTGACTGCAGTGAAGAGATCCCCTGAGTAAATCAAGTATTGGAATACTTTGGAATCTGTGGGTTCCCATGCTGTCATGACCTGCACCATGAGATGATTACTTCAGCTGACACGTATAGTTGGCTTGTATAATGGCTAGTACATCTACCTTGCTTCTAGAATTTGCACCGGATAGTGATTCCTTACTGCATAGAAAATGCTAAATGGTTACCTGGAAGATCCAACAAAGCTGTCAGACCTCTTTGTCTTTCACCTTGAGGTGATTTCTCTCCCACACCGAATTATTGTGACTCAAATATAGTTATAAAATAAATCCCAATAGTACAGCAAAATTTTGATCCAGTTCACTGTGGCAGATGCTCATAGTGTATTGCTGCTCAGATGTGGCCACAGTGGCTTTCCGTAGCCAACAGGACACAGGAAGAAGTGGAGTGATGGGAAGAGAGCACACAGAGCCAAGGAAGTTGTAGGAGTGATGCAGAACACAGCATGCAGAAGGATGATGGTGAGCAGAATGGGCTGCACTGTATCACTGAGCATCCTAAGTGCAGATGCTTCTCTTTTTCAATGGAACAATTGAGCCAGGAAATGCGCTTCCCCTCTGCTGTTGGAACAATGGGATCTGACTGAGGCCCCATATACACTACCAATTTAAAGCAGTATTGTGCCACTTTAAATAATTTTGTCGTTCCCAAAAGAATCCTGGGAAGAGTGGTTTGTTAAGAGTGTTGAGCGTTGCTGGGTGACCCCTATTCCCCTCACTGAGCAATCTTCAAATTAATTTAACAATCAGTGCCTCTTCTCAGGGAACTTGGAGAATTGAAGCTCTGTGAGGAGAAATAGAGGTCTCCTTTAATAGCTCAGGACCCTTAAAAAATTACACTTCCCAGGGTTCTTTGGAGGAAGCCATGACCATGTAAAGTGGTGTGATGCAAATGGGGCCTAAGACAAAGGCTGATCTTGGCCCCACATTACCAGTATCTGCTCCATTGATGTATAGAAAAAGTAGAAAAAATGGGGGGAAATGATTGGGGGAACTATATCTGTGGCCATGGTTAAATCCCAGGTGGAGAATTTATTTTCGAGTGTCAGTGGCCTCTTCAGCTACTGGATTTATGATTTATTGATGGTTGATTAGGATTTTAACTGGCCCAGCTTACTCCCAGTACTGGACAGAGTGGTATGGCAATTAAATGGGGAGAGGAGTGAGAGACAAGGCTTTTACTTAAGGTTTTGGGAGGGTAACAGTTTAAAACAATGGGAAGGGGTTGGGGGGAGGTAACCAAATTTTACATTTAAGTAGCTAAGATAAGATAAAATAGAGAAATGCATCCAGCTATATCTATATTAGATGTTTTCCTTACCAAGACAATACTTATCAATTTGCATCTCCAATTTCCATTTCAGGGTCACTTTTTGATTTTTTTCTTCCACTCCTTTCTGCTGCAGTATCCACCTGCTCCCTAACACTTTTGATTATTCCAACTCCCTTAAAAGTCTTTTCAGCCCTCTTCTGTCTCCTTGCAGCTGTTCAACTCTTCAGGTTTTTATCTCTCTGTCTTCCCAACTTTCTGACTGATTACCCCCCTTCTTGGAGTTTAATGGTGTTGAAAGGCTGTAGGAGAGTCTCTGTTACCACCACACTAGTCATAGTGTTATTGAACCTCAGTTATAATTGTTTGAAAATACTTATATCTCTCAAAAACTTCTATAAAGTCTCTTAACACTGGACTCTGAAGACAAATTTGCAATGCCAAGTCATTACGTTTATGACAGGTACCCTATTTTGAACATAACTTATATAAAAGTTATCTCAAATAAAAACTTTTAAACACAAGGAGGAGAGTTTTAGTTAAGTGTCTATTTCTTCTTTAATTGCTAGGTTGCTAGGGGAACCTTTAACCTACAGTATCCCATTGTACAAAATTCTCTGAGCAAAACATCCCCATTTACTTTTAACCTGCCTGTGAGCTTTTGACTTTCCTATGCACAAGAGAGTTTAAAGTGAAAAGGACCATTTTATAAACATCAGTACGAAATAGCTAAAAGTCCTACTTCTTCACAATGTAAAATATTGTCAGATATTATCTTCTAAAAATGCTAGCCGATAGCTCATTGACGTAGCAAAATAAAAATACCCATGTTAGATAGTTCATGAGCTTACTCTGGTGTAAAGGTTCTCTTGACTGCTAAACCAGTGTTCCAAAATGCAACTATCAGATGTGAAGAACTTGACAGAGTGTTAATATCGTACTGTGTTGGATATACAAATACCTAGAACTGTTAGTGCTGCACTTCCTATAATTAACTGTCCTCATTGCTAAAATGGCAGGAATACCACTGTGCCTGAATTATACCTTGTACGTATTGAATTCAATTACATCTGTTCTTTAAAATGCTAAGATGAGTTGTGTTAGTGAGGGAAAAATAAAATAAAATCCCAGTTGCTCTCATAAAGCCTGTGTGATTTGGTTCTAGTGCTGTGACCTAACAGGGAAAATATTTTCCAGCTTAAGATGTGCTGATTGCCATTGGTACCCTTTTATGAGTGTGCACAACAGTGTGCTCTTGCCAATACTTGACTCTATTCCTGGTCAGCTGAAGGACACTGTGTCCCTAGCTCTCATTTCAGATACTCCAGTGGGATAATAGTCCCCCCACCCCACCCCACAACAAAGGTGACATGTTTGCCAAAATAGTTTGGACCAATGGAAAGAATTGTGTCATTCCTCTTGCGCATGACTCTGGCTCACATTTGTGACTGCTGATTATGATGACTTTAGGGGATCAATTTCTTTTATAGTCTGCATTAGAAAGTGCTTGTGGTTTTAAATGAGCAGTTTGTTTCTCCAGAAAGATTTAAGCTGTAGGATGTTCAATTGAGAGTCCATCATATGTGTTCATGATTAAAGCAGTGATCATTACCTCTTCTGATTTTTGCAGCAGCAGAACTTGGAAAGCACACGACTGCACGTTCCTTCAGCACAAGCAAGGTACATATTATGTGCACATTAACCTGCAAGGTGTATGCTAATGACATGAGATCTGATCTAAACTGCATACACTGGTTGTGTGAACTGTTACCGATAGTGGCCATAGAGCAAGAGTAGCCAGCATAGTGCCCTTTGGATGTTCTTGGACTACAGCTCCCATCAGACCCAGCTAGCATGGCCAGTAAAAAGGGATGATGGGAGCTGTAGTTGAGCAACATCTGAAGAGCACCACATTGGCTACCTTTCCCCATGGTTTGAGAGCCTTGGGCAAGAGAGTCGTTTGGAGTCCCTTAAAGGTATGAAAGCAAGTCAGGCATCCGCATCATCTGGTCCAGCTGCTTGCCACATGTGGAAGGTCTGAAGTGGGAAGCCTGCTCATAATCATATGAAGTTGAATGCCCAATGGGGACAGAGTTTTTAAATCATACACTTCAGCGCATATGATTGATTCTAAGTTCGGGAAAACATGTATTATAAACAATGTAGTTCAGTCTTCCTGTAAGGGGAAACTGTGTAAGGCACAAGATACCACATTAAATACCATGAGGCCAAAGATGGGAGTCATCGTATGAAATATGCATGAGTTATTCTCTTCAACAGTCCTAGATAGTTTATTGCCATAATGAAACTGCAAAACTAGAAATATAATTTTGCCTCTTTGGAAACTATCCTCACCAGGCTATCGTGTAATGGAACTATTAACACATACTTACTGTGGGTGTGTAGGGGGAGAAAGATTATTATAGGAATACTTTATTGCCTTGTTGATGTGCCCTTTTAGGAGCAGGCCATCTTCAAGAGGGGAGAGGAATGAGCAAGGGTCAATCCAGGAGAAATTTTTTCAACCACGTTTTGTACAAGTGCCTGAAGACATAACAGTTGAAGAAGGAAGATTTTGCAGGATTGATTTCAAGGTAATGTATGATTTCAAGCCACTTTCAACACAGCTGTGCCTCCTAATAGATTTAAGCAGTGCTTTTTTTCGGGGGGGGGGGATGCAGGGGTATGCATACCCCTAAACATTTAATGAATCCTTGTACTTTTGTCCATTTACTGTATTTATTTTTCCCGATTTGAACTATAAAAAGGTGATTTTCTTGAGTCAAAATGAGAGTACCCCTAAACGTTTTTTCAGAAGGAAAAAAAACCACTGGATTTAAGAATTGCCTTGTTGGACCAGACCGTGGTCCATTTTGTTCAGTGTTCTGTTTCCAGCTATGGTCAGTCCCATGGTTCCTAGAAGCTCACAAGTGGGGCACAGAGGTAGTATCCTTCTGTTTTTGTTTTCCCCAAACCTCTGAAGCTTTGGAGGTATATTGCCTCTGATCATGGAAACAGGATTAAACCTACATCCTCCATGAATTCACCAAATCTCTCTGTAAAAGCCATCTAAGTTGCCGGCCCCCACTGCATCTTCTACTAACATATTCTGAAAGTCAATTATGAAATTCCAGTAAGAGGAATTTAGGGTATGATTGGAAACCTTCCTGGGCTGCCTGATCAGCCACTGCCACAAGGCAAGGCATTTTTAAAGAAACATATTAACACTGCAAAAATGTGGAGCAGTGTATTTTCTGCAAACCGAGTGCATACTGTAGTTTGGTTTGTGCTGTGCCTGGTAATCTTCACAGAAATGAGAGTCTCGGCACAATTTTGCTAGTGTTCTTGTGACCTCCCCCCTGCACTGCCTTTTTTGTGCTTGCATGTTGACAAAATCTGATAATGGGCAGAAAAGTCTGAAGTTTTGCAGGCCACTGAGCATTGCCCCAGTTATCCCTTGTGACCTAGTTTTGTGTCATACAATTTCTTTCACACAGTCAATGTCACACCACTATGTGTTGTATGTATTTTTATAGCACAGACCCATTTTGTGAATAGAAATCACTCCTCGTCTTGTTTGTGTTATTTTGTTAAACTATGACATTTATATATGACAATACTAGACTCTTTTGTAGACCATGTGGTATGAACGTAACTCTGTTTCTGCTTTACAGTCGTACCTTGGAAGTAAAACGGAATCCGTTCCGGAAGTCCGTTCAACTTCCAAAACGTTTGAAAACCAAATTGCGGCTTCTGATTGGCTGCAGGAAGCTCCTGCAACCGATCAGAAGCTACAGAAGCCCCATCGGACGTTCAGGTTCCAAAAGAATGTTTGCAAACCGGAACAGTCACTTCTGGGTTTGTGGTGTTCGGGAGCCGAAATGTCCAATTTCTAGGGCGTTTGACAACCAAGGTACGACTGTATATGTTACAAAACTGCAACCCAGAGTAACACGTACTACACAAATCAGTCACAATGTGTGCAGTGATTCTGCATATATAGAGTATCAAATGAACACACATTGATGTTCCCATGCAGACTTGCCGTTTGGCATGAATTATAGTACCACAATACCTTTATCTGACACTACCCCCTTGGTATCTGTTGTCTTTCCCCTTGTAGGTCAGCGGCCTCCCAACTCCAGATGTGGCATGGTACCTAAATGGAAGATTAGTTCACCCAGATGACTTCCATAAAATGATCGTATCTGAGAAAGGCTTCCACTCATTCATTTTTGAAGTCGTCAGGGTCTATGATGCTGGAACATGGGAGTGTGTGGCTTTCAACCGTGCTGGAGAAGCTTCCTTTACAGTAAAGCTAGATGTCATTGGTATGAGAGAGCTTTGTCTATTTGGAAACAATTTTTTGTGTCTTTACTTCAGCTGGTGCATTTCTGTTACAAATATCCTTTCTTTTTGTGCTCTTTGGTAAGGGCTGCATCTAAAGAAAATTTCAGAATTTTAAATTATTGTGACATAAAGTCATACCTTGTGTGCATGACTTTCTAAAAATGAAATTTCTAAATGTTATCTACAGTGATGGGGTTTCTAATTCCACTGAAAGTGGGAAGCCACTACTTAGTCTCAACATATGAGTTTGAGAGCTGTTCTTCTGCTCCTACTCTTTTGGGTACAACACCAAATGAAGTGTATAGCCGGCATGGATGCACAGCCATCGATACTGAAATAAATAGGAAGACTAGGTTCATAAGCAGGGCTTCTGGATACGAAGTGAGTTCAGAATGGAACCACTGATGCAAGCATGTGTGTCAAAGATTGCACTGTCCAGGATATATCTTTCATTTGCAGCAAAAGAGGGAAACCCCAAGCAATAGAGGAGGGAAAGCTGGAAGCAAAGGGGTAGAAGAAACTCTTGAATATCCTAAATTTAAAAAATATTAAATGTCAAGTCCTTCAGCAAGAGATTTCAAAATGCAGACTCCTAAGTCCTTAATTCTGTTGTATCCACTTTCTTTCTACTTTTCTGTTAGCTTCTGTATTTTTGAAATGACCAGATGAAGGACCTGATAGATTGAAATATCATAGAATCATAGAATCATAGAGTTGGAAGAGACCACAAGGGCCATCGAGTCCAACCCCCTGCCAAGCAGGAAACACCATCAGAGCACTCCTGACATATGGTTGTCAAGCCTCTGCTTAAAGACCTCCAAAGAAGGAGACTCCACCACACTCCTTGGCAGCAAATTCCACTGTCGAACAGCTCTTACTGTCAGGAAGTTCTTCCTAATGTTTAGGTGGAATCTTCTTTCTTGTAGTTTGGATCCATTGTTCCGTGTCCGCTTCTCTGGAGCAGCAGAAAACAACCTTTCTCCCTCCTCTATGTGACATCCTTTTATATATTTGAACATGGCTATCATATCACCCCTTAACCTCCTCTTCTCCAGGCTAAACATGCCCAGCTCCCTTAGCCGTTCCTCATAAGGCATCGTTTCCAGGCCTTTGACCATTTTGGTTGCCCTCCTCTGGACACGTTCCAATATGCTGGATTATAAATACATTTGGGATATTAAAAATGGCTTTGTTTTTATTTGCCTTCACTTTTAGTCTGTCATGGCTGTAAGATGTCATCTTTTGTCTTTTTTTTTTTAAAATCCAAACTTCTATCTAGCTCGAGAACATCGGAAAGCCCCAACATTCATCTTTAAACCTCAAAGCACAAGAGTTTATGAGGGGGATTCGGCCAGACTTGAATGCCAAGTGTCTGCTATCCCCCCACCACAAATATACTGGAAGAGAAATAATGAAATGGTACAATTCAATACAGACAGAATCAGGTGGGTATCTGTATCATGATGGGCCTCTCAGCTGTTCAGGAGTCAAGTTGAATCAAATACTGTTGGTGGGTCTAGTTTAATGGTTTATAAACTGATATGTGGTGTTTTTGGCTCCAAGCATTGGGAAAAAGGGAATTGCTGTGATTTTCAGCTTCATCACTCTTCTACAAAAAAAAGTGTTGTTCAGAAGACTGTATTATAGTCTGCAGTGTGGGAGAGCATTTTTGCTTTAAGCAATCTTGAGCTAGATGTGGACTAGATGTTGAATGTGGAGAAGGGGCCCTCCAAAGTGACTGCATAATGGGAATTTGCAAAATATTAGAAACTGTTAGGACTTGAAAAGTGGGAGGGGATCTGCAAGATGAGGACTTGCTTACATGGTCCAGCTCAAGGGCACTGCTGGACAGTATCTATAGCGCCCCCTGGGTATGGTCTGAAGCTAAGTAGGCCTGCCCAGGATCTGGGTGGATGACCACTTGGAAAACACATTCATGCTGCTTTGAGTTCCATGATGGAAGAAAGGCAAAACATAAATATCAGCAAATTTATATATGCAGTTGAATACAGGTCTGTGTCTTAGAAATACCTGGCAATGCTTAACAAGAATGATTTTCATGAAGTATATTAGCCTTAAGGTAGGAGAGGGGACTGTAATCTTCATTTTTTTTGTCATTTTTCTCTTTTCCTAGTATGTTTCATGATACCTCTGGGAAGGTTTGCTTGCTGATCCACAATGTAAATAAGAAAGATGCTGGTTGGTACACAGTATCTGCTGTCAACGAGGCAGGAGTGGCAACATGCCATGCCAGATTGGACGTGGCTAGTAAGTACTTCTTCATTTTTCTTCTTTTACATATGTGAATGTTGATGCTACACTCCCCCCCCCAATAGGCCTGCACAGTTAGGTGAACCCAGGCCAATTGAAATGAGCATGTTTTAGTTAGGCCTAACTTTGCATACAGTTGGACTGAAGATGTGAAAGATGGAAGGTATTGATGCACCGAGTATATGAACATGTCTAATTGGCATGATTGCCTAAACTCCCTTTATGTGTCTTGCATGTAGCACAGATGATCATCCCTTTTGATGTAGCAAGCTGAAATGGGGCGACTTACTTGATTGGTCTGTATCCCACTTTTTAAACAAAGTAATCTGAATTATTTCTCTTTGCTTTCTAAAATCTATTTCAGCTCACACATACAAGCCAGTTCCAAACCCTAAACCACTGAAGGTTCGACCAACTTTTAGCAAATACTTGGCACTCAATGGTAAAGGTCTAGATGTGAAACAAGCTTTCTTCCCGGATGAAGGAGAGTTTCAGCGTATGGCAGCACAGTCTGGACTCTATGAGAGCGATGAACTTTAACTGGCAACAGGGAAGAAACTTTCACTCCTGCAACAGACGTTTATGAACAGCACATGCAATTAAGGGGTTATTGAGCTGATAAGCAAACATACCTAATATATTTTTATTTATTATTTAACTCCTGCTCTTAGTTCTGCTGTTGTGATTATACTAAGTCTGATTTTTATAAATGTGTGTGACTGTAGCAAGAAGGAGATCCAAATGTTTGTATTTTTAATTTTAAAGGCCAAGAAACAAGGCCAGTGGATGATCATGAAAGTGTAGATGGTTTGAATGCATCTAGATTCAGTCACAATATTTTTATTTGTACTGCTTTGTTAATACCATGCCCCATAGTATTATAATTTTCTGCTGCCTGGCTATTAAACATAACTTGAGTGCTTTTAATGAAAGTTTTATGTCTGATGCAAATAAAATTTTAAATATAAGACTTGTCATGTGCTTTATCCTTATAAGTTTTGTGAGTTGTTGTTGTTTTATTATTACGGTATGTGAGCTTTGGGTAATTCTCTATTACAGAAATTCTCAACAAAATTGTCATAAACAGTACTTGACTAAAGAAAATTGTCATTAGTATTTGGGTTAAAGCCAGACAAAGAAGAGAGTATAAAAATAAATCTGAAGGAACTGCACAACTACCGTCAGGCCATAAACAGTACAGTATGTTGAATGTTTATTTAATTTGTATTCTGCATTTCCAAAAGCGCCCAGGCTGGCAAATATCAAAATGTGAAACAGTGCAATTTAAAATAAAATAGAAATAACATAAAAATAAAATAATATTTAAGATAAAGTAATATTTAAGATAAAATAATGATATAATAATATATTAAAAACATTTAAAAATTCAGCATTGCACATTCCATTTGCTCTTATGAACCAATATTTTGATGCTACATTTTGGGGTATGTTGGCTGGTTTCACTGGCCTGGTTTTGCTGCAGTGCCATGCTGGGCTAAGTCATGGTTTGGCTTAGCATGTCCAAACCTGGGCTCATATTCTCCCTGGGGAAGAGCAAAGTTGCCATGGTCTCCTCTCTGGGTGCTCATGGATTTTAAGAATTAGTCCGCTGGATAGCAGAACCTCAGACATAAGGAAAGTAGACGATGGAAGAGTTTTCAACTCCCCCAGGGTGCTTTTTGTGAACCCCACTAGCTTCCCTTAAAAATGCTAAAATAGTTAACTAAAGTACTGGATTCACTGTAATTAATGAGTTTTGACAGACTGAAGTAAAGTCAGCTTCCTGCAGATTGTGAAAGCAAAGTGTAGGTGATTTAAAACCCTTGCATTCAGGCTATAATAATTAATAACTTGCAAGACCTTGAATGTACTGTTGCATGACACTTTCAGTCTCCAAGCTGTGGGGTTCCAGATGCTCATCCTTTTGGAAATGAGGCCCAGCAGAGACTGTGGTCTCTTTAATACATATGGTTTATTTACACAAAAACAACCTGAGCCTATGATGGAGGGGTTCACAGCACTCGAAGAGGGTCTTGCTTCTCCCATAGGTGCAGATTTGGATTCAAACAGACATCAAACATCCTGCACTTATCCTCTCTCCAGCTTGCTACCTTTACCAGACTGCAACCTTTTCCCTCCAGCTCACGTCCAAGCCAACTCTAAAGACTCTACTTCAGACTCTGGCTTTGTCTTCTAACTAACTCCCATTTGCCATTTGGCACAGAGCATGCTCTCTTTGGCATTCCTAATGGCTCATCAGCTTCCTTTTGTTCTGGCTTATATTTTAACATACTGGACCCAGGAATTTGGGGGAATTTGGTACCCACACACTCCTAATGCTACAAATACCATGAGCTTTCAGAACCTTTTTTATTTTATGGATTGTGTGACGTGGTTTGTAAGAAACACTTGAAGTAGCATCATTCTGGGTACTCCCTAGGCTGAGCTGCTCTTAAATCCCCCTTCCGTGTGCTGAGTCATAGGTTCCTTGGAGTGGAATATCTCTAATATTTAACCATTAACATGAATAATAGGATTTTTTTTGTGAGATACACAGGCTGAGACTTTTAGGACTTTTCTCAAAGGCAACCATTTCATAATTGGGCCCTAGCAACATGGTTCTCGCAGCTCCATTCCATCTCTGCCCTCCCTCCATTGGTCAGCAATCTGCCCATGGAGCATACCCATAGGCAGTGTTGGGGTTCTTTTTGCTCCATTTTGGTCTCCTCACTCCTTTTTCTGTAGGGGTGGAAGACACAGCAGCTGCACTGAATTCTTTAGTTGCTCCATTGATGTCCACAGACAGGTCTCTTCTGGGCCTGGAGGCAATGAAAACCATCTTGTGTGAACCAAGAAGTGACATGCAGGAAATGAGATGCTTCTTTCTGCAGTTTTTATATACAGTATTTCTCTGTTCCCATCAAGAGTCTCTCAACATTCTATGCCACTGAAGTAATGGGATGAGTTGGTTTGTTCCTGGTGGGGTGGAGGTAAGGAATCCACACAGGTTTTTTCTGCCAATTTTTTTTGTACTTACCGGTATTTATACCTTGGGGTTAGTCTGTACCTGCTGTATTTCTCAGTATTCCGTGTGTTGGGTGTGGTTTTGGCTGCATAAGCATGAGCACAGGAAGACTCAATATAGAATATAGATAATAATTTATCATATATTGTATATTGCATGGCATACAACATAATCATAACACTATATAATCCATGAAAACACAAAGTACAATTCTAAAATTCTTTTGCAACCAATGCTTAAAGCAAAATAAGCCTGGCGAAAAGCATAAAAAGCTATACATTAAAACTAGCGACAATAAAGATCGGTGTTACACATTAAAAGCCCAACCATCTAACAATTTACATTATACTGTGTGTTTTTAGTTTTGAAAGTGTAAAGTGGGATTATACATCCAATAAATAATGTATGACAATTCAAAAATAGTGAAAAAGTTCATGCAGGTTCTGTGTGCGCCTGTTTAGTATCAGGGTGCCTCAGTCATTGTGTTTGTGTGTCTAACTAGAGCATCTTTGAAGCACAGAAGCAATGTGCTGGAAAAAGTGGAGTGACAAAATGGATATGCTGTCCAGTGACTTTGTTCCACACAAATTCATATAGGCAAGAGAAATATGCTTTGGGTTTCTATAGGGCAGATTTCCACATTTTAAAAATCTGTCATTGCAGATCGGGCCAACTAAACTCAGGAATCCAGGTGCATGAAGAAATATCTGACATGAGGTTGGAAACTAGTTTCAGACTTCATGGGTATGCAAAGCCCTGATGGAAAATGGCAATTGTAGTAGGATGCTGTGACTCAGATATTTATTTCTGATTTATGACTGCTCACAGGGATGCTTGGGACATTCCATCTGGAGATATTTTCAAACACCTAATCCTTTCCCACCTGATCTTATTTATGAACTTGGTCTATTAAAGTTATTTCTGTCTTCAATAAGAAGTCGTTTCTGAATATTTAAAAACCCAAAATTACAGAGAGAAGGCAGGAATCAGCAAGAAAGCAGATGATGCATATTATTATACTTTATAAAGATAATACTATAATATTTTAGAGTTCAATGGCATGATTTGAAACATCCACATCAATTAAGCTCCCAATATTACTGGCAGAATGAAGCTCTTCCAAATTCAGAACTTTCCAGACAGGCTGATTAAACACAGTATGCCTTCAAATAATAGTTGCTGGGAATCACAAGTGTGGAATGTGTTGTTGCGTTCATGTCTTACTTTGTGACCTTCTCACAGAGATATTGTTGGCCACTATGAGAACAGGATGCTGGACAATGACAGGGTTTTCAACCCATAAGAAGATCCAGCAGACCTCTTTTTATACAGTATTATTAAAGCAGGCTTGGGCTTCCGTAATTTTATATGGAGAAGAGTGGATTTTGGCAGGTGGAGCTGCTGGTTTTAGATGTGACCAGCTCCACTTTGTAAATCCACACAATTCCCAAGGCTGTAACCTTAATTTATGCCTTCTTCCTCGAAGGAGTCCCATTCAGCAACATGAGGCTGACTTCCGAGCACCTGATATGCAAAAAGGTAGAAGGAGCCTCCGCCACCTGTGCACTTGGCGAGCTATCCTAACTGCAAAATGAAGTTTATACCGAATGTTATATTTGAGAGCCAATGCGGACCTGGGAAAAACCAGTGTTGAAATCCCCACTTGGGCATGAAGCTCACTGGGTGACCTTGAGCCAGTCACTAACCTACCTCACAGGGTTGTCGTGTGGATTAAATGGGGAGGGGGGAGCAATCCAGTCACAGAGCAATCCCGCTCAGAAATATGCGTCATATTTTTCCATGGGCTTACTCTTACTCTCAGGTAAACCATACAGGGTGGCAGGCTTATTTCCCCACGGGAGTGATGGGTTAAGGGGGTAGCATTAGTATGTATGCGTCCCCAGCTGTAATCCATCTTTGTGGGGCGGAACTTGTTGTGGGAGCCGGCCTGCCCGACGGGGCACCTTGGCGGGGTAAACCGAAGGCGCGTCCCGTGGGGCGAAGCAGCCTCTACCCCGCCAGGGCAGCCGGCGGCGGCCCGTTCGTTACTTCGAACCCGGCGCGGGGCGGGGGCGAGGGCGAGGCAAGCGCCCCGCGCAGGGAAGCGGCTCCTTTTCTCCCTCCCTAGAGTCGCCATGGCTGTGTCCACCCAGGACTCGTCCGTCCTAGAGCGGCGAAGCAGTTTCGGTGAGTAGTAATGGCTGCTGGGGCGGAAAGCGCCACTGTCGGGGAGAGGGCCGAACTAGGCCTCTGGTCGCTGGCTCAGCGCCTTGGCTGCTGGTGTCTCCCTACATTGCCTCTAGTCAGGGCCACAGCCCGCCCAGTCTTTAGCTTCAGGGCGACAGTGCCATTCCCACTACTTCCTATTCCCTGCCGAATGATAATACAGTACTTATTCTTCTTATGATGGAAGGCTTGGAAGAGGGAGGAGGAGACGCCTCCCAAGCTAGGCCTGAGGACCCGGAGTAAAAAGAAAAATAAACCAGAAATGCCGCTGCTGTTCAAACGTAGATACCACTTCGACGACGCCAACCCCCCACCCCAAACTATTTCCCCCCAGTCCCATTGCTGGCAACGTGGCTTGACAAGGTGTCCGCATATCCTCCATCCCCACACAATCAAATTCATACATTTTGTATGAGGAGCTTAAGGAAACAAGTACGTAGAGACTAGTTGGATTACACCAAATGGCATTTGGTTCCTAGCAGGAATAGCCAGGCAGATGCTACTGGCAATTCAGAAGCAGGGCATGCAGGCGCTCCTGTTTAACTCAGTGAGGCTTTCTCCTGGGAAAGTGCAGCTAGGCTTGCCATGCATTTTAAAGTACATGATTCCCCTCAAATAATTCTGGGAACTGTAGTTTGTTAAGGGTGCTAGGCACTGCAGCTCTGTGCAAGGTAAACTACAGTTTCTAGGATTCGGGGGTGGGGGGTGTATTTTAAATGTATGGCACATAGATAGCCTTACTTGAATTCAGCGCTATCAGAAGCTAGTTGACACATTTAAGTTTACATCTGTCTTTTACCACAGTCTACAGATAATTGAATATTTAGTTTTCTTGCAACGTAGAAGCGTGCTTTTGTTTGGTTAGGTTTGATCATTCATACCCAAACTTTTAATTAGTTTTTGACATTTTCTTTGTGTTCTTTCTGAAAACTTCATATTTTATAGGGAGTATTAAACCTCGACTGACTCATAGCAGAGAACTTGAAATGAGAACTACCTTTCAAGAGCTACTGATTTACATAATTTTCCTTACAGATCTATGTATATGTAAGTCCATGGGGAAAAGGGGATTGTTGATATGCAAATGCTGCTCTCCCCCTCCCCCCCGAAAACATTTCATGAGGTGCAAATAATGAATTACTTGGTTTGCAAGCCTATGCAACTTGAAAATGGTATAAATGTAGGGTGGGGTGGGGAACCTTAGGCCCGGGAGCTGAAGGGGCTCCTCAAAGCTTCTCTACCCAGCCCTGGGAACTCTGTCCAGACTACAGTCCTCACTGGATGAGTTTCACAACCTACTTGAACTGTTCTTGAACTGTGTCTTTTAAGTGTGATAATGCCTCTTGTTTGCCTAGGACGATGATGGAGCTGTGGATGTGAGTGGTGGTGGTGTAGAAACCTCTATTGTGTAGCTGGAATTTAGCCTATTGTACAACATCACATCTGTTGCTCTGCCCCTATTTGTTTTTGGTGCAACCTAACACTGACATTTGACCCCTGGATGGTTGCCCATAGCCTAACTCATAAACATGCAAAATAACCCTCCTGTTGAGGGGATGCTAATCAAATTTGCAGATGATACCAAACTGGGAGGGGTAGCCAATCCTGCTGAGGACAGAACCAGGATTCAATATGAGCTTAAAAGATTGGAGAACAGGGCCAAAACTAACAAAATGAAGCTCACTAGAGACAAATGTAAGGTTCCACCTGTACACTTAGGCAGGAATAGCCAGCTGCACAAATAGAAGATGGGGACACCTGGCTTCCCAGTAGTACATGTGAAAAGGATACAGTGGTACCTCGGGTTACAGACGCTTCAGATTACATATGCTTCAGGTTACAGACTCCGCTAACCCAGAAATATTACCTCGGGTTAAGAACTTTACCTCAGGATGAGAACAGAAATCGCACGGTGGCGGCGCAGCAGGAAGCCCTATTAGCTAAAGTGGTGCTTCAGGTTAAGAACTGTTTCAGGTTAAGAACAGACCTCCAGAACGAATTAAGTTCTTAACCGGAGGTACCACTGTATAGAGATCTAGTAGACCAGAAGCTTAACATGAGTCGATAGTGTGATACAGCAACAGAACATCACTAGTGCTATTCTAGGTTGCATCAGCAGAAGTATAGTGTCCCTATCAAGGAAAAAAATAGTCCTGCTCTATTCTGCCTTTGTCAGACCATACCTGGAGTACAGTGGTACCTCGAGTTACAAACGCTGCAGGTTACAAACGCTTCAGGTTACAAATTCCGCTAACAAATTCCAAGGAAGAGTTTCCTTGAGTTGAGAACTTTGCCCCAGGATGAGAATGGAAATCATGTGCCGGCGGCGCAACAGCAGCAAGAGGCCCCATTAGTGAAAGGACGCCTCTAGTTAAGAACAGTTTCAGGTTAAGAACGGACCTCCAGAACAAGTTAAGTTCATAACTAGAGGTACCACTGTACTGTGTCCAGTTCTGGGCACCACAATCTAAGATGGATATTGACAAGCTGGAGTATATGCAGAGGAGGGTCACCAAGATGATCAAGGGTCTGGAAACTAAGTCTTGTGAGGAACAGTTAAGGGAATTGGGTATGTTTAGCCTGGTAAAGAGGAGACTTAGAGGAGATATCTATCTTCAAGTATCTAAAGGGTGTCACATGGAGGATGGAGCAAGCTTGTTTTCTCCTGCTCCAGAGACTAGGACCCGAACCAAGGGATTGAAGTTACAAGAGGAGATTCCAAATAAACACCAGGAATAACTTCCTGATAGTAAGAGCTGTTCAACTGTGGAACAGACTCCCTTGGAAGGCGGTAGACTCTCCTTCCCTGGAGTTTTTTAAGCAGAGCTAGGATAACCATCTATCATGTATGATCTAGTTGAGATTCCTGCATTGTAGGGGGTTGGACTAGATGACCCTCGGGGTCCCTTTCAACTCTACAATTCATGATTCTCTATAGAACACTACATTGCAAGAGCTGCATATTTTCCATATACTGTATTTTTCCGTGCATTAGATGAGGTTTTTTTAACTCAAAAATTATGTAAAAAAACTGAGATCGGCCTATACACGGATAGTGGCATGGGGGGGGGGAGCTGCGCACTGCCAGCCAGCTGGTTGGGGGGGGGGTTGCAACTCTCCTTCATGCCGCTGTGGGAGGAGAGTGTTTCCTGCAGCAGCGTGGAAGGGAAGCTATGCACCTGCCAGCCATCTGGTTGGTGGACACACAACTCTCCCCCATGCTGCTGCGGAGGCGCGCACTCTAGGGAGCGTTCCACAGCAGCTGGGGGAACTGCGCAGCCAGCTGGTTGGCGGGTCTGTGCTCTAGGGAGTGTTTCCGCCCACAGTGGCGTGGGGGGAGTAGCTACCCACTTTGCCAACCCCCAGCAACTGCGTGTAATTCCCCCTTAAAAATGCTCAACAAGTTTGGGCCACTCCCCCCATTTTCTTTAAATTTAGTCCCCCAAAATAGTCTTATACATGGGGGCATCTTATACACAGAAAAATACAGTAACTAAGGTGATAACTGCCTATTCGATCTTTCTATTACTATTACTATTACTAAGACTCCAGTATTTTTGTTTTGGGGTCCTGCTAATAAACATTAGGTGTTTGATGTTTGCTAATTTGAGTGTCTTCCCATTTCTCTTTGTTGCTTAGGATTTTATCCTGATTTCTTTCTTTTTAGTGACATTTGGAATGGTGAGCACAGATATGTATTATCTGAACAAAGTTATGGCAGATCTCTTTCTAGAAACCCCTCTGTCAGATACAGATCATACAGACTTCAAGTCTATGAGCAGCATTGCTGACTTTTGGCAGGTAAAGGTTGTTGTTTTTTAAATGAGAAAAACATAACTTGTGAATAATAATAATAATAAACCTGATTTTTGGCACAGAACTATGTTAGTGTAGACACATGGTTTCTGTAATCTGCTACTGTCCTATCACCACTAGACTGTTTCACACTAAAAAGTTAAGGGTAGGTTTGGGTACCCTCAGAAACCTGCCTGGGAAAGAGTTTGGGGAAAATACATCAAGAGGTATGTAGTGGTAAAGTTGGGGACTTGACTTTTTAATTTTTTTGGCATTAAGTCCTGCCAGGTAGTAGAACCTAAATGACTTACTTACTCTACTTTTTATCTTGCTGTCAACACAATTTGTTGCTATCTGGGATTAACACCATATTTTACCTTGGCGCAGTGATAATCAATTTTGGATTACTTTATATTTATGTAGTACTTTTCCTAAGTGTTCCAAGCACTTAGTGTACACAAATGTATACTATGTTAGTAATCCTTACAACAGCCCTGTACAGTGGTACCTCTGGTTATGAACTTAATTCGTTCCGGAAGTGCGCTCTTCAGCTGAAACCGTTCTTATCCTGAGGCGTGCTTTCGCTAATGGGGCCTCCTGCTGTGCACATGTGCTAAAGATGCGTGATTTCCGTTCACATCCTGGGGCAAAGTTCACAACCAGGAGCAGCTACTTCCGGGTTAGCAGAGTTCGTAACCTGAAGCGTTCGTAACCAGAGGTATCACTGTAATATAAAACCTTGTGATATGTTGTATGCAAATAGGGTGACTACATGGGAAGAGGTGTTCAAACCTTACACCTGCTTTTTGGATAGCTGCCACATGCTCATTTATTATTATCATTATTTATTAAATTTATATGCTGCCCTGTACCTTTAAGGCAGTTTACAACATAAAATTACAATAAAAAATACATAATAATAATAATAATAATAATAATAATAATGACAACCCAATAATCCCCCCTTCCACAACACATTTAAAGGGCATTAGATGTCAATTAGCCAAATGCAATTTAAGTAATCAGTAATATGTTATTGTTTCACAGTTTGTTATAGTTTAGAGTTTACTGTAGATAATAAAAAGATGCTGAACACAACCCAACAGCTGCTGTGCAAATGCAGGGCCTCTGGTTTTACATAAATCTATGCATGAACAGAAGGGAACGCGGGTGGCGCTGTGGGTTAAACCACAGAGCCTAGGACTTGCCGATCAGAAGGTCGGCGGTTCGAATCCCCATGACAGGGTGAGCTCCCATTGCTCGGTTCCTGCTCCTGCCAACCTAGCAGTTCGAAAGCACGTCAAAGTGCAAGTAGATAAATAGGTACCGCTCCAGCGGGAAGGTTAACTGCGTTTCCGTGCACTGCTCTGGTTCGCCAGAAGCGGCTTAGTCATGCTGGCCACATGACCCAGAAGCTGTATGCCGGCTCCCTCGGCCAATATAGTGAGATGAGCACCGCACCCCAGAGTCGGTCACAACTAGACCTAATGGTCAGGGGTCCCTTTATGCACGAACAGAACATTATTGATGTGTTCTGTGTGCATGAGGTACATCCCTTAACAGAAGACATCAAGAGGTGTCTGCATTTATAGTATTTTAGACCATCACCAGTGTTTTTAGTGGAATTCAGTGTGCCATTATAAAGAATTATTATTGAAGGACCTATGGCCTTGTTTGCGCATTACGTAGAATCATGAGTTGTTTCACTTCCAACAAACCATGATCTGTAGGCAAGATTTGTTATTTGCTTACGTAAAGGGCTGTCCAAGGCATTTTGCAAAGGACAAAGACTCCCCTCCCCAAGCCCTTTACATGTACAGAAGCTGTGTGGAACACTCGGCTCTTGATTTCCAACAGGGAAGAATAACCAGAAGGCTCAGGAGAAATGGTTGGGGCAGCAGGTGCTGCCGCCTGCAGTATTTGCTTTCTGTGATGATTGCCTCATTTTGCCTAACAGTTTGGTTGAGCAAAACAAACCTTGACACCTGGTTTCATACATAATAGTAAGCTGAAGATCTTGGTTTATTTCTTCAATGTTCTAGCAAGGAGGAGCAAAGCAGCTCAGATTGGCACATTCACAGTAAACTATTAACTGTGATTGACCAGGATAGGTGAAGTGCTCCTAAACCTCTTAATCTGCCAAGTGAAATCAATTGGTTGTTTTTTTATAGTAGTCCAAATAAGATGTAAAAAACAAACAAAATAGATAAACAAACATTTTATAAGGCCATTGTGCCTCCTAGATTCCCAGGTGTAACAACGGGTTTTCAAATAATACTTGATTCCAAGTAAACGAGTTTCAGATGATGAATTTCTTCTGGTAAAATTTTATTTTCTGCTTATTTCATGCAATGTAGTTTATAGAAGGACCACTTCTGGATGGCCTTGATTGGGGCACTTCGTACAACAATGATTCCGCACCCAATGAAAGAAACACCACACTTATCTACTATGAGAATTTACTGTTAGGAGTACCTCGAATTCGACAACTAAAAGTCCGTAACAACACATGTTCTATCTATCCCTCTTTCCGGGCATTTATGAAAGAATGTTATGGTAAATATCAGTATTTACATGAGGATAGACAATCATTTGGCTTTAAGAATGCCTCTGAGTAAGTATCGTGACATTTTATTTTCCTTGCTCCTTCTGACTGTATCTGAACATACTGTACACATACTTTAGCAAAATAAGTTTAATAGTGGGATTTGGCTTCCTTAGGGAGCACTGAGAAATTTTGTTATTAATGCATTTGTACTGTAAATAAATGAAACAATATGTGTCAAGGGGCTCAAGTAGTGGCACCCTGCTGATTTGCACCTACATCAGCTTGTCCCATATAAGGGTGAATCAAACGCTGCCTTAGTTTAGACAATATTTGCACGAGCCTTGTGCCTGTGCTGCCCCTTCCCTCCTTCAGTACTTCTAGATTGGAATTTATTGTGGAACTGGTGTTGCTCATTGTTTTTGCATGGTTCACACAACATCATAATAAAAATGCCAGTCCATGTTCCCCCCTTCCCTTCATCTGAATTTCCCCTTACGGTGGAAACTCTCAAGTAAAAAGGAGCCAGTATGCACCTACAGTCTCTGCTGGTATGGAACGCATTAGCACATATTTTTGGCAGGTAGTTTGTCATATGCAGTCCCCTACTTCTGTTTGCTTCTCATTCAAGTACAATCTAGCCTTTTTGCTTCTGGTGGCCACAATGATGTGACTGTGACTGTTTCCACCAATTGCTGCATGCAGAAGGCATGTTCACAGTTCATATATCAGAGACCTCTATATTAAAAATAAAATTTGGCTCATGAGGAGTTCTGCTAAATCTTTTAACCAGCTGTTCGCCACATGAGTAAGAAGCTAGAGTGGGAGGATCATGGGGCCCCATGGCCGCTAATGGGTGTGTGTGGCTCTTATGGAAACCCTGCCAACCAGCGCAAAGAATGGCCATAGCTATTGCAAATTGATGAGACCAACCTGGGCCCAACTTGCTTTTAAAAAAGGACAATGTTGTGTTAATCTTTCTACAAGTTGTCCAGGAACAAACATTAACCTCAGTGACCTAGAATTTCATGGTTCCTGCCTAGATCCCTTAAATATAATTGTTTCAGTGGTACCATATTAGTATTAAAGCTTCCAGGCTAAGATGATAATAAAGGAAAAAGAAAGCAAGAGAATGCATGACACCTGAATACAGCCACATCAGATTGATTTTTTGGTGTGTGTGCTAGTTTCATTCCCCCCACCTATAACCCACCATTTTGCCCATGGTGAAACATACTAGTTATGCTTCTTTGTATGTTCTTCCTGCGGTTTTGTTTTGGTTTTTTAAGAGGAAGGTATGCGTGTGCACAGATACAGAAATAACTGCATGCATGTCTAGAATGGAAACGAGCTGTAGACGGTGAGGGAGGAGTGACTGAGAGGAAGGAGAAAACAAAATTACAGATACATTCCATCAACTTCCACCTATTAGTGTGGATAGCAACCAACAGAATAATTGCATATTAAGATTGAAAAAAGGGGAATGTATGGAAACTAATCTGCAAGTTGCACTCCCAAGAAAATTAGGTCTGTGTGAGTCCCTTGCTTCTCAGTGTACCAGGATTGAAGACTCCTTGGGTTTATTAATCATGATTTTCAGTTACATCAAAGTCAGGAAAGTATGGTTACCAGGGCTGAAACAAACTTAAGATTTGAAACAAACTTTGAACCATGGTTTCATAGACTGGTTTATTCCAGTACTGGTAAACATAGTTTAGTTTTACCCAGAGTAGATACAGTGGTGCCCCGCAAGACGAATGCCTCGCAAGACGGAAAACCCGCTAGACGAAAGGGTTTTCCGTTTTGGAGGTGCTTCGCAAAACGAATTTCCTATGTGCTTGCTTCGCAAGACGAAAATGTCTTGCCAGTTCCTGCGGGGTTTTTTTCCTTTTTCCCAAGCCGCTAAGCCGCTTATCAGCTGCTGGCTAAGCCGCTTATCAGCTGATCTTTAAGCCCCTTAACAGCTGATGCTAAGCCGCTTATCAGCTGATCGTTAAGCCGCTTATCAGCTCATCGTTAAGCCTCTTATCAGCTGATGGTTAAGCCGCTTATCAGCTGATCTTTAAACCTAAGCCGCTAATACTGTAGCGCTAAGCCGCTAAACCTCTAATGGGCTTGCTTCGCAAGACAAAAAAACCCGCAAGACGAAGAGACTCGCGGAACGGATTCTTTTCGTCTTGCGAGGCACCACTGTACATTGAAATTAATGGACCTAACTTAGTAATGTTCATTAATTTCAGTGGGTCTACTTTGAGTAAAACTTAGTTGAATGCCACCCCAGTTTCTGAAGATTTATTTTAAATTACCTCAGATAATAGATATTTGTTTTATGTTTTTAAAATGTTTGTTAAAGAACCTTTGTTAATATTATTTGTAAAATTGTTTTGGTATTGTCTTAGGTTGCCACTCATTTCGGGCATATAAATTGATAGGTGAGGTATTCATTTATTTAACAACACAGTACAGTTCCTGTGCACAGTGGGATGACTATAGGATTTAACACAATATTATTGCTCTGCATCCCCTGCCACACATTCATAGGCATATGTGCAGTTAGCCCAACAGGCTGTTATGGGAAATGGCAAGCCTCTACACAGCTTCCATTTTCCAACGCAGCCCTTCCATGCTTCTTGACCATACCATCTTGGTGCACTGTCTGTATGTACAACTGGAGTTATGCTTTTACCTTTAAACCACATTCAAGCACATTGTTTCCTTCAAGGAATTCTGCAGCTTACCCCTCACAGAGTTACAATTTCTAGCAACTCTTAACAAACTACAGTGTCCAGAATTCTTTGAGAATGTGCTTGTACTATATACACAGCCCACAAAAAAGGTAGTACTATATACCAAAGTAGGCAAGATGTCATCCATGGAATTTTGCATTCATGTGATTGAATTTTTAAAAGTAAATAGCAGGATGGGTTAGGGGGTGGGACCATCTGGATTGGGAGCCTGGTGAGAAGGGGAACTTTAACCCTTCACTCCCCTTGCCCTGATCTAGATGATCTAGATGGGGGTGGGAGAAAACTGGTACGAATGAGATTTTTGTTTCCACTGTGAATAGCAGGTGTGCAGTGTTCAATTAACTATTTCTGTTAAAAAGGCACTGGAAAGCTAAGAGTGATTGAATAAATCCTTGGGGAGTAAATGGGGGGGAATGCTTTCTGTAAACTGAAGTGCCTCAATTCCCTTCTTTCCTACAGGTGGCATTATTCCACTTCTAAATCACTCTCCCCATGGCATTGGGGCCTTATTGGGCTATACAGTAGTGGAGGATTTATGTTCACCTTGCCCAAGTCAAAGGCAGAAAGTGCAGCAAAACTTGCTTTCCTCAAGAAGCATAACTGGATCACTAGAGGAACAAGGGTTATCTTCATTGACTTTTCAATGTATAATGCCAATGTAAACCTCTTCTGTGTGGTCAGGTGAGCTCTTCTGTTTGCTGTTCTTAAAATTCAGTTTTCAACATAAAGTAGTCACATTACCAGTCCTGTTGCTAAAGTACGGTAATAATGGCATGCTCTACTCTGTTGCTGAATGGACGAATCTCACCCTGTGCAGGCTACTTAAAATTGTACATCTACTGCGCAAATCAAATCCTTCTTTCCACTCCTTCCAGTTGCTGCTGGTTTAGCATACAAACTCTTCTAGCCCTTGACTTTTGCTTTGCCTTTTCAGGCATTAAATCTAGGGTGCCGCCACTGCATGGACTGTATCTCATTTCATTTCCTAAAAGTTCCACTGATGCCAGAGTTTGAAATCTTGACTGAATGCTATAGAGCAGCAGCTTTTTTTTGGATCCACAAAACAAAACATGTTCAAAACTTGTCAAGAAACAAAACCTTCATTATATCTAGAGCAGAAGTGGCTAGCTTTTCTTGGTTCAATAGCTACTTACATCCTTAGACAGTTCTCTAGGTGCATGCTAGTGATGATTGTGACCAAAAGTGGGTATGTACATCCTATACTCACACAAGCACAGAATGCATGTGTGCACGCTCACATAGGTACAGAGCCCTTGCTGATCTACTGAGGAATGGAGTTATTGCACCTTCCCTGCTCATCAAATGAAGTGGAAGGGTGTGATATGCATCTTCAACAGGGCACTGGCCTGGGCCGAGGGGTTTAAATCTCTTAGCCCGCTGCAGCGCATGCCTGTTTATATTTTTTATTCCTTTGCCACCACTACCAAAATCTGTGGGGTCTTGGGGGCCAGAAAAACTTGCTTAAGGGACTACATCAGCCCCCCAAGCCAGAGGTTAGCTACAACTGATCGAGAGGTAATAATAGTGCAGGGGCCTTTGAAATTACCCCAGGTGAGCTTTGTAGTTTGGAATCAGTCTTATGTGTTACCGGATAGCATCCTCCTTTACTTTCATTTCACAGGCTCATTGTGGAATTTCCTGCAACAGGTGGTGCAATCCCCTCCTGGCAGTTCCACTCTGTAAAGCTGCTCAGATACGTCAGCTATTACGATTATTTCCTGGCCTCTTGTGAAGTCATTTTTTGTCTTTTCATCTTCACTTTCACCATCCAAGAAGTTTTAAAATTAAAGAAACAGAAAAAGGACTATTTTAGAGATGCCTGGAACTGGCTGGATGTGTTATTGCTCCTGGTAAGTCTCAGAAATTACAAAAAAGGAATTATGACAGAAACCATATTGCGTTGTAGGGACAGAATGCCTTCCATATTGCCACTATAGAGAGAGCTGGGAATACTGGGAAGAGGGGTAGATGTTCCTTGGGCAAGGAACATTCACAGCTTCAAATTTAGTATGTTTCTGCCCTGGAGAAACATGGCAGTTAACTGTGTTTTATACATGGCAATTCTTTTCTGAAAACCAGGCCAAAGCAGTCAAAATGCAAGGCTCACAATCAATGTGTGCATTCAGTGTTGTCTGGCCGTCCACAACTTAGCTTGTATATGATTAACAGTAAGCATACCGGTAATCAGAATAATTTTGATTCCCTGCTTTCCTTAAAGTGCTTGAAAAAGTTCTTAGTGTTTTATTTTTCTACAATTACATAAGAACCTGGCTACATTAAATTGATTATATTCAGAGTGGTCCTGTATTTATGTTGAATCCAGAGGCATTGATTGCAATCCCTGCTCAGTCTTGGTTTCCTTGGGTGCCACTAGATCAGTCAGATATAATGTTAAACTTTGGCTTTTCATTAGAAGAATGAGCCAAGAGCCTCAGGGCCCATGTGTTCACTTTTCCTCCAGATTTTGGTTCCATTATTGACTAGCTAAGGTTTAGTGTTATGTCAAAAAGTGAAATTTACCTATGATTTAATGCAGTGCTTTTTTCTGGGGGTACTCTGGGGTACACATACCCTTAAACGTTTTGTGAATCTAAGTTTTGCCTCATCGAGGGGCAGTATTTCAGTATGAGTAGGAAAATTAAGAGTACCCCTAAACAATTTTTATAGAAAAAAAGCACTGGTTTACTGAAAGAAACTAACTTCAAACTTTTGTTGATTAAGGTAGCTCCTTTCAAAAACCATAGCTAAGTTCAACCATAGTTCAGGCATAATGCTGAACTGCAGCTAATTGAAAATTGAAGGGAAAGCTTTCAATTGTCTCCTTGCAGTCTGCTCTCACCCATTTAGGATGAAAAAGCAGGAATTATAGGATAGATATCACCTTCCTTTTGGGAGGAAAATTGATACCTAAATTAGGAACAAGCTTGTCTGATACCTCTTTTGGGCCTTAAGCAAGGATCAGATTATTTCTTGTTTTCTGCTGTCTACTACTCCCTAGTAATCGGGGTACAGGGAAAAGAGAGTTCCAAATATTTTTTATTTATTAAATTTCTATACCACCCTTCATCTGAAGATTACAGGGCATATTACAATATAAAAATGCAAAAATACATAACGTAGTAATAAACAAATATAGTACCCCTCCACACAGTTTAAAAGGCCATAGATTGTATAATTAGCTAAAGGCTAGGAGAAGAGAAATGTTTTTTCCTTGCACCTAAAGATACCTAATGAAGGGGCCAGGCAAGCCTTCCTGGGGAGAGCATTCCACAAGGGGAGAGCCACCACAGAGAAGGAGCCCTCTTGGCCTCTCATGGAAGAAATGTCTCAGATGATGATTGCAGTGTCTGGGTTGGTTCATATGGGGAGATGGGTGCAAACTTCCCATCCGCAAAAAGCCTGTTGTATCATGGCAGGAATTTTGTGGTCCACAAAAAGGGAACATCAGATTGATAAAGAATGGCAGCTCTATAACAGTAGCTAAAGAAACAGAGTCCCTATCTTTTTTCCATCGAAAAGGCTTGCACTTTATCATTTTAATGGCCTGCCAGTATTTGGGAGTATTCCAGGTGACAGCAGAGCTTTAAGAAAGAGACAGATACAGAGATAGAAAGAGAGACAGAGAAGGGATGTGAAAATCTAGTTCAGAAGGTGGAGACTTTTTCAGCAGTATCTGGATAAAGGCAAATCATTATGTCACCATCCTGTCAGCACAGGGAGAAGGGCTGTTTTCAGTCTCTGAGGTTGCTACACTAACATGTAAATACATTTGCTTGCAAACTGTAATAATTACAACAGCAATTCTTAATCCTCATTTTGTATGCAAATAAATGAAATTCTGGGACTCATACTGAAATCTGAGGGAAACTCACCTCACACAGAATCCTTTTAGGGGAAACCATGCTAAGCTAGCAATAAAACTTAAATGAGTTCTTTATGTACCCTAAAACATTCTATTTCAGGTGACAACTATAAAATGATTTAAGATGTGTGTATTCCATGCCTGAAGAAGAATATTAATGTTACCCTCATGGTGAAGAAGAGCATGGGTTATGGCAGGGGTCAGCAACCCGCGGCTCCAGAGCCGCATGTGGCTCTTTTACACCTTTGCCGCGGCTCTGGAGTGGATACTAGCGAGGGGAGGAGGCGCATTGTGCGCCCCGACACTCCCCACTGTGGCGGGCGCTGTACTGGCTGTGACGTCGCATGGGGGCGGTGCGTGCGTAAGTCACGCACCATCCCGACGTCACCTTCCTGCCCGCCCGCCCGCCCGCTCGCTACATTGTAAGGGGCATGTACGCTGGTCACTGCATTGAAAGGGGGCATGTACGCTGGTCACTGTTTTGAAGGGGAGTGCAGAACACACACACACAAAAAGGTAACTTGTTAATTTAACGTTTATTTCTATGAGGAGGAGTAATTCTGAGGGGTCAAACAAAGAAATAATAAAAAAAGTGACAAAAAAGTTATTTTTATAATGACGAGTTTTGCGGCTCCCAGTTTTTTTTTCTTCGGAAACGGGTCCAAGTGGCTCTTTTTGTCTTAAAGGTTGCAGACCCCTGGGTTATGGTGTTTCATAAAATAAAATAAAATTCTCCTCATATAGATACTGAGATACCCAGAGGGCCTTCTCGGTAGTGGCGCCCACCCTGTGGAAGGCCCTCCCATCAGATTTCAAAGAAATTAACAACTATCTGACATTTAGAAGACAGCCCTGTTTAGGAAAGTTTTTAATGATTGATGTTTTAATATATTTTTACTCCTTTGTTGCAAGCCGCCCAGAGTGGCTGGAGAGGCCCAGCCAGATGGGTGGAGTATAAATGATTATTTATTTATTTACTCCCTACATACATTTTAATAATAATAATAATAATAATAAATTTTATTTATATCCTGCCCTCCCCAGCTGAAGCCGGGCTCAGGGCGGCTAACAACAATCAAATAATGCAACATTCTAAAAACATTCCATTATAAAAATTAATTAAAATCAAATTGATGGCAACCATTAAGCAAAAATTCTGTGCAGATTTTAATGCATATTTGGCTTATAGGCAGATATGGTTTACCTCTCGTAGCCCTTTATCAATCAACTTCATTAAGATATGAAGAAAATATCAGAAAAATAGAAATTGTAACCTCACAGACGTTTGCTTTTTTCCCTCCAGTTGTCTGTTTTTGCTATTTTCTTCAATGTTTACCGAACTATTGAAGTGTCCAGATTGATGGAAAGTCTGCTCTCCAATTCAGAAGCTTATCCAGACTTTAATTTCCTTTCATTCTGGCAGACCCGTTACAATAATATGATTTCAGTGAATGTATTTTTTGCATGGATAAAGGTACTGCTGCTCACATTACTAAATATATTGACAATGTTTTATTTTCATACTTCTCACAGAAAATTTTCAAATTTTCTCTTAGAGATTTTAAAGAGCTATCTGAAGAATGTTTGCATAGGTGTTTATAGATCATTTCCTCTTTCCTCCACATTCATAATCTCTGCCAAGGCTTATCCCTTAGGGGACTATAGTACATTATTTGTCAGGGAGACCCTAAAAAATGCCACTTTAGTAACATCCACTGTTATGTTCTTTATCACCTTCCTTCTAAAATTGCAGCCTACTTAAGGTATAGGAGTGGGGAAAGCTGTTGTGTAGTATTATGGGCTGCTAATGTGACCATGAAATGACTTGCATTGCTTTAAAAAAATGGGTTAACTTTTCACTAATCTTGGTCAAGGCTGGTCATGCAGTCACACTTGCTCTAGCAGTTACTCCAAATTCCAAATATGTCCGTTGGCCCAAAAAGATTAGAACACCCTGTTCTAGTGTAATGTTCAGAAGGGAATTTCCATGGAGAGAATGTCATGTTCCAGTTAAATAAAGAGCTTGTGCATTTCCCACATTTATTTTCCCTTTTGAACTTAAACTGGAAGTGCCGTAAGAGAAAGTCCCCATCACTTGCTCTTGTTTTACAGTTTTAGTTAGGTTACCAGAGTAGCATGGGATCTCACACTAGGGACCAATGTAATGTTTGAAATTGGGCTTAAAGGTCCACTGTTCTGTACCTCCAATACTGATTATTTTAATTTATATAAAGAGTTATATAGAATCTCCAGCAGAAATCCTTCCTCTGGAAAAGGAAACTGTGTGAGCACTGGAAATGATCTATAAGCGCTAGAAGAATGGGATATAATTTTTTATAAAAATTCAAAATAATATGTCTTTTATAAATAACTCCATTTCTCTAGTTATTTCATTTCAGGCCCACCTGAATATTCATCCAATTTAGTATTGATTTCCTGCCAAATTTAAGCAGGTAACTTTGAGCCCCTTCTGTTGGCTTGGTCTTTGTCCCACCACAATGTATCCTGTTCTGTTTTCTTCCAGATATTTAAATACATAAGCTTTAACAAGACCATGACCCAGCTGTCTTCCACTCTATCCCGCTGTGCTAAAGATATCATCGGATTTGCCATCATGTTCTTTATCATCTTCTTTGCATACGCGCAGTTGGGTTACCTGGTCTTCGGGTCTCAAGTGGACGAATTTTCCACTTTTCAGAATTGCATGTATGGAGTCTTCCAGATTGTCTTCATATAGTTCTGTGGTTAGTTAGAGCAGCGTTTTCTTAAGTGAAATGCTAAGAGTGCCTGAGGTGTTTTATAATGGCATGTTGTGGGATACCTGAGCTGCCTGGTAAAAGTATACAGCTGGAATGGGCAATGGTGGCACAGCAGATCTTGACCTGGGTGGGCAGAGTGACCCATTTACTCACAGCCATTTTAAAGGAGCTCGCATATGAAACAACAATATATCACCAAACCCCTCCCTCTTCAGTTCTCATCCAGGTACAGGGAGACATGGTGACTGTGAATGAACATTTCGGCATGCAGCACACAAAGTGGATTGTTACCTAAGCCAGCCTTTCTCAACTTGGTGCCCTCCAGATGTTTTGGACTAGATACTTTGACCCCAGCGAGCATGGCCAATGGTCAGGGATGATGGGAGCTCTCATCCCATCATCAGTTTGATGATGGGCATCAGTTTGAGCAAGTTTGAGGGCATCAGTTTGAGCAAGGCTGTGCTAAGCTTTTATGCCTAAATTGTTTTGCCACTGTACACGCTTTGGGAGCTATGCTGAGGTGCAAGGTAAAAATCTTAATAATAATAAAATCAGCTAGTCACTATAGAAATAGGTTTGAAAGCTCAGAACATATAATCTATGGAAGCCAGTGGTTGATATTTTTAAATTGAGTATAAGCTATACCATAAGATTTAACCTCAATATAAATTGTAGAAGAATATTGTATACTGATACTTTTTCTCCCTCTCAAGTTTTACCCAATTTCGCATCGTGCTTGGAGATTTTAACTTTGCCGAAATAGAGCATGCAAATCGAATCCTTGGGCCAATTTACTTCATCACATTTGTGTTCTTTGTGTTCTTCGTACTGCTGGTAAGTAGTATTTTAGAGGATTCGAATTAAATACAAATACATATACATATAATTAATTAAATAAATAAATAAATATACAAAGTAATTAAATCTCTGTATTTGGGCTGGTGTCAGAGTAATAAAACGTAGTACACATGTTCATAGTTTTATGGGACAGTGTTTAAATGATCATATATTGGCTTAATATGCTGAGATATCAATGTCCCTTTTGTTAGCACAGTCAAGTACTGTTCTTTTCAATTTGCAGTGCAAACAAATAAACCAGGAAAGCTTCAATTAACCATATTCCAAGCCACAATTTGAAGTTGTTTTAATACTGTGGTTTGTTCTCAAGCTGGTAACCATAGTTTCATGGCTTAGATAAAACTGGCAATTATGGTTAATTAGAGACTTTCCAGTTAATCATGGCTTGTACAAAGGGAAGAGTGAAAGCTTGGTGTGCAAGCAAAAGTCGTGTTTGTATCTTTGCTTATTAAGCTGAAAGACTATTGTTATATATATTTCACCAAAGTTGTCATATTTTAATGGAAACCATGAGCACCAGAAAGCCAACAACGAAAACAGCAACAGTATAATCCTATGCATGTCTTATTTGGAAGTAAGTCCCACTGAGTTCAGTGAGACCCACGTCCAGGTAACTGTGTACAGCAGGGTTGGGAATTGTGTGGTCCTCCAGGTGGTGTTCAGCTCCCTTTGGCCCCTAGAAGTATGTAACAACAACAACAACAACTATTATTATTATTATTATTATTATTATTATTGATATGCTTCCCATCTGACCGGGTTGCCCCAGCCACTCTGGGCAGCTTCCAACAAATTAAAACATTAGACACAGTAAAACATCAGACATTGAAAGCTTCCCTATACAGGGCTGCCTTCCTATGCCTTCTAAAAGTCAGATAGTTTATATCCTATAGAATTGGCCTGAGACCACTCACGTACAGAAGTGCAATATGGTCTACCTTCTGCTGGAATTGCTTTTGAGAGATACATTTGTAAAGCACTGAGGCATGACTTTAAATTATTCTGCTGTTTAAGCATTCAGGGTTGACACTTACTTCAGCAGTCCTTGCAGTGCTAAGCTTAGTAATGGTTTGTTAATGAGTCAGGGAAAAAGGAGATGTGGCAAGGAAGCAGGGATGCAACAAGAGGGAGATGGAGAGATGGTAGACTGCAAATGTTGTGGAGCAAGGAGCTAATTTTAGAAAGGCTTACCATTCTTATTTGTCTATTCCCTCAGGTTTAGAGGGTAAAGTTAGAGAACTCGAGGTGGGGCATGAGTTTTCTTTTTTTATACTTTGTTTTGATTATGTTGCCCTGCCAATTTACTGTGATGAACCTTCAATACTGAATAACAGAGCCAAGTTGCTTATGTAAAAGTAGGCATGGTTATAAAATGTAGGTGCACATTTTCATATTTGCCACTGGGATGTTGGAAGGTGAGAAAACTAAATCATTCAGTCATCCCAACCTTATTTTTCCCAAATAGAGGTTTGTAAACATGGGGTGCTTTTGTTAAGGCTGCAGTCTTATGAAGTAAGCACAGTTGAATTTCCGTTGTAAGCCTTTGCTTACATCAGTGCTGCATCATTTCCCCATTATCTTTTGAAATCTGACCTAACCACTTTCCTATTCCTGTGCATACCTGGGGGTCTTTTTGCACACAGATAGCACACAACTTTACTTGTAAGCCAATTAACAGCCTATGCTGAGGGGCAGGTTCAAGCACTTAGTCTGTCATCATGATGAGCAGCCGTGTGACATACTTATTTAATTGGAGATGGTTAAATACAGTAGAATAGGGGACACGGGTGGCGCTGTGGTCTAAACCACAGAGCCCAGGGCTTGCCGATCAGAAGGTCAGCAGTTCGAATCCCCGCAACAGGGTGAGCTCCCGTTGTTCGGTCCCAGCTCCTGCCCACCTAGCAATTGGAAAGCACATCAAAGTGCAAGTAGATAAATAGGTACCGCTCCAGCAGGAAGGTAAACAGCGTTTCCATGCGCTGCTCTGGTTCTCCATGCTGGCCACATGACCCGGAAGCTGTCTGCAGACAAACACCGGATCCCTCAGCCTGTAAAGCGAGATGAGCGCCGCAACCCCAGAGTCGTTCGTGACTGGACCTAACGGTCAGGGGTACCTTTACCTTTACCTTTAAGCACAGTAGAATACAGAATGGAATCTTCTCACCAGTAAAACATCCCTGCCCCTCATTTCAAGTGGCATGGACAATGTATCTTGTAGTCCAAGATACATCCAAATATCATGAGGAAAATTGCAATCAAGTTTGATTTGTACCTCATTATTAAGGTACTAAACATGACACAAAATTTGGAAGTAAAATCCTCATCAAGGGCGCTAACCAGCAATTGATGTGATGCCCTACGACAACTGAGAAAAAAATAGTGGGTGTAGTCAACATATTAATATTGGGACATTGGAAGGAGTTGTAAAATTAATAAAAACTACTATTAGCCAGTATCTTGCAAGGTTGGTGAGTTGTCTTCTATTATGAATGCACTAATTTTTCTTATTCACTGCACCCTGCTGATATTGTTGACGCTAATCGCTGCTCTGTTGTATTGACTAATCTGGCATCATTGCTTTTGTCTATAATGGATCAGATTAAATAACCATTGAGACCCCTGTCTGTAAGTTCAGCCTCTGATTTTGTGACTCAAAATTCTTTCTCTTTTGCACAGAACATGTTCTTGGCAATCATTAATGACACATACTCTGAAGTGAAAGCTGATTTTTCAGTCATCCCAAGCAGAGAATTTGAGATCAGTGATCTCATTAGACAGGTAAGCACCTATAGGTGTTTCTTCATATTACCATTGTCAGCAACAAAATAATGGCTGCTTGTTAATCATATCTTGGCTTAATAAGATGAGATGTGAAGAAGTTTCATTTCGTACCTGCAGCCACTTTGCTGCTCCCTTTGTTAGAGCAAGTAAACAAGACAGGAAATCTTTCCATCTCATCCTGACTGGGAAATTAATGGTTAATGGTTTCAGGACAAACGAGTATATTAAGACTCATATAATGGTTTGGAGTGGTTTAATATCCTGGCTTGTTCCAAAGCTATCATGAGGACAAAATGGGAAATTATAGTTAATGGAAAATTTCCTGGCTTATTTTCTGTTCACACAAAGGGAAGAGCTAAGTGGTTGTGTGTGTGATCAAAAGCTTGTTCATATGTCAGCTTAATCACGTGACTATTTTAATAATAGATAATAGAATCTATAATGAGTAGTTACTGACTACTTGCTTTATTCATAAAGTCCTTTAAAGGATCAACCTGGTACTACTTCCTATAGTTCCAATTAATTGAGATGCAATTCACTTGGCTTCAATGGGTCTGTGGTTCCATAGACAATGAATGGGGTTTTGTCACCTCATTGTTTGGGTTGCATCTCCTAATCAAGGAGTCATTTCTGGTTGGCTGCATTTGTGAGGCTGGGAAAAATAAGAAAGTCACCACATGATTCCAACCTTATCTTCGTATTTAGGGGCTCAACCATCCCTACATTGGGATTATGTGGTACACCTTTTGTGACTTGTGAAAACTCCTTGCATCACTTTATATTACCCATGTCTTCTTTTTGAGCATATGATATTTTTAAGCAGGTTACTAGCAATGCCCCATTTGGTTGTGCAGAGCCTGGTGATAGGGAGAAACATGTGTTTGGTGTGGCTGATGAATATGTAAATCTAGTTTAATTGAGAATCTCATGTGAGATTGGCTTATTTAGGAGCAGGGGTTTTTATCAGCCCCCCAAGTCGATTTTATTTATTATTCATTTGCCAGGTGTATATTTGCAGTCACTGCATATTCAGAAACTACAAACACTTTCTGCCTCATGCTTGTGTAGACACCTTGTTCAAAGCCTGATTAATCCCAAATTCACCAGTGTAACATACTACCTAATTTAGCTTCCGTTGACTTTTTTTCTTATCCTTATTCTTGGGATTTTGAAGAAAGGCTGCTTTATTTTAAGCAAACGAGCATCTAGAGGATGAAAACAGAGTGCAGAAATACACATCCTGTGATAGGATGTTCAAGTGACAGGTGTCATAATTTCTAACATCTTGAAATAAAAGCATTCCCTCATTTTTAAAAGCCAAGGATTGCTTATTGCTCAGATATGATCATGGGGAAAATATTAAGGAGGCTCATTTATAAAAGATACCATGGATATTTCCAGTACATAGAACTCCCACCCAAGTTTATTAAAGCTGTTTTTCACAGCCCAGCCTCTATTTAGCACTGAATGTATTGAGACAATGGTTTTTAATAAATACATACAACAACTAAAATCTGTGAGGACAGTTACAAGAATGGTTGCCAACTTTTTATTCCACCCCCCCATACAATTTTATTAAAGTTTTTCCATAATACAATAAAAGAAAAGAAACTAATTAAATAAAAACAATAACATTAAAAGAAAGATAAAAGAAAATGCAGAGTCCTCTCTCTAAGGTAGCTCTTAACCCTCACATAGAAAGAGGTAGACTTTCCCAGCTCTCACCAGGGAGCTTTCGTTTTTTCTCCTATTTTCTCACCCTGGCAGATCTTCCCTTCCCTACCTCTCATTCAGGGTCCTTCACAGCACCATCCATCACCAAGAATGGTTTCCAAGGTTTTTTCAGTTGTGTGTGTTTTTACCCAGTATGCCGCTTAAAATTAATCTCCAGAATCACTTATAAAGAGTACCACTTTTTTTCGCTTCTGTTTTCTTCCTCACAAGAAATTTGTGTGTTCTAAGTTGTGCTGGAGACAGATCTGAGTAAGTGTTACCTTTCATAGTTTAAAAATAGACGAGAAGAGGCAGCTTGCTTGTTTGGCACAGTAGCCAAAGATGGTGCATACTGAAATTGTTTTGCATTCACCAGAGTTGCATCCAATTTAAGGGTACAATTCTCTGTCCCTGGAATGGCATCCCAGTGGCTATAGAATTTTATAGCTTTGACTGTATCTGGGCAGAGCAGGACTTCAACTATTCCTCCTCCAACAGTAGGAAGGTATATATCTGTGGATCCAGGAAATCTTTGCATCCTCTGAACCCAAATCCTTTCTGTTCCCCTGCTATGTGCCCAGGATGGGTTTGGGGAAATATGTCAGCCCTCCAACCAGTCCCATCGTTTCTACCCTCACCAGCACAAAACGGTTGGGACTCAGGATTTGATGGGTCTATGTTGCCCCTTCTCATTGGTTTCCTCTGCCCATCTGCCTAACACATCAGCATTCCCTCTTAAGACTCATACATACTGCAAACTTTGAGGCTCCAGCATCATTTTCAGCTTTCACTCTTTCCCCACTCAGTTTTGTTTAACATCCATTTGAAAAAGTTTCTGACAACTCAGAAGCTTATTCACTATTTTGTGACATCTCAGTGAGATATAATGAATATATTGCCAAACTATGGTTTTGGGATATCCACCTAACAGTGCTTTCTTTATATTATACTTAGAGTTACAATAAAGCTCTAGTCAAACTCAAACTGAAGAGGCAGACATCACAGACAGAAGACTTGTATGGAGTAAGCAGGTAGAAATCACATGCGCACCTCAGTTTTCACAACCTTGAAACCAAAAAAGTATTTGCTATGTCAGCTGTGTTTTTCAAGCTTGCAATCAAATCTAATACACTATCAAATCTAATGTGCACCCTAATTTTCATGACGTAATTAGGCCAAAAAAGGTGTGCATTACATTCGAGTAAATACAGTATATATCCCATATACTATTTAGATAGAAAGAAGGCTCACAAGAGAATTCCGTTACTGTTGCAGCATATGGTAGAATCCATGTTCTGTTGCAGTCAAATGGCAAAACTGATTACGGTGCTGCTAGACTGCATGTTAAAGTTTTGAAATAAGGGGGTAGGGAATCTACTCCCAGTCCTGTCACATGTAAATTTAATGTCAATCAATCTAGATGTTTCCTGAAATGTATAGCCATTGCCATCCTATGTCTGTTCTTATCTCTTGGTTGAATATGTGTTATTGAAAGTAGTGTTTTCTTTCTACCACATCTTACCACTTGCTTGGCTGCTGTATGCGAGGGGCAGGGAAATGCTGAACGGCAATAATAATCATGTCATGCATCTTCTTTAACTAGATATAATTGTGATGTGGGAGGAGATGTGGGTGAGCAGTGGGGATAACTTTTTAGGACCCTAAATTTATGGAGCTTTGTTCAGTCATCCTTTAGCATTAATTGACTGATTACCTGCATTCAGGCTTTTTGGGAAGAAGTGGGGACTTAATTCTTTTCACACAAAAAAAGATCTACATTTTACACCAGGTTCCATTTTGTAGTTTGCTGACATCAGTTTCACTCAAAGCTGTTTCACAGCAGCGAGGAACCTCTGGCCCACAAAGGCTGTTTTGAGCTGGTGTTGCCCACTTCTTACGCCCCTGAAGTCATATGACGTGAGGTGTGGGACTGATAAAGCCATGAATGCCAAGGGACTGTCGGGAGAGCACACTAAGATGTGTGTTCCTAATTGCTCCTTTCCTGTGGGACTTGCATTTAATGCTGTATGCGAGCACTGCTGCCTTTTACAGGGATCCGATCACCCAACATCATAAGATATTGGATGATTGGCCTATAGTGTGTTGGCCACTGCTTGATCCAGCCTACTGGACCAAAGTGGTTCCCCACCCTTGCTGTATCAGGAAGTGGCCATAATATGGACTGTAATTGTGTACTGTGTTTTATTGCATGACAATTAGAAGCTCCAGGACAGATGTGAATAAGAGCCTCTCCAGAGTTGGTAGTTCGGACAAGGTAAGATTCTTCTGCTCTAAAAAGTTGATGCTGAATTCTGCACACAAGACTACAGACACGTTCCCTCTCTTTTTGGCTGTTCTCTGGTAGAATCTAGCATTCATCTGACCCTGCACACATTCTTTTCTTCAGGTAGTGTGTGTTTGTATGGATCAGTAATAGGAAAGTGTTTTAAGGACAGAAAATGCCTAGTCCTTTCTTCTTTTATACTTCTGCACTTTGTATGCGACTTGAGCATGTGAGCAATGCAACACGTGAACATGGGAAAGTGACTTAATGATGGCTGTTTTTCTTTGTGTAAACAATATTGTGTCTCTACAGGATGTTTCCAGGAAACGGAAATCTTATGGTAGCTCATCCGCGGGACTTCAGAATGCAGTTTCTTACACTGAATTTCAAAGGTATGCTGCTTAGTGTCATAGTCACTGTTGTCTTCAACCCTTTCAGACTGGGATTCATGTTCAGGCCAAATGTATTGGAGACCCACTTGTTAAGCCCCCCCCCCCCCCCCAGGGAAATGCTGCTCTTGTGACCCAGCTGAGTTCAGGAGGGGAGAGTGCTCTTGTGCTCGAATCCTGCTTGTGGGTTTCCCACAGGCAATTGCTTGGCCACTGTGAGAACAGGATGCTGAGCTGGATAGGCCATTGGCCTTAGCCAGCAGAATCTTCTGATGTTCCTACATCAGATAGTAATCCAGTAATGGGGTCATGATACACCAGTTGAAAACTAATGTATGAAGAGACAGTGTGATCCTCATTTGGACAGTTTTCCACCCCAAACAACTTATTTATTCATTTTAAAAAGCATGCTCCTGATGGGATCATCTGAACTACCCAGTTGGAACTCCATAATGCAGCTGATCCCTGCCCAAGCAGGGCTGCCTCAACGCTTCTCAAAAGCACTGTTTCACATAGCCACCACCACCCCATTTAAAAGAGAAGGGGGGCAGCTGCTTCAAACAGTGCTTCTCCTTTCAGAGGTCCATGGGAAGTTGATCTTTCCCAAAGGTAGCTACTTCCAAAAGTAGCTGCTTTCTTTAGCTGCACATACTTTGTTCCCAGGAAGGAACAAGTGCACCCAAACAGCCCTTTTCAGGCCATCCCATGTTACTCCTTTCAGCTTCTGATTTGGGAAGTGGAAATGGGCTGCAGGGACGGTGTCAAAGAGTAGCACTGGGAAGGAGAAGTGGCTTCCATTGGACAGAAACCTATTCCCCCGCAAGGCACACTCCTACTGCCCATCAGCTCATGGGTGGATTGGAGAGCACCTTGCTCCAGCAAAGGAACCACCAAGAGCCCACATTAAGCTCCCAATTGTTATTTTGAAGCCCCACCCTCCACCTAACATCATGTAGGATCTCAGGTACAGAGCAGGTGGGTGTGGCTTCCCAAAAATGGCTAGTTGAGCCAAATGAGAAGGCGTGGCAGGCTAAAAATGATTCTAAAGCCCCGCAGATGAGTTTTCTGTTTGTACGTTTTGTTGGATTTTGATTTTTTCCTTGTTCTAGACTTTCCAGATATACAGCAGAAATGGAGAAACAACTGAAAGAAGTGACCTATAAGCTTGACATGCTTATGAACGCTGCTCCTAAAACCACAGTCTCACCATGAAAGCTACAGTAGGGAAAGGTAAGAGAGCAGATTTTACAATTGGGACCCAGTCTGACTGAAACCTTAGATGCAACTTCTTATGCCTTTCAGAAACAAGGTTGCCCAACTTGTCTCAGTATTTGTATAGCTGCAGCACTGGGAAAACGTTCTAGGCTCTAGAATGTAGGTGTTGAAAGGAATCCTTCCCCAGCTTATGCATTACCCCCTCCATTCAAGTGCCCTGCCAGTTGCTTGGCTGAACACCACATAGATTCTGAGAAAAAGCTACTTCATAAAGTTAAAAAAAAGGAAAGTTCCAACCAACCAACCAAAGTCTAAAGATGGGGTTGCCCAGGAGCTATGATTGCTTGCCTCCTCCTACTAAATGTAAGGCAGAAGAGCTGCTTTTGGCATAACTTATTTTGTCAACAGTAGCTTAACAGGAAGTGAGAACTGTAGGCATGTTACATAGCCATGAACATATGCACTGAACACCTCCACCTACTGTTTTATTATGTGGCTGTTTGGGGGCACTGTACTTAAACCCAGGCAATCAGGTTGCAGCTGTGGGAAAACACATAAGAATAGAAATGTTTTAAAAGATAAGGCAAAAGTGTTTTCCTTCATTCTTTAGAGCAGCATTGGAGGGGCAAAGAATAAATCTCAATTTGGAACTGCTGGGAGCAGGCTGTCAAATGTTATAGGATACTAAATAAAGTTGTTTAGTTTTGTATCTATTGTATTCTATATTCCGAAGCCAGTTTGAAAAAAATGATATATATCCCAATCCAGAAAAGGCAATTGCCACATACTTATCAGAAACCATGGACATACCTTAGAATCCCCAAGATCCCACTCCCCAAATTCATCCTTTAATTGATTTTATTTCTGGATGTAAGAATTAAACAATTTTTAAAAGTGTAGAATTGCTAATGGGAAAGTATTTTGGCAGGCAGTATTTAGAATTGCTGTTCCCACCACACCCATGTTTATATGTTGCCCCAAAGAGGGTTGACCATGGTGGCTGGCTTTCAGCACAAAAAAGGTTAAGCCTGCCATAGATACACATCTGAATGTACCTTCAAATAAAAATGTTACTTTCAATAGGACACATTCATTGCACAGTTCATCACCTCCAGGTTTGTGTCTGCTTCCCACTGAAAGTAACGGAGTACTTTGTGTGTATGTGTGTGTCCCCAATGGTGAAGTGATCTGATTTACACTCCCAGCTAGTGTTTTCTGGACTAGGGTTAAGACTGGAGAAGTCAGCTGCCAAAGATAATGGTGATATTTATTTTGTTTTGCATTTGCTACATTGTTCTGAAAGCTCAAGTAATTTAAAAGTGGATAAATAATGTAAGACAGTTTTCATCATTTAGAATATCCTATTTACTTCAGTAACCAAATGTCACCTGAAAAATAATGCCTCCGGATAACAGTCAGGCTTGAAATTTTATCCCCAGGGAAAGAAGGCACACAGCCATAATACAGTCTCTGAGAATACCCTTCTCTGTGCCCTTGCTGGTAGTGCAAAGAGGATGCTCTCAGGTAGTTGTAACGGTAGCAGGGAAGTGTTAAGTATGAAACAGTGCACTTTGCACTAAAAAAAGTCTTTGTCAATACCACTTACTTCCTGTGACTTGTATGAATTAAGGAAATTACAAGCATTTACTCCTTGCAGTTAATTCTGCTCCTATAGATGAGGATGCTCAGAGCTGTGGAGGGGGAAAGTAGACGGTTTTTTTTAGTGCATTAGCATCAAGGCCATATTGCATCAGAAACTTACTTCCAGCAACCATCTCCCAAGCTTACATTTGTTCATGGAAAAGGACTTTCTTCTGGCAACAGCCAGATCCCATTTTTAAAAGTGTGAGCAGCTGAAAACCATGGTTAACAATAAAAGGAACCCTGGAAGCCTAATATACATACATGGCTGAGACCGTCCCTTTAACAGGTACTGCTAAATTCTACACCCAATCAGCATCTTGTTTTTAGTTCTTGAGGGATTTTTTTTTAATCCCATGTTTCCCAAAGCTCTTGCAACTGCACCATCATTTTAGATGGATCAGTTGTTTTTACTGCAAGTGATATTTCTTTGTGGATCAACAGAGGGCTCCAAGAAGGATGTGTTGCCTGCCTTGCAGCTCAGAAACACAAAACTGCACTTCAATGCTGTTTTCTTGAACAGCAGAGAATGGATCTCTGTCAAGTATTAGAACATATAGCAAAAGGTGCATGATAGTAATAACAATAACTTGTTAAGCGACAGTCTAATATGAAGGTCAATGGGAAAAACCAGACCAAAAAATCAGGTGGGAAGGAATGACCTGCTGGCAGGAGTACCCCCAGATACTGCCCCATACCCTTGAGACAGAGAAGAAAAACGGCACAGCTTGCCAAAACAGGGTGGACCTTGGACCGCTCTATACATCCACAAAGAAATTAGGTTAACAAATTCAGATGTGGAAAAAATCAGGTCTGTAGAACACAAGAATAACCTTGCTGAACGTTCTAGAAGTATAATATAATAAACTGCTTCCAGTCGGCAGCACTGTAAAAATTAGAAGAGTGTGCACAATGAATATATTTATTTATTTATGGGTCACCTTTCAACCTGAAGGCCTTTAAAGCAGCTTACAATGTAACAAGATAAAAAACACAAGTACATGCTTGTTTCTGGTGAAACTGCAACTACCACCAGTTCTGAGACTCTAAGCCAGGACTACATGTTAAAGCCAAACAGTAGAATTATAGGCAACAGCACACAGGATTAAAACAAACAATTGTTAAAACCTTGTTTAAACGCCCTAGAGTCAATTAGGAGAAACAACACATGTTCCACACACACACACATACACACACACCACAAACACACAATGGAGTATGACAATAAAAGATCCTTTTATTATAAAAATCTATACAATGAAATGCCAGACATAGCAATCATTTATATCTGGTTTATTTATATATATATTTATATATCTATATATCCACATATAGTTTTTACTTATACCAAAGTAAAACTATGTTATATCACAAAATGCCTAACACTACCATTTATTGCTCAATAAGATGGCACAACACACACTCTTAGCATAACTGATGCCATGCTAGCTACGATACTGAACAAACAGCCAAACACTGCATAACACACAAAAGCAGCTGTTAATTCTGAAGTGGAACCAGTCTGATCACTCACTTTATAAAAATATTGGAATCATATAGATTTAAGCATTATAAAGGAGGAATATATTATTTAAAACATTTAAATAGTGCATATTGACATTTTGCATGTGGTATATAAAACATTCATGTACAACACTGTACAGTACACATAAGTTTCAATGTTTGGGTGCACCTGTGTCTGCAGATTGATAGAAAACAAAGTGAAGTGTACATTGCACAATGGAGCTGAATAAAAGCCACAGATGATCTCCAGATTAATTTCCAAACTTGTAATTCACTACTAAAAAAACCCCTTCTAGCTGTATAAAAAGGCAAAGCATTTGAATATAATCTCATTTCAGTGCTCTTGGGTTCCAAAATTACATGCCTATAATCACAGTAAAAATAGAGACACATAGCAAACAGGCAAGTATGGAGTATTGAAAATCTACTTTCTATCTATTCCATGTTAACACACTGACCTGATGAATTACATGCTAGCCACTTATTTCACAGACATTCATTTTTTGGTCTTTCAAAAAGCAATGAGAATCAATATCTGTGTTGACATTAGCTGTTCATAACACATGCAGCAAATAGGCACATACGAAAACATGGCCACAGTACAAAAGATATCAAAAATGTGCCAATTTCAACATTTAGGGCTCAGTCCAGTTGTGCCACAGATGCAGCACCCACATGCAAAGAAATCCCACGACACTGCCCTGTTCCTCCCCGTTCAGTGTGCACACCCTGGCACTCAATTCATCAAACCATTTTTAAGGGCCTGAGGTACAGTGTCTGCACACATGCCATAAAGACAGGTGGTAAAACGGTGTCTCTGACCTTGGATAATCTCTCTATGTGCAGACTGTATGTCCACAGTAGGCTTGGATAGAGCCTTTCAGACTGCAGATTTAAGTGGGGCGGGGAAGGGATTGAGAAGAACCATTAAAGGCTACTGTCATCTATACTAGGCAAAATAAACATCACAAAAATGTTTCAATTCTGAAGCTTCATCATGCAATAACCATATGATATCTGCTTATTGCCACAAACAAATCACTTTTCCTTCCATTTTTACAACAGTGACATAGCAGAGAGGCTTTTCTCAAACTGTGTGTCTAATCCATCACACTAATGATTTTATTTTAGCCCTTGGTAAGATATGCTTATTTCAGATACAACAGAGCTGAGCACAGACACTCTCCCATACAAAGGTAAGATGCAATATCCATTTGAGATCACACACTAAATCACCGTCAGCTGATAAATTGATAAATTAACAGTAATGCAAGTCTTGTAGGCAATATGTGATATAAATGTTCAGGTTTTTCCAAGTTTTAAAAATACAACAAGCAAGGTCACTTTCTGGTTTGTCCATTGTAATCTGAAACTGAAGACCAAGGAGCTTTAAGTTGCAAATATCTACAGACCATAAACCATTCTATCGTATGAAAAATGTCATTTGAAATCAAACAGAGTTATTCCGCAGCGGTCCTCTGAAAGGCATTTCAGTTCAGTTTGGTGTTGAAAAACACAGTTGTGTTCTTAAATTTGCTGCCATTGTTCCCCAGCATAAAAAGGCAAAAGAGGGAGTTCAGTACAACACTAACAAATGCAGATGAAACGAAGTTAGAAGGTCCAAAGTTTCTGAATGGTTCTAGTTCTATAGTCTTTTGGGAGGAAGTTGCATTTTTAATTAAAAGAAACAAGGAAAATGTTTTCTAAAGTTGGACAGAGCAGTCGTAATTTTTTAAAGTTTTTTGTTAGCTTTCTAGATAGGACCTACTTGCCTTTCAAATGTGGCACCATAAAATGTACAAAAAACTGCATTCTTTCAACAGCGCAAGACAAAAGTGAACACCTAACAGTACTATGGACATCATAAGAAAACAACCTTTCACTATTATGAAGAAACTTAATTTATTTTGAAGAATCTTGTTTGCTGATAAGGACTTCAAGAAGCCGCAGTTTGGCTTTAACTTTCTTGTACTCTCTGTACTCATCAAGCATGGGAGCACGATCTTCTTTCTGAACATTTCTGGAAAAATAAAGCCAATGCAACATTTAACAATTCTGACCAATTTTGTTGGTTTGAAATAGATTGGGGATGCATGCAGGCTAGAGGTGTTTCATGTTATACTGGTGAACTGGAGGTGGTGCATCTGTCATCCTTGACCCTGTGCTTCATTCTAAGCATTTTTAGGCAAAAGCTTGTATTTTCTGAAGTAAGTACAAACATCAATTCATGGAAGGAACCTAGTAATCAGAGATATATTGCTTCTAAACATGGAGGTTACATTTCTATCAAATAATAGCATGTGATAACAATTTAAAGGAGTAACAAGAAAAGGAAATACATCTGCAGCACTCTACTCATAACAGTGAGTACTTCATTTTATCTGTTCTCATAAGGTTTTACAAATTGTCTATAAAAAGTTAACTTTGTGGGTTGTTTTTTTAAAAAAGGTTAAAAACCCATTTAAATGAGTAAGAGTAGCCAAGCCCACATGTTCACATTCCACCCAAATCAGTGCAAAAATGTCATAGGGTGGAATTCAAACTAGTGCTAATGAAATTGCATTGTAAGCACAAACATTTCTGCTTGCCTAATCGAACTGTCTCCTCTGTTTGCATGCTGTTCTGGGGCTTCTTTCAATCTCCCCAGAGATTGGCGGGGGGGGGGGGATATATTGTGCTGTCCCCTACTAGTATAGGTATTTAGTTGAATCCAGTACATAACGTTTAACAAGGCTGCATTGACATCATAGCAAAGTTGAGAGATGCAGTTGACAGTAATACTGAAGTTCTATTATGCTACATTTCTCAGTATCTTTATGGAATGTAATGACTTATTTGATTGGCAAGCATTATGTGTAATGAATCTGAAGCCCCCCTCCAGCTTCTTTCACAGAACCTATTTCTTGCTGAACTGAGGTAAAAATGGCTAGAATCCAATGGGAAACATGTACTAAACTTTATAATTTATTTTAATTGGCTATATTTATACAAATATTCATTGAAACCAAATAGTGTGGCTGATGATCCTACTAAAATAGATGAACATTGGAGGCCACATTTGCAAAATCCAATCAAGGGACCCACTGTTGCAAGTAAACATAGAAGCTATGTGTTTCCAAACCTAGAAGCTATGGCTTCCAAACAAGCCAGGGTATAAATCTATGGTTTAAAGTTGGTTTATGAATCCTGGTTTGTTTGAAAGTCTTAAACCTGAGTTCCCACTTTGCACCTAGTGTAAAGCTATAGTTAACGTTGATTCCTTGTTTTCCCACTTGCACAAAGAGAGAAGGCAAGGGGGCTGCATGCAATTGCATAAAGCAAGTGTATCCTGGCTTAGTAAGAGTCATGTGAACTGAGTCAGTGTTAGGTTGTCATTTTCAACACTGTACATTACTAGCATAACTAATGCCTTCATCGACAAACACAATTGCGTATTTGTCTCATCTTCATTATGAGTAAACTTCTGGGCCTACAATCATTGTATATTCAACTAACCTTCCATTCTGCTGATAAAACCCTTCTTCAAATTCCCGTAGAGTTTTGCGCAATTTCTTTTTTTCAGCTCTGGCTTTCCAAAGTTGCTCCAATAATTCAGGCCTATAAAATTATTAAAAAATGCATAGGGTAATCAAAACCATCATGGGTATTCCACCCATCAACAAAACAATAATATCAATGCCCCTTGCGCAACATTTTCCAGGTGCCTGACAGCCGGCTGCAGCACTGAGTATAGCATAGCTGCTTTCTGCAGTCATCAGCTATGCAATCAAGTTCACCATAGGGAATGGATTGGCTGTGTGATGATATTTCCCATGGGGAACTTGGTCACACAGCTGATCCAGCTGCTCCTCTGCTTGCCCCACACCTGATGTGGTTTTGGGAGAACAGCCTCTCAGGTCAAACTGGGATCAGAGCTGGGCCAAATCTGGCCCATAGGATCCTCTGACTTAGAGGAAACAGCTAAGTAACTACAGTGGTACCTCGGGTTAAGTACTTAATTTGTTCTGGAGGGCCATACTTAACCTGAAAGTGTTCTTAACCTGAAGCACCACTTTAGCTAATGGGGCCTCCAGCTGCTGCCGCGCTGCCGGAGCATGATTTCTGTTCTCATCCTGAAGCAAAGTTCTTAACCTGAAGCACTATTTCTGGGTTAGCGGAATCTGTAACCTGAAGCGTATGTAACCCGAGGTACCACTGTAAAATGATTTGCCTGACCTGTTACAGGAGGACATTGCAAATGAAAACCCTTCACTGTTCCACCTCACACCCCATCATGATCCACAAGTGTTTTAAAAAAATAACTATCAGCTGTTTTGATTACAAAGCTACATTTGTTGTGTGGTGCTCACATGGTTGCATTTACGTACATGGAAGCTGCACGTGTACTTGACAGACGAAGCTCTCGAGTCAATTTCTCTTGACTTTCTTCAACATCAGATTCTGAGTTTTCAACTGGACTAGTAGTAATAGACTGCGTTTGGGTGTTAGTTTTTAAGAGATCAGTGCACTCTGATGACACATCACCATCTTCCTCCTCTTCCTGAAAAATAATAAAATTGTTGTTCAAACATGCATGAAGTACCGTATTTTTTGCACCATAATACTCACTTTTTCCTCCTAGAAAGTAAGGGGAAATGTCTGTGCGTGTTATGGAGGGAATGCCTGCGGGGGGGGGGGGATATGCTGCAGTCGTGAGCAGAGGATCCATGGTTCCCCTTCCTCCCCTCCTCCATAGCTCGCTTTGAAACAGCAAAGCGGGAGAAGACCCGGGAGAAGAGCCGCTGAGTGGGGAGGAGAGAGGGACAGAGAGCCTGCTTCTTTAAAGGAGCAAAGCGGGAGAGGAGAGGAGCCGCTTACATGAGTGTAAGCGGCTACTGTCCGGTTGGTTCCTTTAAAGCAAGCAGGCTCTCTGTCCCTCTCTCCTCCCCACTCAGCTCGCTACATAGCAGCAAAGTTTTTCAGCTCGCTAAGCCGGGGATGAGCGGGGAGGAGGAGGAAAAGCAGAGCCTGCTTGCTTTAAAGGAGCAAAGTGGAAGAGGAGAGGAGCCTTCTCCCCTTATACCCCTCTTCTTCATTATTAGCAGCATCCTTCTCCACCCACCCCACACGTGCTTCTTCTCCCCTTAAACCCCTCTTCTGCATTATTAGCAGCATCCTTCTCCACCCACCCCAGGCGTGCTCCTTCTCCCCTTATACCCCTCTTCTTCATTATTAGCAGCATCCTTCTCCACCCACCCCACGCGTGCTCCTTGTCCCTTGAGTGCTTTTCCTTCCCTCCCCACTTAAAACGTGGTTACAAAGCATGGATCCTCAGGATTTTTGCATTGGGCTACTCCAAACTCACTGTCAGATCACATGTCTGTGGCCACAGCATGAACCACAAAAATCATACATCCACTGTTTCGTTTAGAATATTTTTTTTCTTGTTTTACTCCTCTAAAAACTACGTGCATGTTATGGTCGGGTGCATGTTATAGAGCGAAAAATACGGTATTTCAACTACCTGAGTCATAAACCCAGTAAAAGACACATTCATTCTGCACACACATTCAAGCTTACATTTTTGTTACAATTTGAGGTGTAGAGATGTGTGTATTAATGTGAAATGCTTCAGTTAAACTCAAATGTACACTATAGGCCATTGTGGGACCTCTGTTGTCTTTGGATAGATAAAATACCTTGATTTCTTCAAAGAAGTGGGCTGTTTCTCCTTCAATGATAGGTTGTAACATCTGACCTCGTCTTTTGGTTGATGGTGAGCCCTAAAATATACGTCACAATATGTTACGCAATATACAGGAAATCTATTATTTTGTTCAACTTACATTTTGGTTGAGTACAGCATCATTTTATATTTTGCGCTATGTTGGCTAAACAGCACATTCAACCCTAGTCAACATTTATCTTCAGGCATTTGTTCCCAGCATAAAGGGCAGACCAATGCCCAATTCTCAGCTACTGCACAGGAAGCTTTACAGTGTGTCTAGAGAAAGACCACCATGTTAAAAAATGGTAGTAATTTCAGACAAAGGTCAGTATAACAAATATTGATGAATGTAGACAAATAGACACATTTAACATTTGCTACAGCTGAGAAACTAAATAACATCTTAAGAACTGCTGAGAGTTGGAACTAGTTTCATTACCCGATTATTATTGTTATCCTACCCTTCCAAAGTAGCCATGGGTAGTAACCACCAAAGTAATAAAAACATTTTTTAAAATAAACTGAATACATATTCAAAACATTTAAAAATGAAAAGCTCTAAAAAATTTAACGGCATTAATAATTTGCAAATCCAAAACTAGGAGACCATATGAAAACAAGATTAAGGATTTTTAAAATTCACTATCTAGTGTTTCACTACCTAGCTTGGGAACACCTGTTTTGAGCATAAGGGCTAATCCAGAAGGGAGACATCTAGCAAGATGAACGCTCATTGTTGAGGCAAGTACACACCAATCAGTTGGGAAATGTATGAAACACTGATTACTACTTACAAGGATGGGAGTAATGCTCGCTCGAGTTAACATTTGTTTCACAAGCCTGTATCTGTCATAGAGAGGTTTAACAATATGCCTTTCTTCTTTGGAGACCTGAGTGAAAGCAGAAATGGGTTATCTAACACTCAAAACAAAACAGGGTATCTTCACCACTAAGAGGATCACGATGTCAGAGTCTCCTTGCTCACTAGTTGTCCTAGAATCATAGAATCATAGAGTTGGAAGAGACCACAAGGGCCATCGAGTCCAACCCCCTGCCAAGCAGGAAACACCATCAGAGCACTCCTGACATATGGTTGTCAAGCCTCTGCTTAAAGACCTCCAAAGAAGGAGACTCCACCACACTCCTTGGCAGCAAATTCCACTGTTGAACAGCTCTTACTGTCAGGAAGTTCTTCCTAATGTTTAGGTGGAATCTTCTTTCTTGTAGTTTGGATCCATTGCTCTGTGTCCGCTTCTCTGGAGCAGCAGAAAACAACCTTTCTCCCTCCTCTATGTGACATCCTTTTATATATTTGAACATGGCTATCATATCACCCCTTAACCTCCTCTTCTCCAGGCTAAACATGCCCAGCTCCCTTAGCCGTTCCTCATAAGGCATCGTTTCCAGGCTTTTGATCATTTTGGTTGCCCTCTGGACACGTTCCAGTTTGTCAGTGTCCTTCTTGAACTGTGGTGCCCAGAACTGGACACAGTACTCCAGGTGAGGTCTGACCAGAGCAGAATACAGTGGCACTATTACTTCCCTTGATATAGATGCTATACTCCTATTGATGCAGCCCAGAATTGCATTGGCTTTTTTAGCTGCCGCGTCACACTGTTGGCTCATGTCCAGTTTGTGGTCAACCAAGACTCCTAGATCCTTTTCACATGTACTGCTCTCAAGCCCGGTGTCAGCCATCTTGTATTTGTGCCTCTCATTTTTTTTTTGCCCAAGTGCAATACTTTACATTTCTCCCTGTTAAAATTCATCTTGTTTGTTTTGGCCCAGTTCTCTAATCTGTCAAGGTCGTTTTGAAGTGTGATCCTGTCCTCTGGGGTGTTAGCCACCCCTCCCAGTTTGGTGTCATCTGCAAATTTGATCAGGATGGCCTTGAGTCCATCATCCAAGTCGTTGATAAAGTCCTGAAGTGGTCCAGTTGATATGCAATGCTAAGCCATGATTTAGCACTATGTGGACATGTTTCCAGCAGCCTGAGCAAAGTACAGGGCTTGCGACACTTTCCTCTTCCCACACGGTGGGAGTAGGGCTTCTGCCAACTTTTGTTTTACTTTAAACCATTTTGGCCTGTCATTAGATATGATCCTGTTTTAAAACAATGACTGTGTTCACACATAAAACAAGTTCAGACCACTCCCTGGCCTAGTCAGTTTTTAAATCTGTGATTTTAATTTGGAGCTGTGAGGTCCATAAGCACAGTGCTCATACACACAAACCGCGATAAGCCAGGAAGTCTAGCTTATCATTATGAACAAATGTGGCCAATTATGAGTTGCTAAACAAGTCAACTTTGATCCATGGGTTGGTTATAGAGCTGGCTTGATTAACAGATTATTGTTTAAATCGGGGTTTGTGGTTCATACACGATGCTAAGCAGTGGTTATTTGGCAGCAAAATTTAACTCAGCAAAAGCTTTCCCCCCAGTCACATGGGAACCCAACACTTCACTAAGGCTAATGGAGTTTCGTCCTCATAGTGCTTCCCCCATAGTTTATCATAACAAGTAAACATGAGCATTATCTGGTGACGCTTCAAATAGCTGGAGAATACCAAAACTGTGCAAGTTCACAGTTTAGGTGTGGACAATAAGTAATCACAGAAAAATAAAGCTTTCCAATACTGGTAATTTTGCATCTTGCTACTGAATGCGAATTCTGTAGAAAGTGTGTACTTTGCAATGTTTTATACAGGAATGTACAGAGGCCTGACTAACCTCCCTACAGCGCCAGAAGAAGGGTTATTTATCTGTTATTTATTTATACACAGCAGAAAAAATACCAAAGCAGTGAACTGAAAACAAAAATACAATGGAACACCAGCTCAAAATATTTCTTCCCTCCTCAGTGTTAACAGTGTTTAAAGAGCTGCCCTTTGAATCTTATTTTGCAGCTCATTCTTTGAGCCTCTACATGGCACACATTCAATCTATATGCTATTTTAAGAATCAATTGCTAATCATAAAATATGAGAATTATTTGAGGCAGGTGTTCAGTGATATTTCATAACCACATTAACTGCATTAAATAATTGCAGGGAATGAAATAATGAATATTACCGGTCGTCCATGCTGACTTTCATAGTACAAGAGACTTTTTTGGAGAGACGTTTTTTCTTCTACCAGATCATCCTTCGTCATTTTCTGTAACGAGAGACAAGTGTCTTACTCTAAATCTGCTCTTTAGTGTAGGCTTCCTTCTGAAGCTAAATTTATAAAAGATAAGACAGCTATACTGAATATATTTTATACATATGCGGCCCAAAAGCTCCAAAGAGTTGAAAACTCAGATAATGGTACCTTGCTGCATGAGGCTTCTCCTACTGTCAGGAAAATGTACCCTAATACCAAATGACAACTCTTACGCCATATGTGCATTTGAGACTTTGCAATAGTTTGTGCAAGTGTCTGCTTATAAAATTAAAATACAGTGAATGATTACTGTAATCTAGTTCAGTGCTGCATGTTATACAGTTGACTCTCATCTTGTGTGAGGGTTATGTGGCCTTGGGTTTGGCATGCAAAGCCAAAATCATTACTAGTCGAAACAACCCTTTAAAAAACTCTCCCAAGGCCACTGAAGACTCTGACCACCTCCGTAATCTCTCCAAAAGCCGTATGTGCTCTCCCAAGGCCACTACAGCCTCTCCATGCACCTCCAAATACTCTCCCAGAGTGAGTGCTATGGTGGGTGGGATTGCCGGCATCCCCCCTGCCCCCCCTTTTTGGACAAGCATGCTAAGCTACGATCGCACAACTTAAATGTGCATAAGTTGCAAGTCGACTGCCTTAGGAAATTTGCAAGTGCTGTAAAATAAGCTGAACTGTACTATTTTCATCTCTTCAAGTGCAACAATACAAGTACAAAATAGGCATATGTACCTTTATATCTTCTGGAAGGCAGCTTTCAATTCGTTTTTCCTTCAGCCTTTTAAAAATGAGTTCCACTGTGGCCTCCTTGGTAGGCTTCCTTTCTTTCTGTGCAACCCGGTGATCATCTTCATTTTCTTCATCTTCATGATCCAAAGATGAGCCGAAGCTTTTTGGAAGAGTGTTACTTCGTGGCCGTGTCTGAGGTATGAATTCTCCATCTGAGCTTTTGTGCTTTGCATCTGTGTTCAAGAAAGAATACCAAACCCAAAGTCAAAGTCACTTTGCAATTATTACTGTTCAATTACTTGAGACAACACAGAAACAAGAAACTTATTCATTCATATACAGTGTTACCTTGGGTTAAGTACTTAATTCGTTCCAGAGGTCCGTTCTTAACCTGAAACTGTTCTTAACCTGAAGCACCACTTTAGCAAATGGGGCCTCCTGCTGCTGCCACGCCGCCGGAGCCCGATTTCTGTTCTTATCCTGAAGCAAAGTTCTTAACCTGAAGCACTATTTCTGGATTAGCAGAATGTGTAACCTGAAGCATATGTAACCCGAGGTACCACTGTATAATGACTGAAAAATGAGACACCCTTCTCTCCAGTAAGGTCCAATGAAAGGTGTGAAAGCCCAAGAAGATGAAACACAAAATTCTTACCTTTTATTTGCTTTTTCAATTTGGTAAGCTCTGTCATCCACTTTAAAACCTTTGGATTTGCTGCAATATCAGAATACGACGGCTGAAAATAGATATGTATAGCATTAGGATTCTCAGAAATCACACACACACTGAATTTAACAGGGTTGACTTCTTCATTGGAAGAGTTCTCCATGCCCCTTGCTGGACAAAGTAAGTAACAGCAGCAAAATCTGGGCTTGTGTTTTTCATACACCCGAGCATGCAACTTCTTTGGGTCAGAGAATTAAGAACCTAAGAATTACCATGCTGGATCAAGCCATCTAGTTCTGCCCAACCCCCAATAGATTTTTTGGGATACAATTGAGACCTTTTCACTGACTACAATACAAGAATACATAGAGCCATGTGAAAAACAAAACTTAATTTTGGGAATGCTAGCTAGCTACCAATGTGTAACAGCAGCTTACCTTGAAATTTTTGTCTTTTTCAAACTGCTCCTCAAACTGCCTTATTTTTTTCTGCAGCTTTTTGACTAGCTGATAAGGAGTCTTGTCTTCCCTTCTGTCATCCTTAGAACTATTAAATGATGCTCTTCGAGTTCTGCATTTAAAGGGCAAGGTTTTAGATACCGAATACACATATTGTAAAATGCACAACACTGGAAAACAGTGAGCAGGTGTACATTTATATTTCTATCACAAAGGCCAGAACAAAAATAGTCTCACCTGTTAACTTCTCTCACACAACATTGTCACTAATCCTCACTAAAGCTGCATTTTGCTCAGATGAGAACATGGCAGGTGAAAAAGCTGTCAGTCAAGTGCTTGAGTCACTCATAAGGGCCACCCCTTCCTCTTGCCACAAGATGATTGATATCTTCCAAAAGCTGTAAACCATAACATCTAAAAAACTATTAAACCGTTGCAAACCCTCCTCTATGGGAAAAGTACAGCTCTTTCACACCACAACTTAAAAGGTATCTGGTAATAGCAGTAACAGAAAATGATGTATTCTCTCTGACACCATTATCAAATTGTTTATAATGCAGGGATTAATGGAACATGATCTTAAAAGCTCATTTCAACTATTATTTTCACAATAGCATTGTTACTTAGCTCAGTTGAATAAAAGCTAACAATTCAGATTCAGAGCCAACCACTCCTACAAGTGCTGAATTCTATGCATGATTTTAGGATTCTTAGTTTCAAAGCATCAGATGAAGAACTGGAAATCAAACTGGCAGGATATTCCCGACAAAGTTTTATAGCTTTTCTATGCCTTTTTCTTAATGTATTCTATTTCTTCCCTCCTTGTAGTGATGTGACCTGCAACAGCTACCCCATTTTAAAGGGTGTATTAGATGTTCTCTCTACAGCCAGACGACAAAAAGACACTAAGTTTTGGAGCTTATGCTAGCTAAAAGCAAACACTAAGGGCTGGATTCAACTAATGCATCCCGCAGCAGAAACCTGCACAACGACTTCCACTAGAGCAATGGGGCTTCCCCCCCCCCTTCTCCACACACTCTCCCAAATTGACTCAGGAGGGGTTGGAACCCCTCGAGTAGCACAAATTTCACCTCAGTGTTGTCAACAATTCACTCTTCCTATTTTGCCTTCTTTTAGACTATTTTACACTCTGAGTAACATTCTGATCAATATTCTGCCGGAAAAAGTTAATCTCCCTTTACAGTCTCAAATTCAAATGGTGCACTTGAAAAGTGAAAACATTGGAAGCTCATAAAAACAGGAAGAGAGCAAAAAAGAAAGAAAGTCAACACTGATGAAAATAAGTACCATTCATCTCAGAACCATGAAGATATGCATATAAATATACAAATTTTTGTCACTGGTAACCTGAAAATTGAAGTTTTTCTCCCTAAAACATGTGTTTGTTTTGTACCTTTGGTACAGCCTTTCCCCTTCCAGACTTAAGAAAAAATTCTCTAATGCACCTTAGCTACTAATTCTTTGTTGCACAAGTCTGCCCACCTGGTATATATTTACTCATTATGAGGTATGCCGAAGCATTATGAATGTTACAAAGTTCAGTTTTAGGAGGAAGGAGAAGCCAAGGCTTAAGACTATCTTAAGACTATTTTGTCCCAATGCACCTGCAGAAATGGAACATCAGAACAGATCATTAGCTTCAAAGATGGTATTATGGCTGCCAGAAAAGCCACAATGAAACAAAATGAATAAGCCACAGGTTGAAACAGAGAGCTGCGAGTAGAGGTGCCCCTCTGCCGATCCTTCGGACCCCCCGGGAAACTCAACAAACCTGTTGTACCTAGAACTGGGTGTGGAGAGTGCAGCTGAATGGGACACAGCTGGAGGCAACCTGCTGAAGTACCATCCACCTTGGGATTACTCATAAAAAGCAAGACTAGAGTGAGAGACTACAGCCACGACTGCTGTTTCTAGGAACTCTTCTCGCTGTGAAACTTTTGTGATTGAGCTGAGTGTTTGTTTGGACCCTGGGTGAAAACCCAGAGGATGAGAGGGAGGGTGTGTCAGAAGGAAAATGAACTGATACTAATTTATATACATTAGTAACTGTGTTAATGTAATGTTTTTATATGTAACTATTTTTGTAACAATTTAAGTTGCCTGTTGTTGCTTCAGTTGTCTGTAAATCGCTTAGAGATATTTTAAATATATGAAGCAGTACAGAAATTAAATAATCCTCAAATAACCAGCAACAGGATACCTATGAATCTAATGAATAGGCACTTGAAGAAAAATGTCACTGCTAATCATACCATGATTTGTGATGATCTCAGGATCAAGATGGTAACAACTCTAAATGTACCCAAGACTCATCTGGTGCCTACAACATAGGAAGAAACAAGATTTTCTGCAGCCAGGGGCAGTTAAGTTCAGGGAAGTGAAAGTAGTACTATTTTAAATTGATGTTTTGGAAAAGTAGTCACAAATTTGGACAACTGACGACATGCTGTGATCCAGGCAGATTAAGAAGTTATTTCTTACTGAACATCACAAATATCGCTCCATGCACCATGGTACCATATGCGACATAAGCTCCAAGTATTTTGTTAATACGGGGAGGGGGGGGACCTGACAAGGTTTGAGTCAAAAGTTGGGTAGAAAATGGGAGACAGGTGTCAGGTGGTCCATGCTTATGCAAAGTGCACATTGTTAAACATAGTCTCAGAAGACATATTGGCATGGGGTCAAAAGTAAAAGGCAGCAGAGAAAAAGATATAGAACAAGTGTATCATCATGCAAGATCTCCGAAGCCTGAATTCCCTAGCACCTGCTTAGCAAAATGAGTAACAACTATGCATTTAAAAAAGAAAAACAAATGGACATCACCATTTCTCCATAGATTTTCCCAGACCTCTACTGCTCTGAGGCAAAACCAACCAATTTCCATTTTAATTAAAGTCAAGGGACCTTATTGCTGTAAACACCAAGATGAAGGCTCTACAGATGTAGGTGCTATAGGTCTATGGTCTGCCTGGCGCCAACAAATGTGCTTAAGAAGCAGTGAAGAATGGTAGTGAAATATACAAGTACACAGGGAAATGAGATCTTGAGAATGACAAACAATTTAGCTAACACTGGAAAAGAAAAGGGAAAAAATGCTGACATGTTAGGAAACAACCACTGCTCTGTAAGTTCAACACTATGGACTGTATCTAAATTTCTCTCCGCTACCCCAATTCACCACCAAAAATTGCCTCAGGGGGTCCCCCCGTCTGGAGATGGTTTTGAAGATGACAGTGGGGAGGAAAAGGGCAAATCCCAATGTGTGAGTGTAAGTTTGTTCCATTCATGCAACAGCAGTGCTAGACACAACCCTTAATACTTTTTGCAGCTATAAACATGTTTAGGAGCACTGAAGTCAGTTGTAGCATTGTAAAACGAAGAAAGCTTGTGGCAAGAAGATGGTTCAAGCCCACATGAGGCTTAAAGCCTTGACTGAGTATGCTTTCCACTCATTGTTCTTCCACTTCAGAAAAAATTGAAAAAACTTTGTCGTGACAATGGTTGGTTTATGTATAATTTTCATAACCAGAAAAGTATTATTGTATAACAATGCTGAATAACTAACATGAATCAGAACTCAGGGCAAGGCAAGTCTCTATCATTAAAATGATATAACATTTTGCCTGTTATGGGTGGGTTCAGTGTACTCTAGAACGCCTCTCTCTACAACCACAGTGCAAAATCTGCTTTACGTTAGCTGGAAACAGGTGGGAAATCCATACACACTAAAAGTCAGACTAGATAGCATCACAACAATGACCATGTAGTTTAAGCATAAATGGATTGGATCCAGACTTATTTATGAACAGAAGACCAGCTCTGCTGGATCAGGCCAAAGCCCATCAAGTCCAGCATCCAGTTCTCACAGGGGCCAACCAAATGCCTATGGAAAGCTGAAAAGGAGGACGTGCCTGCAGCAGCACTCTCCCCACGTGCGAGTCTCAGCTGCAAGAACTCAAGAGGCATGACGCCTTCCCTGGGGGGAATAAAGCCATCATACTTAGTAGCCACTGATAGCCTTATTAACTATCAATTTGTCTAATCCCTTTTAAAGCCTTCCAAGTTGGCAGCAAAATTCATAGTTTATGCACCGTATAACGAGGTACAGGATGGACCTGCGTACTAGTCTTATGAGAGAAGATGAAAAACATCTTGATATCCACTTTCTTTACACTTTGGGTGGAATTCAATGTTGCTCTGTGGCGAACTGTTGCCTGCCCGATGGAACGATCGATCAGCCCTCTCCTTTCCTCAATGTGCTGTTCTAGGAATTCTGACACCCCCCAGGCCAATTCCAGAGGTGGGAGGGCGGGAACTCCACTGCACAAGCAAAATCCCTTGTACAGGCTTTGCAATGACAGATTAGGTGAAGACCACCCCATGTTATCTTATACACCTCTATTGTGTCCCACCTTACTTCTCAATGAAAAAGACCAAAATGCTCTAGCCTTTCCTTGTAGTTACAACTTTGACTAGACCCACTGGATCCAGTAGGGCTTAAATTAGTCCTGACTAGATTTCAATGAGCAATGAGCATATTCAATGGATCCAAATTAAAATCAGGTTTGAGATTTCTACATACTAGGTACAGAAGTCTCCCAAGTCTGCAATGCCGGAAGATGGACTAGATGACACTTGGGGTCCCTTCTAACGCTACAATTCTATCTCAGCTTTTACACCAAAACACCTCTTTTCTAAAGAGAACTGACTCCAAACATCAGAATTTGATCTTGTGTAGCTTAGTTGTGAGCATTAACTACCTACCTAATAAAAGAAAGTGCTTTAGATGAAGAATCTGCTTTTTCTGGATCATGCAGAAAACGCTGGCTTTGTCCAAAATCCAAACTCCGATGTGACAATATGGGATGACTGTCTTCTTCCAGAGGATGATTCATTCTTCCAGCTTGTGGAGAAAGCTGAGCTTCTCCAGATTCACTCTCTTCCTGCCAAGATTTAAAAGCAGGAAACGGCTCTACAAAAGACAATGAAATAAAAAGCAAATGGCACTTAGGTATTATAGGGTCACAAGAAAACCAAGTGTGCATTAAATAGTATGCTTATACACAAAATGAATAGTGAAATGCACTGGAAAGCTACATGTCATAAAGCAAACAAAAAAGAAATAGCCCAATACACCCAAAATACATATACAACAATATTCATGAGTGTATACAACTTACGCATTTTTCTAAATAGTCAGCATGCATTACTTTAAAAAGTTGTACAATTCTGCACAACAAATTATATACAGTGTGCATTTTAGATAACACAACAAAGCCAGTGGGATGTTTAATCCACTGGCAGCAGATATTTTCTGTAAAAGCAATAAAAGGCACACTGAAATAGTTCAAGTGCAACATTAAGTGCATGGATCCATCTACATAAAGATAATGAATACAATCTTTTACAACTCTTAGGTTGCAATCCTATATATGCTTGACTAAGAGAAAGTCCCATTAAACTCAACAGGGCTTACCTCTAAGTAGACATGTATAGGCCTGTACTGTTAGAAAACAAAACAAAATCAACTATGCTTCAGTATATAAAAAGTTCTGACTTCCTTCATGTGTAGATATATAGGATTAGTTCACTAGTCTTAGAGCGATGCTGAAGGAGCATAAATTGTTTTCAAACATGAAAAAAAGAACAGAATAAAATTCCAAATTTGAGGGGGGAAATGATTTGTTGATATGTTTCATAAAACGATTTCTGCTTTAAAGGAACTGAAAGATTAAGTAAGGGATCCCAGGAAATAAAATCCTTGCTAATGTCCCTTAAAAAAATTGTATCTACATCTCTCTTAAGGGCTTTTTAGCTGTCTGCTTAGCTGCTATCAGGATAAGTATAGTCACCATAATTTCCAGTGCAATTCTTCTACTTGAACGCTAAGTTTAAAGAATATGGAATGGTAACACAACAAAATGCTGATTGACCCACTTGTACCTGCTTCCCACCGAGTACAAAAATGCCTTTAAGGAATCACCGTCTTGAAATAAAAGATGCCGGGTTTAAAAAACACAAACCAAGCATGTCCTCATGTTGTGAGCATATTAAGCTGCCCTATGCAGAGTCAGACCATTGGTTGTCCAGCTAGCAGATTAATAACCACTCTGACTGGTAGCAGCTCTCCAAGGTCTCAAGCAGAGGTATTTCCCAGCCCTGCTGGTTGGAATGCTTTAACTGAAGCTGGAACCTGATGCATGCAAGGCATGTGCCTCTGTAAGTAAGTTATGGCTCTTCAGAAGGCAGCAGGTAAAGGGGTAATTTGAAAGCAACCATAACCATGAAAAAATGTAGATAACTGAATGTATGGCGAGCCATACTTACCCTCCCCTTCTGTCTGCAGATGCATTGTTTTGAAATCAATGAGGGGAAAAGTGATAGGGCATGGTGCTAATAAATGAAAAAATGGCAAAAAATACTGAAGTGAACACATCGCACAGTTAGAACAAACCATACATAACATGTAGGAAGTACAGCACAAGGAAAGTCTTCCAACTGAGTGGGCCAGGTGTGAGCACTCCATTCCCAATGATGTGGGACAGTTGAAGGTGCACCACTCAAGATTAGGCCCTTTATTAATTAAAAGCCTTTCCAGAAGGGTTGGATCAGAGGTGACAAACAAAAAGCCACATGCTTTCCCATGTTTTAGCAAAACACGTTTTTAAAGGAAGAGGATTTCCACACAAGACAGTTTTTGCTCATATTTTTAAAGACAGTAATAGCAATTCAAAATGCAGGGAAATAATTAAATTATTTGTGCACTCAAGACATGCATTTGTTTAATTAGAATGATAAATGTTAATACTAGTTGAAGCAGATTTTTTAATCACAACATACTAAGCAGACCTCACTCTGCAAACCAATGAAGTAGACCAGGATCCCACAGGCTTACACAGGAAATCCAACTAGTCTAACATAAAAAGTTTAGCATACTAGAATTCTAATTGATTTCGAGAGAACAGAGAATGACCAGATTTAGTCCAGGGTCCAAAGGACCATGCAAGACCTTCCAAGAGCACAAAGGAGGTAGAGTACAGCAGCAAACATAATAAGAAATCCTACTTGCCACGTGTTTTCTTCTAAAAGCAACCTGAGAAGCTGACATTCCTACCATAACAAAGGACTGTTGTTGCTTTTAAAGCAGATATTTGGGCACAAAGTATACTTCTTATGCTTAGATTCAGGAAAAAAATGGGGATGGAAGCTATCACCTATGTAGGAAGTAATTCTATGTTGGGATTAATATTGGTACACATCCACACACTGGCTCAGCTACATGGTTTGGTATGTGTGCCTTCCTCCAATATTCCTGGCTTTCAGCATAAAGTTTCCCCTTACATCCAGACTAGCAAACAACCATTTGTGTTTGTTCTGCAAATTAGGATCAAACGCTAATTTATTGGACAAGTGCAAATCACAGTTTTCCATATGGTTTGCTGAAAACAATGAAGTCCTTAATTACTCTAAATGTATTTGGAGAAGGTAGATGAGGGAGTGCAAAAGTCAGACTCCTTCCAGGGTCATTCTCATAGTGCCAAATTATGGCTTGGTGTTACATCTGATGCAATAGCATTCATACTTTTTATAATACAAAAAAAATAACCAAAGACTGAAAGTTTCATGTCTGTGTTCCTGGTGTCCAGGTATTCACCTTTCCCGTTCTATAAGAAACTCCCAACAATTTTTATTTACTCATTAGTGTAAAAAGAATAGCCCAAAATGCCTGATACTACACAAGAACACCAGGTTGATTTTTAAATTATACACAAAACAATATCTATACCTCAAATTGATATTAATATTGAGGTTAGTTGAATTACGAGTATTCAAATTTGTTATACAACAGGGCAGTACTTGCTTCATAAGTAAGCACTAACACTACATGCCATTGTATATCATTTAGAGCTGCACTTTGTGCCAAAGTTAAAAACTGTGGCTACGAAGTCCCTGTTGGTTTGGCCATTATATGGCCTACATCCTCCTTTCTTGTAGGAAAGGAAAGAAGAGAGGTGTGAATACTGCTTGGCCAAGGCACTCAAGGCACCTCAGGAGCACAGCATTCAAGGACGCTTCCACTCATTTCCCACAGTATAGGAGGGCAAGGAGTATGGCCGCTCTGGTTGCTGCTTGGGCTCAGGTGTTCTAGGAATCTCATATGCACAGTGATCTGGGAAACTGCTCCCATTTCTGCTGCTGTGTTCAGGAGAGCTCAGGGTTGTGCTCAGGTCCTGCTTGTGGGCTGCACATAGGCACCTGGATGGCTACTGTGATTACAAGATGCTGAACTAGAAGGGCTTCTGGTCTGATCCAGCAGGACTTTTCTTATGTTCTTAGGCTCCATGGCAATAAATGATGGTGGGAAGGTGGTGGGGTGATTGCTGATTTGACCCTGTGAGCTTGGCACAGACAACCTTCAGTCTTTGTCCCAATCCTTGACCTGAAGAGGCATGAAGGATTCACTGCATAATTTCTAGGATGATCCCCGCCTACCTTGTAGCTTAAAGATTTAGTAGTGGATTCGCCAGAGGGTTACAGTATACTTGCCATGCCAGCTATATACGGAGTTCTCTACAAGACAGATACTCTAAAAAGGTGACTCACTGGAAGCACACACATGTTGTACAGGAATGTTAAAAGCATATGAATACTTTTTAAGGGCTTGAATAAGCATTAGGTTGCTTTGCTTTCGGTTATATTTAGGATAAACTGAGTGGCAGCCTCAACGTAACTATCATTCTTGCCATCTATTTTCTCTTCACACTTATTCCAAACAGCTACTAGTTCATTTCTTAAAATGCTATGAAATCATCCAAAAGTTTATGGAAAACAAATGCAAGCTTCTGAAAAGTTTCAGAATTACTCCGTTCTTCAAAAGTATCAAAGGATTCAGAATTACCTTCCCATCTGTCACCACCATTCACATTCTTCAAATCAAGATGTGGTACAGGGACACACAATGTTGCTTCAGGAGCATTGTTATTTCTGTTTTTCAGTTCTTCCAACTCATTTTTGACACTTGGATCACAAACTTTGCTAATAAAACCCTGTAAATAAACATCACAGTTATTCTAATCACTCTACAGTGGAGTTAACAAGTTTTCAGTCTCCAGCAAAAAAACAACAACAAACCAAAAATAAAAAAAACCCTCTGAATTAATTTCACAGTGTTTTTCTGTCTAGAAGATCTATGAATGTGAATATAACTAAACATTATGCCAATGAACTCCACACACATAAGCAAACACTCTCTCCCTCCCCCCCATAAGCAACCACTCTGGCACAAACGAAACACGAGACTCTTAGGGAGAGTGCACATTTAAGTAAGCAAGCATGTTTAACATTAAGGCCTAGCTTTACAAGGAAAAATAAAGAAGCAATTTCTTACCAGAATCACGTGTGACGTCATTTTGTCGCCATCATCAAATGATGTACAATCTTGCCTATAAACAGAGTCTTATTATTGTTTGAGCAGATTATTACTTCAAAGCATCTGTGAAGACAATTTATTCTTTTATACCACACATATAGGCTCAATTCAGACATCACACTAAACCATGGTTTGTGCCAATCATGATTCAGAACCCAATGAACAGTTTAAGCTTCCAAACAATCAAGCAAACGATCATTTAGAGATACTTGTCTGCTTTCATTTTTCATCTGCCCAACACTCTCATCTCTAGATGTAGTAGCCTTGGAAGGTGGATCAATAGCAGTAGCCACAGCTATTGTTCGTCAATTCAGAGGTCATGCGAAATCATAATTAGCAAAAACCATGGTTTGGAAACCCACTAAAAATGGCTTTCAGTTCTAGTTTGTCAACTGATTGCAAACCATGGTTTGTCAATTCAGACATCATGCGAAACCATAGTTAAACTTCCTTAACCATGATTTATCTGAATTGAGCCAGAATGTATAGCAGGAAATTGGCTAGAGGAGACACAAGACCTTCTGATACATTAATAACTGCAAGTACAAGAACTGAGTTAACAGAAAGGCGAAAGGTTGCTAGGCCAGATAATAGGCTTAAATTAAATTATTATTAACTTGACTGGCTTTCCCATTTCCCTACTCTAATAAAACAATTAATAATCACAAAAACCTGGACACCTAAGCAGTCCACATAAAATAGAAAATAAGGGTGCTGGTAGTATCAACACTGTTTTTAAAAGCAAATGACTTTAAAGTCTAAACTTGGATAAAATAAGTGCCAATTTTTCTCCATTGTTCTGACAACAAATAGAAGTACTCATGCCAGTCAAATCACTTCTGGATGATGACTCAATTTAAAAAAAAAAATTATCTGAACAAAAATTATTCAGCGTTCACAAAGCTGATTATTAGAAATGCAAACTGTCACATCCCCCCCCAATACTCTCATTTATACTAAAATACATACTTATCTCCAACAGACTCTTTCGCGTCTTCTGTTCCATCACATGGCTGCAATAATATGCCTGCTTCCTATTTAGGAAAAAACACAGACTTCAGCATGATACTTCAGACTGAAACATCCACATCTTATTTAAAAAAAATAAAAATAAACCAAACTTAAGGTTTTATGTGTGGTCGACCCAAATATACATTCAGTTCCTTAACTTTGTACAAATGTGGCCAAACCACAATTTATTAGAAAACATTAATATAACACAAATAGACTGTTCATTTTTAGCCCTCTTCATATATCTAGAAAACAGATTTTTTCATAAGGGGCTACTGACACATATTAATTGCAGATTTGAGGCCCAGAGATCTGAACAAAACAATAATGACAAACATGATGAGGACTTGTCCTCAGCTTATGTAAAATGACTCATCAGTTGGACACACTAAAAGGTACAATTAATCCTTGTTACTAAATAAAGCAGCGACAAGGATAAAATGAGATGCTTGCTGCTGGCAGCAAGCACTCATACTATGTAAAGCAACAACAGAGGAACACATACTTTTACTTTTTAGTAACAATATCAGATTTATAGATGTGAATTTTACTGACAACAGTTATTTCTGCTATAATGCATTTTGAGCTCCCTAATCCTAATCCCAACTACATATAACAAATTGGAAACTGCTGAGAGTCATGAACTATTTCTTTTTCAGAGGTGTAGCTAGAACTGCCAGTACCCTAAACTAAACTTATCACAGCTTCTTCAGTCCCTGTTGACATTTTGAAAAGTGATTAAGGAATTCATACATCCTACCAAATTCAGCGCCAAGCAGCTGTCCAGATTGCTAATGCAGCCTCCCAACTGCACCCCTCAAATCCCTCCAAAGGGACTGAGCAGGCTTCAGACTGTTTACATGTAAATGCTCTTCCTCTTTTTACTCTTAATTTTATTTCTCTCCTTTTCCTCTGCTATGTCCCTTGTGTCAGTATCTGAACTTCAAATCCCTTTTGGCAAGAACCTATCTTCTCCTTTGTGAGGTTTCATATACATTGATGACACAAAAACAACTCGATATAATTTGTTTCCCACTATTTTTGTGGGTTCTGGACTATCTATGTGGAACTTATGCCCAGTGCCGAGATCGTACATTGATTCAGTTTGTGAGTATTCCTTGTGAAGGTGCTAACTGTGCAATATGATGAGCTCAATTTAATAATATATGGGGGGTCGAGAGAGAGCTTAAAGAATCTGGAGAGAAACATTCTGTTACGCAGAGCACTATTTGGGCTTTATTGTTTCAAACAAACCATACTTATAATTTACAAATTTGTTGAATTTGGATGACACAACAAGCTGTGGTTAAATAAAAAACAGAAGCCAAAGCTTCTCCTCTTCATGTTCATGTTGAAAGAGAGGGAGTGGGGTTGTGAGATCCCAAGGGAAGGCTACATTTGTTCCTGTCACAATAATTATGGTTGTCCAAATATTGTATAACCTTGATGTGGAAAATTAACTTTCAAATATTTCAAAATACAGTACATTTGCAACTATTTGGTACAAACAAGAGTGCAATCATTTTGCCAACCACAGCGAAACAACACTACAGAACAAAGCTTCCAAATCCTATTTGCTTTTCACTTGCCTCAGTTTCCACCATTTTCTGCAACAAGTGAAAAGGTGAAAAATATTTGTGAATATACACTGCAAATGAGCAAATGAAAGGAGCTGAGAAGCTTGTTTCATGCCAAGCTTCCATTTTTTGAAGTTCATGAAGTGTAGTGGAAATACACCAGAAGATCCATGGTATTTTGAGGAGACATGGTTGGCCTGGCACAATTAGTCCTTCATGTCATCATAGAGGCTACCAGAGAACAGGCACTCTCTATTTCTCTTAGCCTCTAGGCTGGTAGCAGGTGACGTTATTGCTGAATCATGCTGACTTGTCTTCTTTCCCAGACTGAAGTGCTAATGTGGGGAGCATCCCTTGATTAGAGATAATACAGCTGTGGTACATCAAAAGGACCTCAGAGTTAATTTCATTGCTTAGCTGTTGGCTTGTCTGATGGCACATACCCAGACCATAAGACCCATGGTGCTAGGTCTGGATAGTTAAACAATCGCACCTCATGCCACGTGACTTAGGACAGATAGGATAAAAACCCTGAAGTTTGACCCAAGTAGTGAGCTTTGGCGCAAACCTGAAAGCCTTCATGACCCATTGACTAGCTTGTGGTCTCTCCGCTGCTGTATCTTTGGAGCTCTAAGCAGATGAATGGGGGTGTTATCTGCTTGCTTGTTTTGCCATTAACTCTTATGAATAAATTGCCATAAATCTTAGACTTCCTTACAACCCGTGTTTACTTCTGAAAACCCTGAAAAAGAAACCCCTTGCACTTAGCAAAGCATGAAGCTTTAAGTAAAATTTCCAAGAAATAAACTGGAGAAACTAGGGAAATAAAATCGAGTGCTTCTACTGTACTGCTGCCGCAAGAACTCTGGTTAGTAGATGGGATATCAAAACTGCAAGTTACAAACAAAAACAAATAAAATAGTTTATTGGGATGGAGTTGAACAAAATATAGGTTCAGGACACCTACTTTTTCCAATGTTGCTAAAAAACATGTGCAGTATAGTTCTATGCACATTTACTAAGAAGCAAATTCCACAGAATATTGTGATATAAGATGCACAAAGCATACTTCTGTGCTACATTACCTGATAATTTTCCTTTTCCTCAGACACAGGCTGCATAACTTCATTGTCTAAATTAGTGCAATCCACAGCTTCAGAGCAGTCACCAAGATTCTCACCATCTTTAGTAATATTCTTTTCAGTATCATCCCTAATATCAAAACAAATATATATACACTTTTTAAAAAATGCTGCAATTATTAGAAGTTAAAAAATAATAATGCTGGGAAAATCCTGGGGTACAATTAGGTTAGAAGACGTTCACAAGTCAAACTGCTTTCAGGAAAAAAAGGGGTTATTTAAAGGATCATTGATATATCTAAATTGTCTCCTCTGGCACAATTCTTAATTTACTATTAGTTACAGGTAGTGATTTTTTTCTTTAAAAATGTTTAGGGCTACTCTCATTTTGACTCAAGAAAATCACCATTTTATAGTTCAAATTGAGAAAAATAAATACAGTAAATGGACAAAAGTACGAACATTCACAAACTATTTAGGGGTATGCGTACCCCTGCATCCCCCCACAAAAAAGCACCGGTTATTACTCTTGGGGGAAACCTGTATTGCTCCTGTCAAGTACACGCACAGACAGCAGATAATGGAATAAGCTTCCAGGGCTGCCTTCACACAGTAATCAAGGATATTCAACTACTAAGTTGTTCGGATCAGCAGTGGCAATACTTATAACACAGAGCTTAGTTACACAAAAGGCCAAAATACTGCTCTGCCACGTAACAGTTGTATTTTTATTTACTCACTTACCGCCAGTTTATATAACATGATGTTGCTATAAAAAAAAATAGTAACATATAACAGTAAAATATAATCCAGTAGTAAAATGTCAGCTTACTGGTTGTTAGATCCTTCATCCCCCTTAATATTTGCTTCTTGGCACACCATTTGGTGGTGGTGTAAATTCTTGAGATCTTGATCTATGCTGCTCTGCAGATCAAAGAGATGTTGTTCCACAGCTGCTCTAATTGTTCTTTCCAAGATGCTTTTAAAAAAAAAGAAGTTATGTTTTAGTAGCAATCTAATTTATCCACATAGTATATTCTCATTTCCCAATTCTGTACCAGGCAGGCAGAGCACAAAAAAAGCAGACTTGAAAACCGGAGTGCTCAGCACTCATGTGCGTGTGAGCACGCACACAGTCACATCTTTCAATTCACTATAATCGATTTACTTAAAACTGTATTGTATTAACTTTTTGCAAGACTACTCATCTAAAGAGCTTGGGCAATTAACAAACACAGCTATCAAATAGTACATCCAAAATATATTCTCAACAGATTATTCATTAGATTGTCAAGAGGATATTTACCACCACATTGTGGTGTCATTTGGGTATTTTAAGTCATATGAAAACCTCCTCTACTATACATTAAGAAGGTAGTATAACTCACATAAACTAAGTCTCTTATCCAATTGGTTGGTTTCTAGCTTTCTGGCCGGCTGGGCTTTCTATAATGCATAGACTCCAGCTTAAGGTTCTATTGTTTCAGGACTTTCTTGATTAACACTGGTTAGGTTTCCTAACACAGATGATTATTATTATTATTATTATTATTATTATTATTACCCCTCCCCAGCCAAGGCAGGGCTCAGGGCGGCTAACAAGCAATAATAAAAACAAGCTGAATGAATACAACTTAAAAACAAGATTAAAATACAACATTAAAATACTGAAACAATAAAATATTAAAATGCAGCCTCATCACAGGAGGAGAAAGGAAGAAGGAAAAAGAAAGAGGGGGAGGGAATCAAATTGGCTCCAAGCCAAAGGCCGGGCGGAACAACTCTGTCTTACAGGCCCTGCGGAAAGAAATCAGATCCTGCAGGGCCCTGCTCTCATGAGGCAGAGCATTCCACCAGGTTGGAGCTAGTGTTGAAAGGGCCCTGGCTTTGGTTGAAGCTAATCTAACTTCCTTCCGGGACCACTAGGGTGTTGATATTTATGGACCTTGAGGCTCTCTGTGGGGCATCCCGGGAGAGGCGGTCCCGTAGGTACGAGGGTTCTAGGCCATGATGAGAGGTGGATGTCAATTTTAATATGGACATCTGCCTACTTATATGTTTTTTATTCTAAAACTGTCAGCTACATCTGACCCAATAATGCTACTTGTAAAATTAGCAACATGGACTCAAGTTCACTCAAAATACACCTGTTGCCACAAACCACCTTGGTCGTTGGGCTCAGGTGTTGTTATGTCATGAAATCTCTTGAGGGCTCAGAGTAAAGGTATCAGCAACATAACAGTGCAGTTAGCGTGGAACTGAATGGTCAATTAGGTAGGAAGAAATATTTCGAAATGGTACAGAGAGAGTCAACACTGGCAAAATAAGACTTCCTAAACATTAGGAAGAACTTCCTGACAGTAAGAGCTGTTCGACAGTGGAATTTGCTGCCAAGGAGTGTGGTGGAGTCTCCTTCTTTGGAGGTCTTTAAGCAGAGGCTTGACAACCATATGTCAGGAGTGCTCTGATGGTGTTTCCTGCTTGGCAGGGGGTTGGACTCGATGGCCCTAGTGGTCTCTTCCAACTCTATGATTCTATTCTATGATTCTAAGAGAAAACAGAGGCAAGAGTGCACGGAAGAGAAGTAAGGAGCAGACGCAGGATGGCACAGCTGAAGCTGGAAACCTAGGCTGAGAAATAAGCACATGAAGTACTGTGGCATATAGAGGCTTAAAAGAAAAAGGTGCAATAGAGTAAGAAAAAAGGAGGAATGGAGGGGGAAATAACTCAAAGGTTATGGACTGTTAGAAAAGGTAGTGAATAAGTAGGGTTATCTGGAGTATCAAGAAATATGGAAGGGGGATTTAATATACGGACTTTAAGTAGCCATTCAATTCTTAGCTATAGGTGTCTCTTTATACTGAATAAACTAATGCACAAACAGTGCAACGCTTCCATAACAGAACACAGTCCAATTAAGAGTATTTTCGATTCCTTTGGGGAATTTATACTTACTCTGCAGAGGCTGGCAAGATGCTTAAGGGAGAGAGATGAGCACTGAAATGAAAGAGAAATAATGGTCTCCCTTTGCCACGTAACATTTCAACATCAAACAGGGGTTCTGGATTAAACCTAATGGCGTTTTTCAGAATTGTACATATTCTATCTTTAAAAAATATAAATCAGGTGTCACCAACCTTTTCGGGCCCATGGTCACATTTGGAGTGCGCTAAGGTCACCACCCCCTCTGGCTGCTTGTCTGCCTCCCTCTCCCAGCCAGAAAGAAAGTGCACACTTTGCTTGTCCATAAGGTTTGGGTAAAGGTCAGAATTAAAATGCATCCCTCTTGAATTTGTCTGATTTTACACGGGGTCTACAAGTCCAGAGCTTGCCAGCACCACAAAAACATTTACTGAAGATACAGATCCTCATGGATCTTCATGGGTTTAACATAGGTTGACAACAGTGCTATCAAAACCTAACAGAACAAATCTATAGACAGAGAGCTGACCTATGATTTGATGGTCTTTCAGGGGTTTTCTCGTAAAAATTAAGAGGCTTAATTAAGAATGTAGAGTTTTGTTCTTCATTTTTAAGTAGACTGATATAAAGCAGACCTCCCAGACTAAGATAGGAATCAGAACATAATTATTTCTGGGATATTTATACCATGCCTTTTCCCCTGACGGGACTCAGTGATCGTTTTCTTGGCAAAATCTTAGATTGTGATGTGAATATAAAATGGCATGAAGGGCCCAATCCATTTAGGGCATGGTAGAAATATACGTCAACAACATCACCACCACCACAATCTTTTATACCTCATGCCTACATTGGGGGGTGGGGAGGAGATATAGTGGCAGTCTCAGCCTTTGATGACTTGGGAGTTCCACAACAACCATGCAACTCAATCCCCTAATACAGGGGTTCTAAAAATGTGGCCTAATATATGGTGAGGTGAACTGATGCAACCAATTAAATGGTAGCAGGATACTGGATCAAAGTCATTAAGACTGTCCATATGGCAGCAATCCCAGCTAGGTCACTTAGGTATTAGCAATTCTAGCCAGGTCACATTCAGATCATTGGTCTCACAACTATCTTAATACTGGCTGGCCATGTGCCAGTATTTCTAGGGGGAGAAAGTTTTCATTGATGTAACCACAAATTGTACTTCTAGTCCTCAAAATTATCTCCATAGTTACGATTGCAATAAGGCAGGCATCCCCAAACCTGGCCCTCCAGCTGTTTTGGGACTACAACTCCTATCATCCCTGACCACTGATCCTGTTAGCTAGGGGTGATGGGAGTTGTAGTCCCAAAACAGCTGGAGGGCCAAGCTCGGGGATGCCTGCAATAAGGCATCATCTGATGTCTCTCAAAGGAGATGAGCTGCTACTTGTCAGAAGGTTCAGTGACCAAGGACCCCACCCCCAGCTTTCAAACAAATACTGTACAGCTGATAAAGCATTCCAGTGCTGAGTCTCTTTAATTCCCTTGACATAATAGGGTCCATGTTTTGTAACCCTGTCTCATGTTTAACCATTGTGTCCATGCTATAATAAATAGTTCAAGTCACTACCTTCGACACATTCACCTACCTGTGGTTTTACTTTGGTTTTATTTTAAGGCTGGTTTTGTTTGACGGTGATCTGTAATTGTATGTGGTCTACGCATATTGTCATCAGATCTTGTTTGATAACACTATTTTGCAGAATTTTGTATAACCTCTCTTTTAAAATTAATTTTTTTTAATAATAAAGAAGAGTTGGTGTGCTAGCCACACTTACTGTCTTCATTCACTATACAAAGAATGAATTCGTTTTCTGAGGGTGCGTTCTTATGTAACCACCACAGTTATCATCCACGAGAGAGAGGTAGGCTCAGGGCAACCCCAAAGATGTGCAGAAAAATAAAAGATCTTTAAAAAAGAACTAAAGAGGGGGGTATCAAAAACAGCCCAACAAGAATGAAAATCTAGTGAGAATGGAATGGTAATTGATTGCTGTCGGAAGTGGGGGGCATGGCATGGGTGAAGGGCACTCTATGGTGCAATATTTTGTCACAGGTCACACTTGTTAGGTTGTGCTACCTAGCAGTGACAGGAGGCAGAATCTTAAAAAATGGCATTTTGCCATATTTACGATTTAAGTCCAGAGGGAGCTTGGACATGGGACAATTTTGCTGGATAGAACCCTCGACAATTGGTGGAGGGGGTATGTTACCAGAGGACTTGAAGAGCATGTCTTAGCTGTTGTGTCTTTAATAAATGAGATAATTAGTAAAATTCAGGAGTGTAATGCATAAATGTTTAGAGCTTAGGTTCCATCTCTCCCTGCACCTCCTAACTATAAATCCTATGAATGTTTTCTTATGCAGAAGTCAGTCCCACTGAATTTAATAGAGCTTACTTTCATGTAGGTATACAAAAAACTGCTGCCTTAGTTTGTGGAATAGCTGCAACTTAAGAGGCATTATAACTGAAATGAAAAGGAAGGTGGAAAATATGCTGTTAACAAAGATATTAATACTCTTAAAAATGCAACTCTTTGGGACATTATCTATAAAGGATGGATCCAGAATGTAAAAAATCTGGTTTTATCATGAATCTTGTATACAGGATATATAAGGGGGGGGGGAGTACACATATATAGCTTTTCCAAACTTTGTGGGCAGAAAGCTTCACTGAACTTGAAAACCCAAATGTGAAATGCTGGCACATGCCAGAATAGTTAAGAAGGCAAAAGTCCTTCACTTTTGTAATAAAAAATTATTAGACAGGGAAATTAAAAGTATGTATATTATGCACTAGATGGATGTGGGTGGCGCTGTGGGTTAAACCACTGAGCCTAGGGCTTTTCGAATCCCCCCGACGGGGTGAGCTCCCGTTGTTCGGTCCCTGCTTCTGCCAACCTAGCAGTTCGAAAGCACATCAAAGTGCAAGTAGATAAATAGGTACCGCTCCGGTGGGAAGGTAAACAGCATTTCCGTGCGCTGCTCTGGTTCGCCAGAAGCGGCTTTGTCATGCTGGCCACATGACCCGGAAACTGTCTGTGGACAAACGCCAGCTCCCTCGGCGTGTAAAGCGAGATGAGCGCCACAACCCCAGAGTCGTCCGCAACTGGACCTAACAATCGGGGTCCCTTTACCTATATTATGCACTAAAACCCACACTTTCACAACATTTGTTGTTTTCAACCAGAAAAGGTGAAAGTTACATAAATATTTAAACTTTTAATAAAAGGGCAGAAGGCTGAAACCTCAGTGTACTGCTCTCTCTAAGCCACTAGAAACCAGATTTTCACAAGGGCTTGTAAAAGGCAGCAATTCTGAATGTTCTCTTCCTATCTCTCCAAACTGGAGTCTTTAGAAAGCTGATAGGACAAAAAGAATTGGCAATTACCTTCAAGTGTTTGAGATGGGTGGCAAAGGGGGGCTTAAAGTCTTAGCAGGAAAGTATATAGTTCTTTTGGGGAAAGCTGTGGTCAGCCCTAAGCATATGACAGTGCACAATGGGGCTCACCCAGGGATTACTATATGAAAGCATTATCAAGTCAGTAACTTAACAGCAACTACCTAATCAGCTCTTTGCAGTATTTATATTGGAACAAATAATATGGATCATTTTCTACTCTATTCCCAATACTCTATTCTTCCCAATTTATAACATATCAGTGTGTTATGTATAAAGTACTTCTTACACATGGTAAGATACTTACAATTTCTCCATATTTGGAGTGGGGGTGGGTCAAGAGGAGGGAGAAAATAGTTGATCCTGAGCTTGATATTTCCTTTAAAAATAAACTATTTTTAAAGTAAATTATTTGTGTTCTATTTCCTGGAGTTTTACAAGTTATTGTTATTGTGACTAAAGCCAAAACTCAGTGTTTTTGTTTCACATCACAATACTACTCTATGCTACTTATCTTGTTACTAAGCTAACCTATTCTGCTTTTGCTAACCAGCTGTTTATTTCAGAACTGGTACATTTAGAGTAGCTAATATAACATTTCATTTTTTGTACATTTAATATGAACAAACCCTTAACCACAAAATGCTTTAGTTTAATGCCATTTTTTCTCTCAGCTGATTACACTGTATGCTTAGTTACCACCAATGGTATTAGTAACTGATGAGCTACAGGACAGTAATTCCTGATGGCAAAATGTGAGGGAAATTAAAAGTAAGAAGCTATAAATGAAAAACAATTAAAAATATGCTCCAGCCAACATTAAACAGTATGCCATTTATTAAGTAGATTACTATATAGCATATTTCAAATGCTATATATAGTACAACTATCGTTTAAGCCAAAAATTCCAAGAAGCATAGAGAAAACAAAAAGGGAATTATAATGAAGAACAATCCTTATTTGTAGGAATTCAAATTTGGGTTCTGAAACATCAAATCACAATAGGCATGCTGCTAGACTAATCAACACCAGAACCAAAATATTCTACAATTTTCCTCTTCCTATTACATTTTCTTCTCTCTCACCCCCAGCACCTCTACTTATGCAATGCAGTGAAGATTCTCAGAAAAACAAGTGTATTGAAACAGCACTATTTCAAAGACTAAGGAATCCTATTACTAGTTCAAAGTCCCTCTAATCAGTTTAGCAGGATTTGATAAGATGCTACGCAGCACATAAATGTATTATGTATCCTATCAGTGCCCCTCCAAACATTTGTATTTCAAACAGCAGCATAATTTCGGTTGACTGCTGATGAAGAATGACGCAGCAAGATACCAGCATAAACATTTTAAGGGCAAAGCACTTTGGATTTTCTTAAGCACTGTCATTTTTAGTAACAAAAATAAGCAATTGGGAAAAATTTCACAAGCTTACTTTATATAGCTTATTATTGCATGCAAATTGTTTTATAGTGCAGTGTATGCCTTCAAAAATATTTGTGTTTAGCTTCTAAAAAGTTAAGTCAGTCTTATCAAACTATCATTTTAAGTTGATTTACCTGTGCAGTAGAACTTTGTAAGCCATTCTGATTATTTTTGCTATTCCAAATGAGCATTTCATGTAAAAACACTTCATTTGAAAAACTATACAGTATGGCAATCTCTGTTGACTATCCATTCTGCTTGCTTGATCTCAATAGCTGCCTGTAAAATGGCACTATTGGAGTGCTGCACTAAGCCCTGCAGTCTACATAGAAATAGACTGCAACATGAGGTCACTACTGACAATAAGCTGCCCAATCAACATTTTAGCTCTAGTATGCTTTTCATTCTATTACTTCTTGGTGCAAGATGGTGGATCGTAAGTACTTTTGACCAGATTAGCACCCACTTCCTCAGTATGATCGACACATTGAAAAGAAACCAGAGAATATTCAGAGGAAATAATATGATATGGGATATATATATGAACCAATAGATAAAAAGAAAAAAGAAAAACACTGAGTGGAGTTATCCTAATTTCAGCTTTTCTCCACCATGTTTATTAAAGAGTCCTTGATGATATAGCTACAAAGAATAATGGGAGAACTAACAATATGCTCAAATTGCAAGAGAGCTAGCTGAAGTAGTTAACAGGAGAAAAATTCTTAAAAGTAAGCAGCAGTGGGCTATGAAACATGTTTATCAGAACAAATACTCCAGCTGTTTTAGAGGAGGATGAGCACCTATTCAGAATTATTTAGGTACAGGAAATGTTGTCCATGCGGAATTTATATAATATTAAGATATACAGAATTCTTCCGGAACACGGGAATTCAGACTCTCCTTTTGTTAAAGTATTTAACAGTATCAACGAAAAAGTGATTATGTAACTCAGTCATAATTTTTACATTACACAAAATTATTCAGGCTGGAAAACTAAGCTTTCAGAGAAAGGGAGACCATTAGCCACAGCCAAAAGCAGCAATACAAATGTCAAAATAAAGACCACAAAAAGCCTCCACCTTCAACTTCACAATGGAATGCTTATTCTGAAATCAATCACAGCATAATTATTATAGAAAGTGGATAGTTATGCAGTTTTGCAGGTCTTTATCATACCTTACTCACATCATTACTAAAAAAACTGCTACAGCAATGCGCTTCAAAAAGTAATGACCAGACTACAACTGGCATCAGGACTAGGTCCCAGGTTTGTATGCTCCCTCTTCTTGCTCAGATTCTCTGACTTGGTTCAAGACAACACTCCTGCTGTTACCATAGCTTTCCTGGCTTAAATATATGTGCAAGCCAAACTTGGCCCACAAGCCTCTATTGAGAAACAGTTTGAAGTGATTTTTAAACCTAAATTTGTCCGTTTTAATTTTTCTTTAGTCATTTGTGTTCAGAAAATTTTCTGAAAAACGTTTGTGACATAGTTACTCTCTGGAGGAAGCAGCCCCCCCCCCCCGCCCCGTTTAGCAGGCTAGACACTCAATACACACTTGCCACTGCAGCAACTGCTTGATTTTCTAAGGACACAAGGCTCATACAATGGCTCCAATACTGGAAAAGCAGCAAGGACTAGATATGAAACAGGAATATGGGTTGTAACAATACAGGAGGAAGATGTGTAAAAAGAGCAAGTATTATGGAAATGGTATAAAGCTAGAGGATTAGTCGTGTGGGATACTACATAGCAATCATATGATGAAATCCAGTAGGTTTGGTATTATTTTGACCTCATCTTAAATTTATGCATTATTTTTAATATTTTATTTCCTTAAAATAGAACAAAAAACTTCTTTTTTACCATGAAGCCCCACTACATGCAAATTGAAACTTCACAAAATTCTATTTTCATTCAGATGGAGTTTCTACATCTTGCACTTGTGTTCACTCAGCCAGTAAAATCCATGTTCATTATAATATTATTTTTCTTCCAGAATATATAATGTCCATTTGCGCTCAAATAGTTTAAAAAATATATAGAACATAATACAGACAGGAGGGAGGTCTAGGCACATGTCTACTCCTAACTTAAATCAATATAATATAGAATGGCTAAATGAACTGGGCCTGCTGAATTCTTCGGTATTGATTGAATCAAAAGCACAACAAAACGTGAAACATAAGCAGCTATATTAAAGTAGTCAGGAAGCAGCACATAATCTAGGGGTGGTGTCCATACTAGGAACCTTCATACCTTGTTGATGCTGAAACACTACATGACTCCAAGATGCTCTCCATCATTTCTTGGGGCTCCATCTCCTGCCTGTATTCTGGGTCCTCCATGTTTTCTTCTTCTTCTTCTGGCAGCTCTTCAGACTGTTCAAGCTTTATATCTTCTTCATCCAACAGATCATTTATCTTCAAAAACACACACCAAGTGAGACCATGATTTCTTAGAAAGACAGATTATTAAATTCCAAAAGTGTGAGAAGTGTGCTCTAAAAATAAAGTTGCTTAAGCTTTTTTAGCAGGCATTTTGTGATTCAGATCTCAGCACCAACATAGAAAACAAAGCCAGCCACTAGATATATTTTCTAAACAAACATTTTCCACTATAGCCATATCACCTACTGTCAAAGCCCAGATATGAGGTAGTTTCAGTCAGCCAAGATATTCAATTTTAAACTATTGTACAGCTAGAGAAAAAGCACTAACTCCCCATTATAGGATTAAGGCCACTGGGACATGTAACCCATTGGATAGCCATGTTCTCAGGCAGTAGTCTTTCTACCTACCCCATTTTTAACTGGCAATGCCAGTGATTTAATGAAAAGTGGTTTCAGAGCCAAAACTACACTTGTACAGACAATCAAGCAGTGCTTTGCTTGGCTGGCTAAAGCAATCCTATATAAAAACTCACCCAAGATTTACTTGTTGCCACATCACTGTGGGAGACAAATTCAATTCCTCATTTATTACAAAATAACTCTAGTCCTTAGTTAAATTGAACCACCAAATAACTCCATTCAACTCCATTCTCCATTCAACTCCATTCTCCAGGGTGCATGGGCAAGAATAAAGGGCAAGAAAAAACTGCAGATAGGTGGAGTTTACATTGATGAACATGCTGTAGAAGTTCTAAAAAGAGGCCCTAACATCAAAGCACAAGCGTAGTTTTAGCTCTGAATACCCCGTCTTTAGAATCTAGATCACTGCACTAATATTTCAACTTTCCCAAAGAAATAACTTTGTTTTCTCAAGTCTAAGCCATAATAAACATGATTACAATACCTTAACAATACACAACAGAGGTAGTCAACATGGTGCCCTCCAGATTTTGTACTACTGCCTTAGGCATACCTAACCATCAGCTATGCTAGCTGGAGCTGACGGGAGTTGGGAGTCCAACAATATCTGAAGGGCACCAAAAATTTGCTTCACAGGGTCAAGTGACTCTAGTGAATACAATACCTAGCAGAACACATATCCCCTCCCCAGAACTTTAATTTGTGTCACAGTCTGGAGAAGATTAGAAATAGGACTCTTTACCAAGCAGCAGCCAACCAACAATTTCTTCCAAGTTCTCTACAAATGTCAGAGGATCTGGGGGAGGGGAAGGTTTTGGCTGCAACCTCATATAAACTGCTGACTGGTAAACAAAACCAGTGTAAGCAGACTCTTACCTATAATCTATTATGAAGTTTCTCTAGGCTTTTTTAATAGCAAAGTCTTTTATTAAATTGAAGCTGTACACAATTCTTACCTGCTCGGTTACTGAACTTAAATCATTAGATGAAAAATCTTCCTCTTCATTTTCAAAGAGTTCATCATAATTCTCTAACAGTCCCGCCATTATTCTGCTAACAAGTTCTTGCTCCTTCAGATCCTCCACATCTGTGTAAATGCTGACAAGAAAGGCCAAAACTAAATATATGATTTCTGAAACTAATTCCTCAAAGGTTATTAATATGTTCCTACAAGGGACTTTGGGGTGGAGATCCTCAAGGACATAAAGGAACTGTCTGTGCACATACTGAAACTGTACATCCTTCATTGTTGGCCACTTAATTATTTAATTAATTTCGTATACTGCCCTCCACCCGCAGGTCTCAGGGTGGTTCACAAGATAAAGACACAATATAAAAACACAAAACACACAATAAAAATAAAAACAAAAATAAGCCCAACCCATAGGAAAGGCCAGGCGGAGTCTGCACTATTGGGCGTTGCTGCCTAAAGACACCCACATCCACCACCATGTTAGCCCTCCTCAAGGAAAATGCTGGGCAGGGAAGCTTTTGGGCAACACTGTCTGAAGGTTTAACAGCTCCTGTTTGGCAAAGCCTTTAATACCTTTGACACACAGCTGCTGCACAATCCCTACCTTCCTCCCAACTTTGGAGCTGGCACTGCTTAAATAATACCTGCCCAACTCTTCAGCTTCAAAGTTGGAAGGCTGGCCACATGTCAAGCTCACCAGAAGGTGGCATCACAGTTGCTGTGACATACTGAGTAAATATGTTGAGCATCCAATGCAACATGAGGAACTACGAATAGAAGCACAAATGGTGGGAGGTCCAATAAGTGGAAGCAAACATCATAATCTTGGGATAGCAACCACAAATAAAATTAAGTTTTTGGGAATTTAATTTGATTTGATCGTACAGAAGAAAAATCAGCTTCTTATAGCTTTATATAATTATCCACTTCACAACACATGCAGGCAGGATTAATACTATAAATATTAAATGGACTAAAGATCAAGCAAACAGTTGTTAAACTTTTTTTTATTTTAAATACTAGAATTCAAGAAGATACTGGAAACATTCAACTTTGGTTTAATCATTTTCAATGGTATTTTATGTTGCTACAGCAGCAAGGAATAAAAAAAAATACTGCATTCATGGAAGAGTGATAGCAGCTAAAGTTAGAACAAAAATGCATGTTTACTGCAAAGTCACAGTCAAAGTAGCCAACATGTTCACATTATCTAACTTACTGAAAGATATCAGGACCAAAAACTGCAGCTAGAGAACTTGCAGACCAAATCTCTTCATGATGTGTTGCTACATTAGCTAAAAATCTACACAGAAACTTTAACAAACTGTAATTAAGAGGCGGAAGCTGCTGCAAGAGAAACCTCAACTTTCTTCCAAATTCATCTTCATTAAAATCTGTAAAATGTGACAGAAGTATTGTTAATAAATGCTAGTATGACTTTCAACATTTAACAAGACAGATTTAACTTCAGTAGTACAAATGTGTAACCAATGTGATAAAAAGTTCCACTTGATTCCTTGGAAATGCTCAGATTTTTGTTTTTTTAAAAGGTTCAAAACTTAAGCAGTATTCAGCACTTACAAGTTTCATATTAAGAGAACATTTTCCCTCGTTTTGTACTTTTTCCTTTCCCAATCGATTTGATATTTCAGTAAGCCCCTAGGCATTCCTGCACTGCTAGCCACCTATTCCTTGTGAAATTCCAGCATTATTCTTTGACACAGTTCACAGTAAGACAAACCTATGGCATAGTGAAAATGAGCAGGTTCTTGAACAGATCAATGAGGATTTTCTGCTTCTCAAGTCCAGCTCATGCTGTATGCCAAGCCATGATTTGTCTTAACACTACATCCAACACCAAGCTCAATCCAGATAAGCCGCAAACTGTAGTCAAGGTTTGCTCTATGGCTTACTGCTTGTGATTTATCGGGGCAGGGGGAGAATAAACCACAAACATGGGTTCAGGGATAACACTAAGACAAACCATGGCTTAGATCATAACAGCAGGACCAGAGGAGCAGCAAAGCAGTCACAAACTTCTCTCTGGGAGCCCAGATAGTTCATTTGTGCATTTGTGGTTAAGTCATAGTTTAGATTAGCAGTATGAATGAACTGCGTTTGCTGAACTGTAGTTCTGATGGAGTGTTCCAATAACCACTCTATGTCCTGGGCAAAATAGAATCTAGAATGACAAACCTGGATATCCAGTCTTTTTCTTAACGTCTTAAACCTTTCTTTAATTTTATCTAATAAATTTGGTGGATTTTTGTAAATGTCAAAGACCCAGTTTGAATGAACACAGAAGCTATGCACCAAGGGAGAGAGCGATGTACCAATCATACTCGCTGAACCTCTCCATCTTGCCTCCAGACCTGCCATGACATTTTTGTGTACTGAGTGAATTTAAAATCAACACACACAGAACCAAACTACATGGCTGTTAACCTACATAAAACCCATAAATCAACTACATGACTCAGAGTTATGGATGACGGATTATACGTCATGCTATAGCAAATATTCTGTTTGCACATTGATTAACTGGTAAGCCAGAGGCGGAACAAATGCATGCTGGTAATCTGGTTCTGCTCCCTGACCACATGTAGCTTCTAAGTTCATCCAAACCAGATCAAATTTCCCAATTATCTTCATATAAATGTGGGGTTTCATACAGAAGAAACCCACAGCCACCCTAAAGTTTTGATATGATTATTTCTTGAAGCTATTCAATCCTTAATAAAAGAATTCCAATACCTTGAGAAAGTTGTATCAAATGCATATGTAGAGTGCTAGGAATAACTGGTTCTGGAAGTGCTTGAAGAAAAAATCTAAGAAGACTAATAGCTGAAGGTACATCCGCTTCTTTAACCAGATCCACATCTTCTCCATTGTCGTATCTTTGCCGAAGCCACTCCACTGTTTCTGCATTTCCATTGACTTGAAAAAGTCCTTCTTGCTCTAGACCTCCTTAAGTTAGAATGAAAATACAAAATTCAGTACAACTGCTTATTTCAAAAGGTGCGTATCTTACAGCATTAAGTGTGATCCTGTGTGAAAGACAGAAAATATTTTTAAAAATAAAACTTACTGTAATGCTTCCCAGTCAAGTACACTATTGATGTATGATATCTGATATAGCTATAACCCCCATATTAATTGATTAATCACTTCCATAATATCATGAAGTTCCACATACGGTGCAGAGAAAGGGGAATGCTCAGGAGAGCCTTTCAAGCCCTTTCCTAGCTCAACAGCTGCACAACTGTGGTGCTGCCAGTTGGGTCTTACTATCTGGTTGTTGATATCACCACTCACCCATTCATTCTTGCAGCCCAGATGGGGGGGATCTGGGCTGTGCCAAAGCAATTACTTTTACAGAGGCTCTGAGCCAGTGCACCCTGCACTCCTTGATCTGACCTGTTCACAACCTGATGGGGCAAGCAGAGCTAACTTTGAGCTGTGTTATCTTACTCTGGAGATCAAAGCAGCTTGCTCATTTCCCCGTCAGACACCCTCATCTTCCTAAGGCTCAGGAACTCTGAAACCAATGCACCTTGTATTTCACAAGCAGTTCCCTCAGAGTGTAAAGGCAGCTCATTCTCCCAAAGTCTCTCCCACAGATGGAAAAACATGCTTGTCTCTTAGGACTCTGATCCTAAACTTTCAGTAGCATAAATTCCATGAAAGCATAAACTTTCAGTGGCATAAATTCCAAGTGTTTAGACACATAGGGATTCTAGAATCCTGAAGGTGGCAAACATTATTAGAAATAAAAGGCAGGAAGAACGTCAAAGCAGAATACAAAATAAATCAGAGCACTTTGGCTCTAAAACTGACCAATCCCAGCGTATTCACTACAGCATAGTCATTCTGGTCTACTCACAAGTAAGGGGGATGGTCTGCTTCCTGGTAGTATGGGGGACCCAGTCTAGACCCTGATGGTAGGAGGGACACAAGCTGCAAGAGCAGCTCAGCTGTTAAAGACTCTATCCCTCCCTTTGGAGGGAATGACAGATAATTAGTCAAGTGGGTCATCTCTCCCAGGTAGATAAGCATCTGCATAGAACTGACAGGAAATATGTAACAGGATGGTTTAGAGAAACAAAGCGGGAAGACCAATGTCTGTCTTCACTCTGCTGGCTGTACCTCAAGTCTTATTTACAGATGTGAGCAGCTTCCTATGGATTGGCCAGTTTTCAGATACCACTTGGGAAAACTAGATTTGCGTCTATAATTATATTTGCAGTGCTTTATTATTACCTCATTTCTTGTGTGACCTATGAATGGGGGGAAGGGCTGTAGCTCAGTGGTGCAGTACATGCTTCACATACAAAAGATACTTGGTTCAATCCCTGGCAGCTCTAGGAAGGGCTAGGAAATCTTCCCTATCTGAAACCCTGGACAACCACTACCTGTCAGTGCAGGCAATATTCGGCTAGATCAGCAATTCCAAATTAGCTAAGTACTGCAGACTCCCTGTTTTTCAAAAGCCAAGCAATGCCCCCCCCCTACTTTTGGGTCGGTTACCTGGACTCCCTGGGGTCTGAGAAACACCAATTGGGATCCCCTGGGCTAGATGGACCAATCCAATATGAGGAAGCTTCATAGGTTTCTAGAGTCCCTCCAAACAAAAACTGATAAAAAGAGATGGCACCAGCCACCACCTCAAGATGCACTTTGATGTCAGTGAAAATGTGTTTCTAAATGGATCAAACAGGGCTGCAGGACAGGGTATGATACCGTTCACTTTCATAAAGTATAATGATGGAAATCTAAGTTCATAAACTCAAAGCAAGTTTACAAATGAAAAATACTGATAGTTCCAGACTTTAAGTCCGTAGTTAAGGCACAGCATGATGATACATACCATGTTCCTCAATATAGTCCACAACATGGCGGACTATGAATGGAACTTCACTGCCTGGCTGTCCTTCCTGCTGGAGTTCATCGAGTGGAATTCCAAATATTTTGTTAGTGAGAACAGAGTTGCAGTTACTCAAAGAAGGGGAGGAGCTCTTCCTCATATCTTTATGCAGCCCAATATCAAAGCTGTCTTTCTGTAAAATACAGTTGCCTTGCATTGAACTCCAACATTAAATACCGATTCACACATAAAAATACATCAGTTAATGAATAAACTTTAATCAGAAACTAGAACCCCAGCTATGAATCCCACACAAACTATCTTCCTTAAAAAAAATAAGATTTACTCTAAGCCCAGAATGTGATAAAACTGAAACAGAATAACCACACAATGATTTTAGTTCCTGCAAAACAAAGATATATAAAACTGGCAACAATAGCTGCTAGAATTATTGCAAATAATAAGCAGATTTAATCACATGTAGTGAGCCTGCTAAAAGCCCCAAAACGCTGAAATACAATAGAAACTGACATTTTTTTATTAAAAAAAGTGTCACTTCAATGGATCAACTTTTTGTCAACTTAATTATGTGCCAATTGTACTATACTGTATCCATTGGTTACTACCAGACTAGTTTACACCAGGCATTAGAAATGCATATTACTCCTAAACAAGAGCAGCTGGAGAAATTGCGGAAAATTTGGCTTGGCCAAAATAAACCAAACTTTAAACTATGGTTCTAGTAATTTCTTAAAAGAAAAAGAAAGTTGAGAAAACCTACCTCAGAGCACTTACACACCTACGTTTACAAAATATTTTCTACGCCAGCTACCCTTACTGACCAAGCATTCTTTTGTCATTTATGGCTGCTTGAGGTTATGGCAGAAGATCAGCCTGTAGTTCCTCATTGAAGAAGAGCAGAACTCGATCAGTACCTCAGCTGTTAATCTGGAAAACAAAAAGAAGCATTTAAGTACTCTAAATTTTGTGATTATTTAAAGAGCAATGTATAGAGGCTGGGGCAGGGGGAGAAGAAGAGTCCATGGCAGAGCTACCACCATTTCCCATGGCCTGCGTCGCTCAATGCAACAAGGGCAAAAGGTGGAGAGCAGGTGTCTCATTCCGTAATTTCTTTTTCCCCTCCCATTGACCACAAATTTAATTATTTCATTCCATCATGAATCACCTCCTGAGATATAATTTGAAGCAATTTAAAAATAAAAATACCAACAAAAACAATTATAACAATTTCATACATAAACAATTGAAAGACTTAACTACACCACCTTCAGGATTCGGATATTTTTAGGGTGTATCAGAGGAACAAGGGAGGCTGAGGTTCTGTGGATTCACAGTCTGTGTCTGACAAGTCCAGTCTCCCCACCCCCGACAGAGCACAAGTGCTTTCCACCAAACAGGGATCACACAACAGGCCTTCCTCACCGCTGACAGAGTAACAATTCAGCTGCATCCAATGGCCCCAAGACACCCTCCTAGAGAGCATACAGGTTGCTTCAATATTTTATTTTTAAATGCCTCGGAACAAAGTTTTAAAAATGTGAATACTAGATCATATTATGTGTTTGACTATCAGAAATTAGGTGATTTAATAGTCTGATCAAACCTCCAGACAGACTGATCTGAAAGCACAATTCTCACAAAATTTCCATTCAGTCCACCCCAATTTCACTCCAAGGTAAATAATGTAGACATGCTGCTGCTGTGGCATTGTACCAAATGCATAAGTTCTTGTACTCATGCAGACAATGACCTGTTTCAAATGCAGTACTAAACCATGGTTTAGCGATGGACAAGCTTGCACAAGTCTGAGGCTCACATACTCTCCTGTCCTTTGAGCATGCAAGGAGGAAACTGAAAGTCTGTTTTAGAACTAACTCCAGTTCTAGTATTTCAAGTTCATGCAACTGTAGTTTGTTCTTAATACATTTAGTTAACAAATTGGGATATCAAATCCATAAATAACCCATCTAAGATATGGAAACTGTCCTCATGAAGATGGTTAAAAATAATCTTTAAAAATGATGTCTTAAATTTTGTTTAAATTTCAACTATAGGAAGTATGCAACTATTGTAAAACAAAATATACATTTTAAATGCTATAATTATTTAAAACCCTACATGTTAAACCCTTATGTTATTTTAAACTCCAACTTAATCTACATTAAAAGCAGCTAAGATTTTCAGAAAAAACAAGTCAAATTACACCACAAGATAAAATCAGAAATGCATCCATGAATATTTTTTTAATTATTTTTAAAAATTGGAGTCAGCATAAAAACCTGTTAATATTAATCTTGCTCAAATAAAACAGTATTGGCAAGATGGTGCAAAGTCAAAAGAAGAAGCCACACAAACCTCCCATGCAAGTTCACTCCACAACTGGGCCACACAAAAACCACAGACATCAATATACATACATCAATAAACACCATGCCATTTAGGGCTTCATAGATAATAACCAGAACCTCAAATTGTGCTTCGAAATATTCTAAAGCAGACACCATATACTCACACATATGTATTCCCATAAGCAACCTAGCTGGAGTATTTAGGACCACCTGAGGCTTAGAGAGATTCTTCAAAAGCAGCCCTATGTAGAGAGTGCTGCAGAAATACAATTTCAATGTAGCTGAGCTGTGCGTCATCAAGACAAATGGGGAAGGGCCATAGTTCAGTGAAAGAGCATCTTCATTGCATGTAGAAGGTGCCAAGATCAATCCCTGGCATTTCCAGTTAAGGCTGGGAATGTCCCGTTTTAAACCATGGTGAACCTTTGCCAGTTGGTGTAAGCAACACTGAGCAGGACAGACCAATATTCCTATGATCTGACTAGAAATGAGTCAAATGGAAAGCTATTTTAACGTCACCTTTTTCATGGGGATTTACAATTAAATGACACTGGTCATGAGACCTACTTAATAGCCTACAGATAATGTAGTTACAAAGTTTTAAGTACAACGTTTGTTACTAACAACTATCTTTAATCTGATAGTAACATTTACAAGCATGAAACCACTTCTTAGATTATCAAGGTTCCTAGAATTACTAGACTTTTATATGTCTTACATTAAACAATGTACAGTTATCATATATACAAAATCCTTTTTAAAAAGCCACTTACTGAGTTTCTTCTTTGAGTCTAGTATAAGCCAAAAATTAATCCAAAGTGGAACTATATATCCCTCTTGTAACGGAAGGACCTGCTAGGAGATCAGGGCAATGACTACCCACCCTGAGGTGGACTGAGGTTACTTAAGAGATAATGATTTGCCCAAGGCCACTCAGGGTTGAAAACATATCAAAGAGCAAAACTGTGCCCATTATACCACAATGGTTCCTGCTAAAGTTACGTAAGGGAAAAAATAAATTAGCTGTAATCTTGGAAACAGTTGTGGAATGGAGAACATGTTCTCTGATACAGACAGCAAGATCTCTAGTACTTGTGAGGAGGCAGTTCCCACCTGCTCCAGCTGTCCATGATGGAACTCACTTAACTTGTTCTAATATTTGTTAATTATCCCTACTGACTTATATAAAGGTAAAGGGTAAAAGGACCCCTGACCATTAGGTCCAGTCGTGACTGACTCTCGGGTTGCAGCGCTCATCTCGTTTTATTGGCCGAGGGAGCCGGCTTACAGCTTCCAGGTCATGTGGCCAGCATGACTAAGCCGCTTCTGCCAAACCAGAGCAGCGCATGGAAACGCCGTTTACCTTCCCACCGGAGCGGTATCTATTTATCTACTTGCACTTTGACATGCTTTCGAATTGCTAGGCTGGCAGGAGCAGGGACCGAGCAACGGGAGCTCACCCCGTCACAGGGATTCGAACCACCGACCTTCTGATCAGCAAGTCCTAGGCTCTGTGATTTAACCCACAGCGCCACCCGTGTCCCACTGACTTATATAGAACAAGGTAAATAGACTGCAATCCTATACCATACTGAACTCAATGAGACTCACTTCTGAGTAGTCATGTATAGGATTGTACCATAAATTACCCCCATTATCGGGGGAATTAATCTCCATCAGCATTTTGGTAAATCAAACAGGAGTATAAAAAAATTACTATTGCTGTGATATGAATTCCAACTCAAACCCCATCCCTCAAAGAACATTTTCACATACCGTATTTTTCGCTCTATAACACGCACCTGACCATAACACGCACGTAGTTTTTAGAGGAGGAAAACAAGAAAAAAATATTCTAAACAAAACAGTGGATGTATGTTTTTTGTGGTTCATGCTGTGGCCACAGACATGTGATCTGACGGTGAGTTTGGGGTGACCCAGTGCAAAAATCCTGAGGATCCATGTGGATCCGTGCTTTGTAACCACGTTTTAAGTGGGGAGGGAGGGAAAAGCACTCAAGGGACAAGGAGCACGCGTGGGGGGGTGTGGAGAAGGATGCTGCTAATAATGCAGGAGAGGCTCCTCTCCGGCTTTGCTCCTTTAAAACAAGCAGGCTCTGCTTCTCTCCCTCCTCCCCAGCAAGGAAACCACGATAGTAACCACTCTGAGACAAATCAAGAAAAATTGCGACCAACACTCTCCCCCAACAAGCGCAGTGAGGTCAAAACACACACACACACACAGAGAGAGAGAGAGAACTGGCCCTAAAGGCGCAGGGCGCTGGAAGTCGCAGGGGCGCTGGGGGAGTGAACGGGAAGCAAGAGAAGGAGAAGGAGCCCACACAGACACACACACAGAGTGTCAATTCTAAAGTCGCAGGGGCGCAGGGAGAGTGAAGGGGAAGCAGCAGGAGGAGAACGATAGCTCAAGCACACACACACACAGCCCCTACAGTGGCTAATCCAAAATCGGACAGCAAAAAACTGCAGGCAGGGACAGAGAGCAGGGGTTGTTTTAAAGCAGCCAACTCCCGCTCTGCTTCTCTCCCTCCTCCCCGGCTCCGCTAGCTGACAGGAGCCGCTTACACCCGCTTTGCTGTTTCAAAGCGAGCCACGGACTGCTCACGACTGCAGCAGATTCCCCCGCCATCTGTAGGCATTCGCTCCATAACACGCACAGACATTTCCCCTTACTTTCTAGGAGGAAAAAACTGCGTGTTATGGAGCGAAATTTACGGTAGTTCTATAACTATACTCTAAATAATTCTGTATAGTAAAAAATATAATACAGACCATATGATGTGTTGGATCCAGACCTGTGGTTTTGCAAACACAAGGATTCTCCCATTTGCAAAAGCAAGGCAGATTGATCAGAGGTTTCTGCTCCACAAACTGGATGTTCTTACAGGCAGAAGGCAATTTTCACCTAATCTCCCTCTCACTTGCAGACCACCTGCCATGCTGTTCCAAAGGGACTTCTAACTCACCAGAGGAGATTTTCAGGGGTACTGCATCTAGAGAAATCTGCAAAAATTGTTTCTCTCATTCCCACCTCATTTCCAGTCACTGAACTCCTCTCCATGGACACACCCCCTATCTACTGCAAGTTGAGGTTAGATCCACCAATCAGATTCGATATATAATTCAAAACTGTTAACAATCAGATTTGGTATAATGCAGGACAAAGGATCTCTATAAACTAACAATTTCATCAGTATTTTTATCAGACATGTTATTGGCCCTCAGAGGGGTATACATGCAGTTTTAGAGATGCTAAAACTTTTGTAAGATTTTTGAATAGTGCAACAGACTGTTCTTCATGTGGCCTCTTAGGAGTAAAAGGGCTGGGCTATGCAAATAGCAACTGGCTCATTTTCAAGTGACACTAGCTGAATTATCTCAAACCAAATAACTACACTGAAATCTTCGAAACAGTTGGGGGGTACACACATGTAGAAAATGCTTCCTGTCACAGGTATCAGACCTTCAAGCAGAATGAGTGTGTATGTTGTGAGCGCAGCTTAACAAAGTACCATCTGCTAGAATCAATAGTTCAGAGGGGCAAAACAAAGTATTGGAAAATCAGTTCACCCAAAAGCTGACAATCACACATTAATCAGCTATGCTATTCCTCCTCTAAGCCTACTTCTGTCACCTACCTCAAACCTACTATTTACCAAACTAACATTTTGGTCTGGTGGGTAGCTGGCCATTAAGTGAACATGACAAGACACAACGAGGGAAATGCCATAGTCTAGTGGTAGAGCATCTGCTTTGTGTGCAGAAAATTCAAGCCTCAGCATCTTCAGGTAGGGCAGGAGAAGACCCCTGTCTGAAGCACTGGAAAGCCACTTACAGTGTAAACCATGAGTTTACACCAAAACCAAAACTGGGTTTTAAAAGCAGATCAGATCCTTAATTTTGCCACACATACCCCCATGGTCCAACCTTGACAGGTGAGCAAGAACCACCACCAATTACATGATGTCATAATTATGGCTAGTGATTGACACCTGTCAAAGTTCAAAAGAGGCCATTATAATTAATCAGCTGATCAGCAATTAAAGCAACTTTCTTTGAAGACATGCTTTCAGTGCCAATCATCTGACTGGGACTGGGAATGCACCTTTAGAGAAGCTTGCTGTAACTTCTGATCAGTTAACTGGTGGATACAAAGAGCTCATTTGATGCTTCTGCAGAGGGCAGAATGCTCATATAAACAGAACATTTCCCCCTCTGCAGAGAAAGTGGTTTGGATTCAAAGTGCTTCCTCCAACGCTCTTGGCAGTTACAGTTGATCTTAGCTGATTGACAGTCGTACAGGGCTTTCCCCAAACCACAACAATCACCTTATCCTAAGTGCTTGCAGAGAGTCCTGCACTTTGCTTAGAAGCCCTGACAATCAACTAATTTTATCTGTCCTATACCTGGTGTTATATATGAAGTCAGGTGCAGGGCAAGTGGGCAATAATTAGTAGCACAGTGTCACAAATTGTAAGGCACAGGAATTTGTAAGGTCCTACTTAAATTGCCATGTGTAGGTCAAGTGGGCATAGCTTGACCAAAATTGCCTGGCAGGCCAAGTGGGGAGTGGCTTCCCAACCCCTGGTGTAGTCAATATTGAATTATATGTGCTGACCGGGTATAAGGAAGCTTTCTATGTTCCTTTTCAGGGTTCCCTCCCTCCTTCCTTAATTGGGATGGCTTGGGCTTCAAAACATGCATAGGAAAAGGGACATGGCATAACCACGGAGCCTTCACAAGGAATATATTGAGCTATCTACCAACTAAGTAATGAGGATATTCTTTTTCCCACTGCATGAAAAATATTGCTCTGCTCCTGATCACTGTTGCAGGAAAGTTCTGGCACACAGTCACCAAAACAAACATGGAATTTAGTGCTCCTGCAAGCACATAGTAGGAAAAACAGAAATCCATATTTTTTGTAATCCATTCAACGTAGTACAAGCAGACTTCCACTCACACAACAGAACTTCCATTTCCTCGGCTTTCCCCATATGCCACCAAAATCTGCACTGCAGAGTGCCCAATCCTTTGGAGTCTATATTGAGAGCACACAAAGGGAGCTGGTGGGCACAGGCTAGGAAGAGAAAGTTACATTGCACAAACTTAAGTTTATTACACAAGTTGAACTACAGCTTTGGATACAGCCCATCATAGCTTGAATGGAATCATGGACAAACAAAAGTTATTTCAGTTATTTATATTCTACCTTTCAGGATACAAACCTTCTGACGCAACTTATAAGAATCATTAATCTACTTTTAAAATTTATCTTTCCCCAAACACGATATTTGGGTCATTAGGGGCAAATTAAGAGCAAATAATTCCATCTAGAAACAAAACCTAACATTATCGTATTAACAAAAAAAGGCCCAGTAACTACATTGTACCTCAATCATAACAGCTAATAGGCGATTGGTAATTCTGTGTGACAGTTAATTGTATGCACAAACACAGTTGCAGGAGTCACGAATTTAATAAAGCGTGCATAATGTTTCAAAATAAAATCAGTAAACTTATGCAACATTATATCCTGAAAACAGAACAGTTTAACATTTAACAATTATTAAAGAGTGCTAGTTTTTAGAGGGATCTTTCATTGTTCCGCCACTACAAAAAAAGCAAATTTTAAGTTAATTCAAGTCGCTCATTCTCATTAGCTCCATAATCACAATTCATCACATAAAACTTCGCCATCACATGTCATGAATGCATATTCCATCATGATTCGGAGTGGGGGGGTGTATTCAAAAAATCTGTATACTTATTCTAAGTAGGAAAATTTACAGCACTCTTCTGTGCAAGTTTACTTGGAAGAGATCACACTGTGTTCAATGAGATGTGCTCTTTAGCAAGTGCATTTAAGAGCAGCCAAACTACTGGAAGTCAGTTCAGATACATGTCAATGAAAATGCCAGTACAAGATTCAAAGAAGCCAGCAATTAAGCAAACTGATAATCATTGTAGCCAGCAAACATGTTTCCTACTTACATTTAGAAGATCTACCTGCACAAGGAAGATACTATACAAAACTGGGAAAAGACAGTGAAAACCTAGAAACAATAATCTACAGCTTCAATATTTAATCTGCCTTACTTATATCGTCATTTTATTAATTATCCAGAGTCCAATACAGTTTTAAAAATGTGGACTGTGTAGTATTTATATTTGAAAGGCTAAAGAGTATGTCAAAAGGAATAGATTATAAGATCATAACCAAAGTATTTCAACTCTCATTCCTTCCAAAGCCTTATTTCTAAATATACATACATTAGTAATTCCTCAATGTTTAATCATGTTTTCAAAATAATAGCCAAGATATTTCTTATATTAAAGAGCTCCCCCTACAGGCAACATGGCCCATATATGGAACCTTGCAGCATCAGCCTATGCCTGCATCACTTCTGTAGAAGCACTTTGTAACAGAAAGGTAAGGTTGCAATGCTTTGTCATTCTTTGTAAGCCTGTTGCACTTCCAGAAAAATGTAAAAGCACTTGTTCAGAATTCAAGTCACACACATTCATTGAAAGGAGTAATCAACAGATTACTCAAGAAACTGCTAAAGTCGAGTAAACTGTTAAAAAAGAAATCTATTAAAAGCCTAATTTCCCACTCAAATTTACATTATACCAAAAAGCAGCATTAACAGAACAGTATTTTGCAAAATAAGTAAGGAGTGCTTGATGGAAAAAAATAAGGGCTTTTCAGTGAAATACAACATATAAATAAATAAATAAATAAATAGGAGCACAGCGTAACCTAAATTGGCAAACGAGTTTGTAAGGTTCTACTTAAATTCTTAATTAATTGCTGAACATTTTAACATTGAAGTATTCCAGATGGTTTTATTTCACAGAATGTACATTTTGGGATCTTGATTTCTGACAAGACCAAAGACTTATGCACTAGCTAATGAACAAGCAAGCAATAAATGAGTTAATTTTGCTTTCAAACAAGCTTATTTAACAACATATCAAAGAATAGGGATAATCCCAAAGTTTATCAACTTTATTACAAATAGCTCAACAACATGTACTACAGTTGGGAACTATGATTCTGTTTTGCCCAGGGTTCACTGAACTAGTACCCAGAATGCCACCAAATAGATCACAAAGAGGCATACATGAGTATGGAACTAGATTCACTCACAGTGAGACCTCCCCCACCCGGAACAGCCCCTAAACCTGTTCTAGGGGTTCCTCCAATCCTCCAAAGCAGATTTAGGGAATGCAGGGGACACGCACGGGGTGGGGGCTGAGGTCTTACTGTGAGAGCAAACCTAGTTCCCCACGCACAGCAACTTAGTTGAATCCTACAAAGTAGAACTTATTTCTAGGGAGCACAGAAATTCAGCTGGATAGGAGAGAAACTGTTCAGAGTCCTGGTATACATGTAAAAAAAATTGAATGAGTAAAAATTGTTAAAAGCTTTAGTTTTTCGTACTTCCCATAAAAATAGAACAAGATTTTCTACCACAATTTTCTACCTTGTAACTTAGAAGGTACGCTTCCCTATAGAAGTGGAAGAGAACCCTAGAGAGCCAGTTACAGTGTACACCAGGGGTTGTCAATCTGGTCCCTACCGCCCACTAGTGGGCATTTCAGGATTCTAGGTGGGCGGTTGGGGGTTCTACAGGACAAGTTGAATCCCCCTTCCATCAAGCACTGGTGGGCGGTAAAGAAATTTTACCATCAAGAAAGATGCATTAGTGGGTGGTAGGTACAAAAAGGTTGACTACCCCTAGTGTACACCAACCATACTGAGGCTAGATGGAGCAATGGTCTAAGTATAAGGCTGCTTCCTATATTCCCTATGTAGAATTGTTCGTGAATGACAGTAGCTAAGGTTATTTGTCAGACCCAACCTCTAGTGGAGTTACAAGTTAAATTATTATTAGGCTCCACCACTCATAAATATATCTCTTCTCGCACCAGATGCCCATGATTGCTGCTTCCCTTCTGTTTCCACAAGGCAACAAAAACATTAGAAGCTTCCTATCCAGCTTCAAGATCATTACAGACTTCACTGTACAAGAGTGGCAGGGAAAAGCAACCCCCAAATCGGCTGCATTTTCTCATTATGAACTATGCATTTCTCTTATTCTCTACCCAAAGGGTGATGCTGAAAGTATTCAGATGTGTGTCATAATACCTCAGAATCACTTCATCAAATTACTGCAGAGCTGTAGCAATAAATACGAAGCTTTAAAGTCACATCATATGTATTACGATCATATCACTTCAGTAGTGTGCTATGTAATACATATCCACTGTGATTTCTTATCAATGAACATATAGACAAAATAGGAATTCTGCAGGATATACAGACAGACATTTCTTCCTCTTAATTACTAGTACTTATCACTATATGATAAAGATTTGCAGTCTTGGGAACTCAAATGAAAGAGTGGACTAACCAAAAACAGAAAGAAAGTTAGGAAGAAAGAGGAACAGGACCAAGCCGTTAGAAAACCAACATGCATGTAAACAATTAATAATGGTAGAATTTCCAAAGAAATGAGAGGCCAAATGAAATTTCAAGCAACCCAAATGCAACAATGTCACAAAAACCAGACTAGAGGAGATCATAACTGAAAACGATCCCTTCTAAAAGTGAAGATGACAAAGAATACATTCATGCTACATTACTTAAGATCAGAAAAGGAAGCAGATGAATGTCTTGGATTTCATTTGTTGGTTTAAAAGAAAGAAAATAAAGAGCCAATATTGATGGACAGTTGAAGAATAGTGTGGATAACCCGGTGGAAAAGAGGACTGCACGTTGAACAGTTGTGTAGAAGAGGAAAGTTCAGTCAGTGTAGCTCATATGCAAACTATGCCGGTTGAAATTCCCTCTTCCACACAACTATTCAAGGTACAAGAGGGCTTTTCTACTCTTCCACCTGGGCAGCCTAGCACAACTGCAATGAACTACTAGAACAAGCAAAAAATTAAGTACCGGTAATTCAAAGGGAAAATAGACGTTATTACAAAGCTGAAATTCCTAACCAGACTTGCATCATCTCTGGTTTAAGATGGTTTGAGAAAACAGCACATTAAGTACACTGGAATGTCACTAATGTGTAAAATAATATTATGAAAGTCTAACATTTATATTTCATAGAATTATTATGTCTTTAGGCCATCATTATAGAATCATAGAATTGTAAATTGGAAGTGATGCAGAGGGTCATCATTGTTCTACCAGTGTATGATGGTCATAAAATATATTACAGTGGACGCTCGGGTTGCGAACGTGATCCGTGCGGGAAGCACGTTCGCAACCCACAGCGTTTGCAACCCACAGCGGCACGTCTGTGCACACGTGGGTTGCGATTCGACGCTTCTGCACATGCGCCAAAACCCAGAAGTAACCCGTTCCAGTACTTCCGGGTTCGGCATGGTACACAACCCGAAGCATCTGTAACCCGAGGTATGACTGTACTTTAGATACTATATTTATTTAATATTTCAATATTAAATATAGACAATGTGGTTGGTGCTGTGGTCTAAATCACTGAGCCTTTTGGGCTTGCCGATCGGAAGGTCAGCAATTCAAATCCGCATAACAGGGTGAGCTCCTGTTGCTCTGTTCCAGCTTCTGCCAACCTAGCAGTTTGAAAGCACACCAGTGCAAGTAGATAAATACTGCTGCGGCTGGAAGGTAAATAGTGTTTCCTATGCACTCCGGCTTCCGTCACGGTGTTCCATTGTGCCAGAAGCGGTTTTTTCATGCTGGCCATATGACCTGGAAAGCTGACTGTGGACAAAGTCAGTCTGAAGCGAGATGAGCGCCACACTCCATAATTGCCTGTGACTGGACTTAAGCATCCAGGGGTTCTTTACCTTTACCATAGATAACTGGATATCAAACATATATGTATCAAATAATACTGTATTGCACTATGTGTGATAAAGCTTACTAGCTTATTAAGGTTTATCATTACTGTTGAATTTATTCAGGGTTTTGAAAAATACGGTACTGAGATGAATTCTCACCATTATGCAGGTTTAAATCAAAGTGCATATGAAATAAACAAGATGGAAACTTTTCTGCTTTTCAGTAATGTTTTGCTGAAGACATGCCCAGTCTGAAGCACATGCTTCAAATTAGAGGCCATTAACACAAGCATCCATGTAACAGCAAGCCATGGGTAATGTAGAGAAAATATAAAATCTTTTGGCCTTTACTGCCTTTCTTGCACCTCAAATTACAATTTCATGCTGTTATTGTTCCCAGTAGCTTCTATATTACTTGAAAGAAGTATGCTTGTATTAAATTCTGATTTCATTTTTAAATAAGGGGCTATAATCAACAAAGTCACTGCACAAAGGGAATAAATTTTGTTCATGCAACTGAACTCTCCCATGTGCCCCACCACCACCTGTAAGCCCACCCTGGGAGCTCCCCCATCTCACTAGAGCATATTTGTGGGTCGGGGCACAGAAGCATGTGGGTAAAGGAGAGAGAGAGAAAGTTACTGGATTCAATCCTAGATTATTTTTAATGAGACAATATTGAAACACCCCTTTTTATAAACAAAAATTATTATTCACCCCACCCAGAAACAAGTATTTTCTCATTAACTATTAATAAAATACTGTGATGTGGTGGTTAGAGTTTAGCTTAAATGAGGAGAACCTTGTAAGACACCTTGAGCTCCCTGCAGGAAAGGTGGGGTATAAATGCAAAAAATAAAAATGTCAATCTCAGAATCAATTTCCTGTGCATCTAAGCACTCTGGGTAGAATTTTGGGTACATAATTATAGCAGACACAACTGCTGCAGGTTTATGGTTTTATGCTGGTGGTTTATGTAGGAAACATTTCAAGTGCAGATTCATTCACTCATACATCTTTAAATATGCATCTGGGAACATGCTTGATGTAACTACATGACAAAATCAGACCAAATGCAGGTGTTCCAGAGAATCTACCACAGTTGAGTCAGCAGCCTTTTTTTTCTTAATCTATTTTTAGGTCTAGAACTGATAAAAGAAAAGTTGGGTGAGGTGTCTGAAGCTGCTGCCACCACCATCTTCTACACTACCCCCAAATGCCCTACCTTACTGATCTTCAACTGGTGGGTCGGGACCCACTACCAGGTCATAGCTTCTCTAAGGTGAGTCACAGCAGCAGCAGCAGGAGCAGCACTATACAAATATACGGTTAAATAAATTAAGAAATGGGTTCCCACATGCGTGTTAGGGTTTAATTATTGTTAGCTTTATTAAATGTATTACCCATCTGGCAACAGGTCCCAGGCTGGGTTAGAACAATTTAAATTTAAAATGTGTCCCATCTAAAAAACTTGAATACAACCACCCTATCCCTAAAGTACACTACATCAGGGTTCAGATGCATTTTGTGGAAATGAAGGTGGTGGCAACTGCTTCAGCCAAGTTGCCTAGCACTTCTCTACTCAAAGGTGGACTAAGGGCCTATCAAGGCATTGCATTGCACCCGTTCCCACTACTGACCACCCATCCATGTCTCTGAACCAAGCTTGCTATGGGTATCCAAACTTTACACATTTGCAGTCTATTTTAACTGGGTATGAAGGATAAACTGAAAACTCCAAATATGCTTTCCTTGGTGGTAGAGAAAAGCACAAACAGGTGGAATATTTACACCCGATATATCAGATGGACATATTTTGCCCACAGAAGGGATTAAAGTACTTTTAAGCTTCCCAACCTAAGGTAACAACAATTTGTCTGCCAAAGAAATAATTCTGCATCGGGATGCATCCTAGGGGATAAAGTTTAAGCACTGTGCTAGCCAGCCTGCTGAGTCTCACTATCCTTTCATTCAACCTGTCAATGCACTCTAGAACATACCCAATAGTTCTTTGCAGATAAAAAGGTAAGTAAAGGTGGAAAAACTAATATACCCTTATTGGTCTCATTAGGAAATTCCAGATATGCCCTTGTGAAGTTTGAGGTTCCATGAGAGCTTAACTAAGTTATCTTTGGATTTGTGCATTGGGAAGTTTTCCAGAAGGTCAGATTGACAAGTGACTCAGGGGCTGGGACACCTTCAACTTGTAGCACATTTCTTCCACTGAATCACACAGGGCTATTTTGTTCTAGTGAACCTTTCTGTGCTGCACCTGCTCTCTGTTTATGACACCTGATCTGAATGAATCACACAGCTTCATCTACACAGCCTGATAAGCAGCACATGGGGGCTTGACGAAATGGAAGCTTTGATCCTTTGAATCCTAGCATTTTACTTCCAGGAGGGAAGTAGCCTCTGTCCTATTTCTGGGGTTGGAGATCTCGGAGAACACATCCAAAAGATGCTTAGGATTAGGAACATCACATTCCAAAAGCTGGTGGCTAATTTATTCACGTTACTGACGTCTCCAAATTGCTTTCTGTACCCATTGAGTGTGCAGAGACACACCGTTACCCGAGTCCACTGTAACCAAATAACCAATCGCCCTTTTTTAAAGAGATGCACCGCCATCCGTACATGCAGTTACGCTTTGACCAAGTTATCACGATTTCATTGCGGGAGAATCATAACTCCCGCTTCCTCAACAGTCTAACCCTCAAGGACGATCGCCTCACCCCATCCAAAAAAGGAGGTGCATAACCCCCAACTCCTGCTCTTCTGACCCCGAACCATTTCCTGCCCTCGCCAAGGCCGGTCACGTTCAGACCCACAAGACAACCTACCTGCAGATTTACCCTCCCAAACCCATCGCCTTTTTCCAGCATCGAGAGGTCTCCCCCCCATCCCACCCCCTCCAATCCAAACGAGACCTCCTCCTTCGCCTGCAGTCCTCCCCCACCCCCAGCAACAAATGCAGTTCCCATCCCCCCCAAAATAAAAACAAAAACCTTCCCGTCTCCCCCCCTTCACCACCGCCAGCCACTGCCCTGACGCGCATGCGCGATGGCGGCTCCCTCACCGTTGCCGGGTGACTCTCCCCTCGGCCCTCAGTTTCAGCAGCAGCAGGTTCCTCCGACTCTTTCCGTTCGAGGGCCCGGCTTGGCTGGGCCTGGCTCGGCTCCACAGACCTGGCTCTCCGGCGGCGGCGGCAGCCGAGGGTGACGAGCGTGAAGCTGCCGTCCCGGTCCCGGCCCCGCCCCTCGAGGCCACACAAATACAGAAGATCTGGCGCGCGGCAGAGGCAGCCTCAGTCTCCGTAGCTGAAGCTTCTCCACTGACGGACTCTTCAACTGTAATGAGCAGAAAGCGGCAGACCAGGAAAGGAAGTGACGCGCGCCTGATTGACAGGGAGCGGCGCGCGGGCATCGCCCCTCCGCTTATTTCCTACCACTGCTCCCCCCCCCCACAACCCATCGGCAGGAAGTGACGTAATATAACGAGGGAGGCGCTCATAAAGGAGCTCGCAGGGAGAGGCAGAGGGAGGTAGATGGAAGCCGCGGAGAGGGAGGGAGGTGAAAGAGGGGCGTATAAGCCCTGTGGTTGGCTTTCCCTCACCCGACCCGCTGTCAAATGTTTCCTTTCGGCCTGGCAGGCGGAAATCCAACCACTGTAGCTTTCCGCGAGGTGATGGGGGAAAGTGTCACCTGTTGAATTAACAGAAGTCTCACTGGATCGTGCCCTTATTCTCTGCAGTAATTAAATGCAGAAGCCTGCACTTCCCTGGTTAGATATTCACAGCTGTCAACAGGGATTAGATTCCACACATCGGTCTCCCCCCCCCAAAAAAAGAAGAAGAAGGGGAAAAGGGGATATCATAAAATCCAGCTTCTGACCACTGTGGTTGCAAGTATGAACTAAATCCATGTATTTAAAGCCGTTTGTGCTCTACTGTTTTCAGGTAAATGGCTCCCAGTGTGGCTTACACATCAGTTCAAAAAGCAAGATGGCCCCTGTCTTCAGCTCTGCCGTCTGAAAGACATGGCACAAGAGGGGAAAGGGATGGGGAGGGAAGAGGAAAACAAGCGCACACCCATTTTTAAAGTTACAAAGCTTGTAAAAGCAACCTGCTGGGATGGAAACAGTTCAGGAAGAGAAGGTCTCTCAGCTGTCAGAGACAATGGAGTGGCCTGGCTGCCCTTGTTTCACTCTACTGCAGTCTGTGGAGTGGTTGCTATTCACAGACAATTGGAGGAAAGCAAAAGGGAGACCCAGGAGCTGTCAGGTGATGAATTACATTCCACAGTAACTAACATCTACCAAATGGCTACCCCTGTGAGGGGTAGTGCTGTCACATTTTCCAGAAGTATCAGGCTGTGGGTAGCCCTCAGATTTTTAGGTGGAAATGAGCAAAACCCATAGATCTGCTGAGTTAAACTGGAAGGACATATTTATTCCTGAGCCTCCATGGGATCTTTCTATCTGGCAAGAAGTCACAGATTTGCTTGTGAAGTAGTTTAGGTGGACAGGAGTCTTATGCTGGCCAAGGTACAATCATTGTCTTTAGCACACTCCTTTACCTTCTCTCAGCTGGAAAAGATTTTGGGTCTCCCAGGAATTACAAGGAGAGCAAAAAGGTGCACATTATGTCAGGACACCAGCACTCTCTCTTCCTCATGTTCACACAGGAATCATACCTTAGCAAACCACACTGCAGATGGGATCTATGCTTTCTTACCCATAATAACATATGAGTAATAAAGTATAGATCCCATCTGCACCTCCTTTAGCCCAGGTCCCCATACATCTCTTAAAAAAGGTGGCTGTTTTGCCTTTAAAACAGCCGTTATAAGGAGAAAAGTTTGGGGGGATGACGAGCAAACCGTTATCTGATAAAATTATTAAAACCAAGAATTCTAACTCTAATGTATTTTACCACACCATGGTTTTTGTTTTTTAATCTGTGAGTTTTCTTTGCAACAGTAAGTTGAAGCTTTTCTTTGGTCGTATCACCCTGAGTCTGTAACCTTAGCTGAGGTTTCTAACTCTTGAAAGCTTAGCATTATCCTTATTTTTCAAATTTTGATCCAGTAATCCTAGAGAGGAAACAGAGCAGTGACTAAGGTTTTCTGGAAACTAATGAATCAAAATTTGATTGATTTGGTATTCATTCATTATGTTACTAATTTATTTAATGAAACAATTTTTAGAAATTGGTGTGAGTGTGTGTGTAAGCAAAATTATAGTACCCGAAAATTTTCCACCCCACATCACTGATGGAAAACAGTAGTTGATCTGAGAAAGAAAGGTGGAGGAAGAAAATGGCAGGTTAATTTACACCACTATCCTAAAACCACTTAAAAGTAAATACCATTGACATCCACGGAGTTTACTTTCAAGTAGCAGTTTTGGCATGTTGGAAGTTAATGTTTCATTAATTTTATGTAATTGCTCCTAAGCTGCATGTCTGCACTGAACCATATGTTGTGATTTCAGATTCTTGTGTGTGTTTATAGGAAGGGCTATCTTGTTGCTATAGGCAACTGTTAAGAGCATTTCAATGATCAAACACTTCTAGGAAGCCAACAAAGCTTCGTTATGAATCTGCTACAGGTCCCTTCTGCCAAGGCATTCAATACTGTTTACAATTTAACATACCAAGAAAAAAAGAAAGATACAAAACATAAAACTACAGGATTGTCTCATGTCATCGGTGGCCCCTTTTATGAGAGCCAGAGCTCCTGTCTTGCTTCCACTCAGGTCATACAAGTCTTGTAACATTATGATAACTGTTGAGACGTTCACTGATAATGTCAGAGTTCTGCTGGGTTATTCAGGTCTGTAAGGGTCACAAACATCTGCAATTGTGACATGAAAGCTGGCAGCATTAACCCCGCCATATGGGGATCCCTTGCATATGTCTGCAATGCCTGGAGACAGACAGGTTGTTCATCCATAGCAGTGATCAGAGGAGGAATGACCGGTGGAGGAGGAGTCCAGAGAGAAGAAACGGCATGATGCACCTGTAGCAGCAAAACCGGACACTTTCATCAGCCACACCTGCAATAAAACATGTTTCTCCTGCCTTAGTCTCTACAGCTGCAGCAGGTGCTGTAACTCTACAATGGTTTGACTTTACTCCTGAAGGCTTACTCTTCCATTGTCTCCTGAGGCAGATGGGATGCCAACAAACAACAAAGGGCTACACGTGACATGCAGCACACATGTCCCTGTAAGGTAAACTTAGTTCATTTGCTGCAGCCACATAGTACACGTGTTAACGTGCAAATTGGTCCAACTTTGCCATCTGTATAAGATATAGGAGACTTCTCTGACATGGCACAGTTTGGTAAAGGAAGTCTAACTGTAGAAGAAGTTAGGAGATAGTTCATCTGGTAGAGCATGAGACACTTAATGGCAGGGTCATGGGTTCAAGCCCCACATTGGGCAAAAGATTCCTGCAATGCAGGGGGTTGGACAAGATGACCCTCAGGGTCCCTTCCAACTCTACAGTTCTCTGATTCTATGAATGTATTGTTGGTTGTGGTTTTTCTTGCTGTGGGAGCTTTCTTTCTTTGTTGAAGAGCTGGGTAAATATTAGAAAGAGCCAAGTAGCGAAGGCATATAACCTGCAACCTTGATATGCAAGGTTGGTAAAGGTAAAGCGACCCCTGACCATTAGGTCCAGTCATGACCAACTCTGGGGTTGCGGCGCTCATCTCGCTTTATTGGCCGAGGGAGCCAGCATACAGCTTCCAGGTCATGTGGCCAGCATGACTAAGCTGCTTCTAGCGAACCAGAGCAGCGCACGGAAATGCCATTTACCTTCTCGCCGGAGCGGTACCTATTTATCTACTTGCACTTGACATGCTTTCAAATTGCAAGGTAGGCAGGAACAGGGACCGAGCAACGGGAGCTCATCCCATCACGGGGATTTGAACGGCAAGTCCTAGGCTCTGTGGTTTAACCCACAGCGCCACCCGTACATTGCTGTTAAAGGCCATCTATTTCTCACTAGGTGTTTGAAACAGGTTCCGTAGTGCCCTTTTACTTTGAATGTAGCACATCCTAGTTTTCTTTTGTTTTAAATTTCTGATTGCTTCGATTCCTTTAAATCGCAAACGGGTTTCTCAGCCATTGGGGTTACTAAAGTAAGAAAAATACAGTGGTGCTGACCACATCCTTCCTTTGTTTACTGTAGGGGAAAAAAGAAAACCCTGGCACACCTCAGTTCTACCAAACTGGATGGGCTGAGGGTGGAGTGGACTTTGATTTGACTTAAGGATGACTGCCAGAGACAAGCAGCCATCTGCACTAGAGCTTCCGCCTCAAGACAAAGGGTCTACAGTTTTAACTCAAGCAAATCCAGATTGGTAGTGGCAAGAACAGGAACTGGAGGACAAAGGTCAGCAACGTGGAGCAACATGACCCACACGCTGCCCCTTCTACACGCCCACGATTCATTGTCTTCTTGTCTGGGAACCTGTTTCTGTTCTCAAGATGAGATATTTTTGCTGGCAACAAAAGAGAACAAAAGACACAGAAGGAATAAGATCCTTTCTTGGAAGATGTTCTTCTTGTTCTGTTTTCCTTGTCTCCATGCTGAAATCTTGCGAAGCAAGCTAACAATAAATGCAGGCATGACAGGAATTCATTTTGTATCCAGGAGGTACAGAGACCTTTTTGTTTTCTATGTGAGCTAATATAGACTCTTGATGGACTAGTCCCAATTTTATTGTTTTTTGAAGTTATACATTTCCTCTAAGGGTTTCAGTCCTCAGGAATACACCCCCACACACAATAGTTGTGAATATAAAATGCTTTCCCCTCCTATCAAGTGGGATTGTTATTCCAAGGTAGCACTAATGTGATTATAAAATCACTTGTATCAGCTTATTGGCTCAGGTGCTTTGATCTACCAGAGTGTCTGTTCGGCTAAAAACCCCATTAGAAGGCTTCTACCTGATCTATGTAGTTCCATATGTCTTTTCCTGCTTTTGCATCCATTATCTATCATACTGCCGATCTTCTCACTATTTTTATTTAAAATATTTTTAAACATCACAATAACAAAGAAACCTAAAAAGGAGAGCTGTACACAATATTGTGTAGGACTACTGACTGGTATACTGATTAGGAAAATGGCTGTAGTGGTTTTTTTCCCTTTGTTCTTTTTTCTTTTTACTACTGAAAATAAAGTAGCAAAGTCTGCTATGAGGGTGAGGAGGCACTTGGCTGAGTGCTGAAATACTGTATGCCCTATTTCTGAGACCTCTCCTTAGCTGCCTGTTGACCAGTCTCTTCATTTGATGCCCTTCAAAACCTTCCCCTTGTATTTGTAAACAGTTTTCCTCTTTGTTTCAGTCAAAGCATTTCCTCATGATTATCAGCACAATCACATGATTGATATTGATTGTATAAAGCCTAACCATGTGATCATAAAAGCTGGTGCTCAAGGACATACTTCATTTTAACTCAGCAGCGACTTCGGGTATCTAGATAGGGAGCCTTTTGCCTAGATCCCCAATGTGTTGGCTGCAGGTACTAGATGCCAGCTGACAATGTAAACTAGATTCATATCTCAGTGTAACTAGCAGAAAAATTGGTTGGCATCTGTCTGTCTTGGGAGACAATAGAGGAGGAGCAGAAAAATTACGTACCACTTCATTAAACTTTACTTTGTTTCTTAGGAACTATAGAGTCAGTGCTAGAGTGTCAGATCTGACTGCAGGTCTTGTGGCCAAAAAGAGAGGTTTTACTGCTGCCTAATCTTGTATCCAAAGTCAGCTCGTTTAAAGTGTTTTTGTAAACTTGCATAAGCATTAGTTGTCAACTGCCACCGCAGCAAATAAGCCTTAACACTCAATAATACTTTTCTTACCGTCTGCTAAGCATTGGGGTTGGGGGCACTTCAGTTCCTCCTATTAAAGCAAAATATCCATTTACCAGTAGCATCAAAGTGTGCAGCATCAAACCCACAGACACATTAATATATCAAGTATTTGTAAAATGCTATATCAAGCCTATTGATTTATTACATAAAGTATTTTTAAGCATTTACATGACTTGAGTTACCCAAGCTACTACAGTGTGACTCTGGCCAAACCATGTGCCTTCTATGCAGACCTCAAAAGAAGAGGATGTGAAACTGCCTGTTCCCATTTGTTAAAACTTAATTTGAGCACATGAACCAAACAGCTTAAAAGATAGCAGGACCTTGTGAGAAGCCAATCATGGAAATACGGTATATGCTAGTGAGAAGTTTCCAGTTTCTCATGCAAATGAAAAGTAATGTGGCTCTAAGAGTGGAAATCAACATAGTGTTCATAGGCCTGCACACAGGGTACAATTTTGCTCACAGAAACACTATCAAAGCTTCTGGAAATTTTAGCTCTCTGTGAGTGTTTAGGCTGTGTTAGGAAAAGGAAAAATGTTGATTGCATCCAAACAAATCTCAGTTCTAATTGCTGCTCCTTAAGATGAAATATATCTACTTAGTTCAAATACTACCTACGTTAACTTGTATAACTTTGCAACACGCTTTTGTATTTCCCTAATGTGTCAACAGAAAACCTACAGTTTCCATTATCACAGCGTTTTAGCCTAATAGAACCAAGGAAACAAACTTTATTGGTAACTCTTCATGTCATACAGAGGAAAAATCCATGTATCTCCCTCCTGTTCATTATATGTAAGTGATTATTAATGGTTTAGTAATTCATTTGTGTATGGATTTTAAGTGGATTACAAATCCCAGTGACGACTTTGCCTCCATATCTACTGAAATGACACTGTCACAGGACCAAACAACATTGGAAGCTCATTCATCTGTACATTTTCTAATGGGATATCTGACTGCCTTCTGCGTTTTATTAAGGACAAACCAGACTGTCTACGCAAGAAAATTAATGAACACAGATCAGACAGAAATGATGGGAATATCCAGAACCAATGAGATACCATTTCAATCTTCCTAGCCATTCTTTAGCGAATTTAAAAGTTTTGTATGCCAACAAAGCAGTTTCACCAAAGTGTCAGGGTCAGTGCATGCACACCCCGCAAAAAAGAAATTTTTGAAAGAATTCAACATGTGTTATTCAAAAACAAAACAAAACACTGAGGCATCAATATAGTAATCATGGGGAAAATCAGAACTTTGTCAGACTTCCCTATACTACACTACACATTTCCCACCATTTTTCTGTCCTCTCTTTATTTCCACCTAAGCAAGGGGGCATCCTGCTAACACAGATTGAAATAATGTGAGGAAATCATCCTGTCGTGTGTCCCACATGACATACATGCAAGTACATTTTGATTTTATGGTTTAGAATTGCTTTTATTTTGAATTACATCTAGTGGGCACCATAATCTTGTCAGTGTTTAGGACCTCTAACAGTCTTAATCCAGCCCTGAGAATGGGGGGGACTGTGTGAAGCTGCAGAGTTGTAATACATCTTTTACACTATCAGACTTGGACTCATTTAAGACAGGGAGCAGCTAGCTGAACAGATAAGGCAACTGTCTTTAGGTGTTTATACTGTTCTGCTTTTCATTTTGCTGTTGCCAGTTCATAACTTACTGGGAATGGGTCACACCCATTTTGTCTGCACCTTTTAATCCTTTGAATTAACTTTATTTGCATCTGTGCTTTTTATAGTAATGATACACACCTGCATTGCTGGGCCTTCTGGCTCATTTTGTAATAACACTCTCTTCACTCACCCACCTGCTTCATCTGTCTGATTTGGAGGGCAAGTGCAAATGATAGTTTATTTTCTGATGCGCTGGCAAATCGTGCTTTGTCGTGAAAGGAAGAAAACTGGAGTGAACAAGAGAAGGAAGGAGAGAGCCTGAGACCACATTAAATGTCAAACTCTAGTATGGCATTACATGTGAACCAAGCCTTTGTCTTTCATGCTATAACTGAAATACATTTCTCTGGTTAAATTTAAACCTAATAACTGCAGTCAAAAACAAGCATATTTGGTCTCACAGGTGGGCCATCAGAATGCAGATACAGTCATAGGTTCCTTTCAGATGCTAACAACGGCAAGCCAGGATTTACTGGATTTCTGTACAAGACTGTTCACTTGTAAAATTGTTACAAGCAACTATTAACTTTCCTACTGCAGTAACTTGCCATACTTGGTCCTTCCACGCCACACATAATAGAAACACTACAGCATGGCAATGCATTGCAGTAACACCTTTTTGCTAGCAGATGCTGTGATGTTAATGGTTCCCTCTTATTCCCTAGTAGTTGTAACAGCTAGGCAAGGAAATACATGGATCTGAAAATGCAGAGCTTTAAAACGAATATTGTGCCTCAGAGGTTCCTATTACTTATGTACTCCTACAACCTATAGCAGAAGGCCAAAGGGAGAGTGGGTTTGTGGATGATTGCTAGTCACGAAAATTTTGGTTCCTGTGACCCAGCCCTCCTTTGACTAAGGCCAGCTTCCTCATTTCCATATTACAAACAGAAAGCAAGAGGGGGAAGTGTTGGTGGCTGCCCTTTGACCAGGGCGGGCTATCTTAAATAAAAGCATCTTACATCATTGAGTTAAATAACCAGGGGGAAATCATGTTTAAGCCACTTATTTAAATCAAGTTCCCCATTTTCAGATCCACCTAGTTCAGGTCTAGCTTTTATAAGGTCAACACTGAAAGGTGAGCAGGGAGTACACTGTGGTGTGATTGTACAAATGCATAAGGTACATCGCACAGAAAGCGTATTGTTCCAAGAGAACAGTGTCCATTCATAGAATTGTAGAGTTGGAAGATACCCCCCAAGGGTCATCTTGTCCAACTCCCTGCAATGCAGGAATCTCAACTAAAGCATCCATGGCAGATGGCCATCCAAACTCTGCTTAAAAACCTCCAGTGAAGCAGAGCCCACCACCTCCCAAGAAAGTGCGTTCCACTGTAGAACAACTACTGTCAGAAAATTCTTCCTGGTGTTTAGCTGGAATCTTCTTTCTTTTAACTTGACTCAATTGGTTCAGGTCCTAGCCTCCAGAGCAGGAGAAAACAAGCTTTCTTCATGTGACAGCCCTTGAGATGGTTGAAGATTGCTATCATATCTCCTCTCAGTCTCCTCCTTACCAGGCTAAACATACCCAGCAGCAGTTTGACTTCAGCCCCAGAGGCACACTCCATGGTCTCTCAACAACAAATGTCCATTAAATACTTGCTTAGGAAATGTATGCAGGAACCAGCTCCAGGAATGGAGACAAGGTCTCCATATGGGAGCAGGAATCTTCTGTACATAGGAAACGGGACCCCAACGTGGGCTATTTATTTCATTTGTACCTCACTTTTTCTCCAGTGGGCTCAAGGTAGTAGATATGCCCCCCTTGCATTTTATTCTCACAACAGTTCTATAAGGAAGGTTAGTCTGAGACTCTTCCATTGGTCCAGGATTGCCTAGGAAGCTTCATTGTCTGAGTGAAGATTTGACTCTAGGACTCCAAAGTCTAAGACTCTAACCAGTACGCTACACTAGCTCTCCGATGCCTACTGTAACAGGTAGTGCCGGTGGCACAAGGATCCAGCTCTAGGGTCAGGGAATATGAAAACCCCCTCCTGCAATCATTGACACACCCCAGGTGGGTGTTGTTGTTGTTGTAATAAAAGCGAGCTGTAAGTGTTCTTCTTTCTTGCTTATTTCATCACATTCCGACCATCTTGACCTCCCACCCAGGGGCGGAGGAAGGGGGTGCGTTGGGTGCAGTCCACCCTCGGTGTCACCACTGAGGGGGGGTGACAAAATGCCGGTCGGCACTCACCGCTGGGCCTGCAGCGTGCCCGAGCCACACCTCAGTGGCTTGGGCGTGTGTAGGCTCCATGCTGCCCAAAAGGTCCGTCCGCTGCCTCCCCCCCACAGCTGTAGGGTGGTTAAGTGGGAGGAGGCATGCAGACTCTGGAGGCCCTGCGGTGCGCCCCACCCCTATGGGCAGCTTCCCCTTCCCTGGGTGCGCCACCCCAGGCGCCCAAGCGGTTTCCTCCACCGCTGCACCCACCCCCAGCCTCAAGAAGAATTGAAAGGCCCCTGCCTCTAATTTGAAGTTGTGGGGGGTGGGGGGTACTGCATTTTAGCCCACTGCCACATTGTGGATTGAGATGTAGAGCAGATCGATTGATCTGAGTGCATCGTCCCTGAGTATGACTTACCTGGTTGTCACCCTATGTAAAGAAGGGCTTCCCCCATTTACTAATCTGTGTCTGCTCTCCAGTACTCCTCAACTGCTAGGGCGGGTCTGCCCCCTTTATACCCATACATACGCTTCAGGTTACATACGCTTCAGGCTACAGACTCTGCTAACCCAGAAATAGTACCTCAGGTTAAGAACTTTGCTTCAGGATGAGAACAGAAATCGGGCTCCAGCAGCACGGCGGCACCAGGAGGCCCCCATTAGCGAAAGTGGTCTTCAGGTTATGAACAGTTTCAGGTTAAGAATGGACCTCCAGAACGAATTAAGTACTTAACCCGAGGTACCAGTGTATATCTATATATCTATAGCCCCTTTGTTGGACAGTTCTTACTGTGGAGCCATTCACTTTCACTAATGAGCAAGATGGATATGCCTGATTCTCCCCACCCCCATATAATTAGTTATTAAGATGCAGGTTCAATACATGGCGAAAGTGAAGATAAAACACAGCTTTATGCTTTTTTGTTATGCAGGGTGATATCCTGTACCCACTCCTGGCTATACCCAGCCTGCTCTGTGAATTAATCAGTTGTCGTTTGCAGAGCTACACTAGCAGCAAGCTTATCAATATTAATTCAGTTGGGCTGAGATGGGGAGGAGGAGGGATTTTAGTATGACCTTTCCAAGCCCATGCTGGCTCAGACGGTCAAAAAGCAGCTGAGGAGAGAGAAGCAGGGCAGGTAATGGCATGTGGCTTTAGTATCTTTTCTGCCATCGTAATCCAAAACAGCAATAAAATCATATCACTTTTCACAGTCAGTATGAAAGAGCATATTGTGTTGGTAATCTTTGGGCTGGATTAATCCCTGGCTGAAACACCCTCACCCTCAGGGTGTGTTGTGTGTGTCCTCTGTTTCTGTAAGAGAAAACCACCGGCAACCAGCACAAAGGAAGCTGAAATAGGTGAAGTGTTTAATGGCAGAATGTTTATTTAATCAAAATCATTCTGCATGAAGTGCGGTGAGCAGTGAAGAGGGTGAGAGGGAACAAAGCCATCCACATCTGTTATTCTATTGTTGAGCACAATTGTTCACAGTAGCTAATTCAGACGTTTGCTTTGTCGTCGTATTCTGTTAGAAAGGAACTGGGGTGTTCTGATCTCATTACAAATGATATCCCTTGAATAGGTTTGTAAAATTGTTGTTGATTGCTAAAGGATATTCTAGAAAATAATTAAGGATGTCAGAAATCTGATTGCTGTGCATTAGCACTGTGCTTTTTCATTTTCATTTTTTTTATTTGTTTGCTCCAAGATGAAATACAATAGCTTTCTGCCCTTATTTATTGTTTTCTGTTGGTGCCTAAATGCATAAATAATTTCTGGCATCTTGTGATGCAAAACCTGTGATGCATGCTGGATTTAACAAAGAAAAACTGATCCAGATTTTTTTTTTATAATGTGTTATGTGTGGTTTGTAATGTGCACTTCACTAACGAAGCTGAGGGTGTGTTTCTCCTTTCTTTGTCAGGATCCATCATGTCTGACAAACCAGATTTTGCAGAAATCGAAACATTTGACAAAACCAAACTGAAAAAAACAGAAACCAGAGAAAAAAATCCACTGCCCACCAAGGAAAGTAAGTAAATCTAATTCAGCCTGGATGTACAATTAATAATTTGCTCAATGTGCATAATAAATAAATACTCAGAGAGCCAATAGTCCTAGTTCCTCAGGAATAACACTTTTAAGTAATTATTAATTTGGATTTGTTATCTGCATGCACTTAGCTATTATTTATATTGGCCAATTAAATTAGTTATTGTGGCTTTTAAACTGTGTGCACTGTTTGCTAAAGGAGATAATATAACATGGACTTTGTGCAAGTTATTTTGCCGGTATGTCCAGAAGCATGATAATTATATAGATTTCAAATCTAAAGTTTCCTTTAATAAATCACCATAGAGGCAGACATGTTGTACAATTACAGCATGCCCACACAAAGGATGCTGTGAAATTATATAGCCTGACAGCTTTGTGTCGATAAAACTTACACCAGTATTCCACTACAATAAATCTGCCAGTTTTTCAAGTGATACAAAACTCTTTTATTTTTGTATTTAATAAACAGTACACCATTTAATAAAAAGTACATCTTATTACTATATGAGACAATTACACTCCAAGGTTGCTTAGTGCTGCCCTCTTCCGGATTGTATCTACATCTACTGTATAGTACTTGATGAAGTAAACTCCTGCCGACATTTATGCCGCAATCAGTTTTTTAGGTGGTGCAAGACTGTTTGTTGTTGTTGCTGCTGCTCTTTGAGAATTTAACAAATGTAGAATTAATCAGGTTATATATTATCCCTGTTTCACTAGTGTAAAAATCAGAGTTTTAATTTTGTTCTGTAGCAGTAGTCAGCAAAAGGATTAAACCCCAGGCCTTCAGAGCTGCTTGCATGACATTTAGGAGAAAGCTGATCTAATCTCTCCTTAGTATATGAGGCTTTTAAAAAAAGGCATTTGATATAGATTGCTGGCTCATCTGTTGGTAAGAATGTCTCTCTAGCCATTCAGTTTGTGAGACAGCCAGTGCTTTTTTTCTGGGGGTACGCATACCCTTAAACATTTTGTGAATCTAACTTTGGCCTGATTGAGGGACAGTATTTCAATATGAGTAGGAAAATGAGAGTGCCCCTAAACATTTTTTTTAGGGGGGGGATCAATGGATACAGGCATAGACCCTTGTGCCCAATACTATTTTGGGGGAAGTTGCTATAATTCTTAAGGACAGACCTGCACTGGATCTACCCTTTACAGCAGGGTAGGGGAACCTGTGACAACATGGTGCTTTCTAGACATTGTTGGACTACAGCTCCCATCACCCCTGATGGTTAGCCATCCTGGCTGTGGCCGACATACACACTTGACATTATATATGATGCATATTTATGTACTTCACAATGGAGAATATTAGGCCCTGGTTATTTATAACAGAGGCAAATAACAAGAGGTCTGACACGCCAGATTTTTGCAATGCTTGGAAACTACCACTAGCATAGCCCAGTGTAACATAAATCCTCACTGCATTGCCCACCTATAAGTAAGACCATCAGAGCAGGGACTTGGGGCTCAAGGCCAGCAGCCCAGTTAATACAGCAAGCTGGAGGGCTCGCCACATTTCAAATAGGCTAACATCAACCATCATTCTCTAAATGCATAGGCTTCTATTCCTGCAAAACTCACCGAGATTCCCAGCCACCCCCCATCCAGTAATATTTGATTCAGTAGAGATTGTACAGTTATTAATGACAGCAGTCTGCGGACAGAAAGGGCTTTAATTACACTTGTTTTGACAAATTGGTGATGAATAAGAGGTTATTCTTTGATAAGTGCTTAAAAAAAGCACAAGGGCTTTACAAGTGTCCAATTTTGGCAAACGAGATTTCTCTTGTTTTCTTGGCAGCCATTGAACAAGAAAAGAAAAGCAAAAACACACCCTGAAGTTGGACCAGAAGATATGGCCAATATATCCTGCTGTGGGGTTTTAAGTTCTAAGTTTTTTAACTTTGCTATTCATTGACTTGGCTCAGCTTTTCTTCTCCATTTTCAAAGCACTTTTTTTCCCTTTATTGGTGCAGCAGAGATTTTTTCAAGCAAATGCTCTGAAATCAATCAAATCTGATTTTTATAATTCCCCAAAGGGACTGCAATCCTGTGTCCAATGTACATATGACAATTTGTCAAAGATGTACACTTTCGCTGTCTGTCAATAGAAAATATTATTTTCATATAGTATCCTCTGTAGAACCTCACAATAAACCACTTTTATGTGTTATCCTTATTAAGTATTGAAATACGCTGGCACAAAAGAGTTCCACATCCAGAAAAGCCTATCTGTGAATGCTCTCAGAAATAAGATGTAACTATTGGGCCACAGTTAAATATCACATTTACAGGGAAATATCTCTTGTGGGAATGGATCATAAAAGATAAAATGAATTAAGGTTTGTTTATATAATCATTTATCAGAAAGTATAGTCACTGCATTATGATATCCATTGCCTTTTCTTTTTTTTACCAAAGTGAAACTTTGGTATGTCCCACATGGTCAGATTCCAACTTAAATATGAACCAGATGGCTTTGCCTTCCGATAAATAATAATAGAAGCTTAATTCATATTTTATTATTCTTTGTTACATGGTACATGAAAAACTTATTTTCTGATACCTTTTTTGACAAACCTCTACTTAGAAACCCTAGTATCAAAGGCCATTCAATGAAACTGAACGGTGAGAGATTGAGAGCAGACAAAAGGACGTACTCTATTTCTTCACAGGACACATCATTAAAACTTACGGAATTCAGTGCCAACATTTTAACAGCTTTAGCCACAAGAGGGAGGGGTAGAGCTTGCAGTACTAAATTGCTCCACAAGAGGGTAGTTAGCCATCATCATAATCGTCCAAGGTGTTTTCCAAACCACGTTTTAGGAATGGAAGAGAAAATATATACTGTTTCCAAACCTGGAGTGGAGATTGGATTCTTCTACGGGGTGGAGAATAAGGCCTGGTGGCCAAAAACTTCTGGCTGGCAGATTGTGACCTTTCTTTACTAAGGAGAGAGAGAGAGAGCGCATGCATGCATAGAATCTAGAAAGCACAAGCCACTTAAAAAGCAAATATTATTATCTGTAAAACAGTTAAAATAAGCCACATACATTCCGTGGCCTAACTTGTGCCATGTGGATGTGGAATTCCAGGGTTCTTACACATTCTGTTTAAAATGCGACAGCAATGATTCATCTGCACATAGCTCAAGAGCAACTGCTTTGCTTGCAGAATGCCCCAGGATTAATCTCTGGCATCTAGAAGCATGGCTGGGAAAGATCCAAGTTTAAAACTTTGGGAAGCCACTGCCAGGCAGTGTAGACCGGGTATCTTTAACTTTTTCAGATACAGTACCAACTTTTAACCTAAACACGAGTTCGAAGAGTTTTTAAAGTTAAACCTTTTACCATATACTTGCATAGTGGCAGCGCTGCTATTTCAAGCCACCTTGGATCAGGCTGCTACCTGATTTGTGTGTGTGTGTGTTTATGTTGTAAACCACTCTGTGATCCTTAGATGAAGGGCTTTATGGAAATTTAGTAAATAAATGCCCAGTTGTATAGACACTACTGAGCTAGATAAATAAGTGGTCTAACTTAGCTTCCTATGTTCCAAAGATACACTTCATCTAGGGTGGAATCTACAACATATAAAAACTGAATTTTTTTTTAAACAGCATTTTAAAAAATGAATTGAGTTTTCCATAAGGCTCACAATCGCTAACTAGTGTCACATTGTATATTGCACTTAAAACACACTTATTTGCAGCTGTATAGCTGAGTCCTAGGACTGGATTTAGGCAGTACAGTGGTACCTCGGGTTAAGTACTTAATTCGTTCCGGAGGTCCGTACTTAACCTGAAACTGTTCTTAACCTGAAGCACCACTTTATCTAATGGGGCCTCCTGCTGCCGCCGCACCGACAGCACGATTTCTGTTCTCATCCTGAAGCAAAGTTCTTAACCTGAAGCACTATTTCTGGGTTAGCGGAGTCTGTAACCTGAAGCATATGTAACCTGAAGCGTATGTAACCCGAGGTACCACTGTACATTTTTGGCGAAGTATTGAGCGTGCCATTGTCATTACGTTCACTTTTTAAAGCAAACATTATTAAATATAAAGCTACTGCCATGCTGAAAAGCCCACCCAACTTCCGATACTCACACAAGCTCATAGCAACAGTAGCATCCCTCCCCCCACCCCATAAACTGTCACAAAAAAGGCTTCTATGCACAAAAATTAAGTGTGGTGCTCTGTGAAAGTGGAAAACCACTCTAGAATATGTGTGTTCTTATACTGCTGCAGTCCTGTGCACTTTTACACAGGAGTTATGAAACACAAGGGGACTTGCTTCGGAACAGACAATCACAGGATCGTGCTGCTTCGTGTTTAGTTTTACTCCAGTGCCAAGAGGGTGGGTTCAAACATTTGTTTATTTTAGTTTAAGTATAAGACTTTTAGACTGCTTTTCACTAGGAGTCCCCAAAAGCAGTTTCCAGTAATAAGAAAAATATGAATTGAAACCAAGAACAGTTTAAAATCAGATCATGCAGTATAAGCAGTGCAAAACAGAGTTAATCAAAAGAGAGGCTAGAGAATTCTTCCAAAAGCTTGGGAGAACAGGTAGCTCTTGACTAGACTATGGAAGGACCTCCACACATCTAGGCAGGGACAGCGGGGGTGGGATGCAAATTCAGGATGCAATCATGTGGAGGCAAGGAAAATGTGTTCCACCTCTGCTCTGCTACAAGAAATGGGAGTACGTAATGGATTCTACCTGTTATTATACTGATTCATAGGTTACTTCCACTTCCAAGATGTAGTGATGGTCAAACAGAGTCATGTCACGAAGACATACAAAATAACTGGGACGGCTTTTTTCATTTGGTTCTCTAACCAGGGCTTTCTGCATATTATAAAAGATGAAGGTAAGTTGATGGCAGGAAGTAAGAGTAATGTCACACTTCACTTTTGAATTTCTCCTTTGGGGAGGGGAATACTTTTTAAAAGGTCAAGCTTTTTTAAAAAAATTAAACTATAAACCTTATTGATTAATTTCAAGGAGATAATATTAGAATCATAGAATTGTAGCGTTGGAAGGATCCTGAGGGTCATCTGGTTCAACCCGTGGGCGTAGTCAGGGGGGCAGGGGGACAGCTGCCCCTCCCCGGATCAAGTAAAACAATAGAAATACTTAACTAACTGACCAATCACATCAGTTCTGCCCCCCTAACAAAAATCCTGCCTATGCCCATGGTCCAACCCACTCCAATGCAGGAAGCTCAACATATGGTTCCCCATCCAATTTGAAACCATACCTGCTTAAGATTTTTGCAAATGCTCTAGTAGTTCTATTACTACACCACTAGGATGGTTATCAACACCCTTCTGCACCCTTTCCTGAAAATCATCTATAAATTAAGGCTGTTCTCAAGTTAGGAGAATATAAATTTCAGTCTTAGGCACACAACCACTCTTCCTCAGATGACCTGTGCAGATCAGTATTGCCCCTTCCCTACTTATTAAATAATCCATCTGATGACATGGGAGGGGCAATTTGTTCCCTTGCCTTCATAGGGCTGAACTCCACGGAGAGGTTTAAATCTCTAGGCTGAGTCCATCTCCACTATGGTAATTGTAATACAAATCGCCTTCTCCTCACTCATCAGATTGATTGATGAGGGAGGAGGGGGGCCATTTACATCATCAGGGTGTTGGACTGTGCCTACTTTTTTGCGTCTCTCACTAACAAAATTGGTGGGGTTTAGGGGGATCTTTAAAAAAAGAAGTGAGTGATGGGGCTGATTAGCAGCTGGGCTTCTGGTTAGCCATCACTGCAGCTGAAGGAATTTGGTAAATATAGTGCATATGATTTTTACAAGGAATTTCACACAGAAGTCACTGGGGTAGCAGCATTGCAGAGGAATGTGCCCAGATTTTATCAGTTAGGCCACTTATCTGCTTATTGCAACCTTCTCGAGAAAAGAGAGGATGTCCATTTTGGAAAAGCATAAAGGGGATATCTGCCAGTCAGTTGGTCAGATTTTTTTTGATTTTTTTGTAATAAAGGGGATGTCCTTCACATTGTCTAAAACAATAACATTCTTGGGTTTAATGTTAGTAGTGTCCTGCTAACATTACCTAGGTTGATGGCTATCTGACCCTAGGCTATAGACTGCCACCTATCAGACGCCCTACTATGATGAATGTTTAACATAATTCAATTTGCACACTAGATACGTCTTATCATAAAGCTTCAGTCCATCCCCAAAGGTTCAGCCCAAAGCTGCAAATTCCTGCTGATAACATTTCTATAGAAAGCTTCTTTGGGGACCTAAGACTGCTGGGACAAACAAAGATAAGTCATGTGTTACTCATGGTCACAGAACTAAAGGCATTTCATTGTACAGCAGGTATAATTGTGGAGAAAGACACATTCAGTTTCAATTTTTTGCATATGATGTATGGGAGATTTGAAGGATACTTGTTAGAAAGGAGACAGTAAGACTTCCACCTGCCCTATTAGCCTTGCCAGCTCTCCCAAACTCTGCATCTAAGAAGTAACTTCCCTTCCAATTGATTTAACACTGTAGTATTATAAACTGGGATAGGAGAGATAAAGATATCTCAAGTACCTCAACCGGTATTATAGCCTTGAGCTGCAGTTGCTGTTTGTGCCATCTGCAACAACCCTACTAGTACCAGGTCTGCTATTTGGACTGCAAGAGAGCAGTAACATAGGAGTCAGCAGTCAAAATCCACAGCATCTGTAAACACCTGGAATCTGGATGTCCTGGTGCCAATAAATTAATCACAGGAAAATACATTGGGAGTGGATGCAAATTTCTCAGATCAGAAGTCCAGCCTTTGGAAAGATATTTGAAAGTTCCAATGATTGTTTTGAACTCTGTTTTGACATAATGTTTTGAACTAGATATATATTCTGATAGGAGATGGGTGAAATATTTCATGCCACATATTTGCACACCTTACTTCTAGATCGGGGTGGAGGGCCTGTGGCCCTCCTTCCATAATGAACTACAGTTTGTATCATCCCCAGTAATTGGTCATGCTGGCAAGTGTGATAGAATCTAAGAATATCTGGAGGACCACCTTGCCCCTGTCTTGCATCCTCTGAGGCTTGGGTGTGGAGGGATTCCATTCATGAGATTGTCTACTAACAAGTTGTGTTTAAATGCCCTATTCAACAAAGCAATTTCATCTATAAACATCCAGCGGGAGTCTCTCAGTCCAAAGAAGCATCATACTAATTGAGAAGGAAATGTTCACTGTGGCAAAAGTCTACAGGAAGGGGGGCGGGGAGGAGAGCAGGTATAAGGCTCACTATTTATGTAAAATTAGGTTTCCAACATGTGTTTCAAGCTGGTGGTCTTCAGGGTCCATATAATTACGCATCATTAATAAAATTAATTACACCTCACCACTATATTTTGTGAACAAACTACAGTATATATATACACACAAAAAAACAACAACAATGGATAATGTTAAAATGATAGTACTGAATGTAGGGTTGATTACAGTGCAATTCTATAATATCTACCAAGGAAGTTCAGCAGGGACTCCTCTCAGGTAAGTGGATATGGGAACACATATTTAGTGCCTTTAAATGGGAAGATAGCACATTGCTCTTGAATGTCTTCAGATAGCCATCTCCAATTACTGTATATGTGACTACAAGTGGTTAAGTTGAAAACAAAACAGTGCGGGGAAATGAGTCATCCAAGAAACCTCCCCCACCCAGTTGTGAGTTTCTGTATACAGTACAAATAAAGTATATGGCATCACACATAGGGGATGTATTCTGGCCTCCCATGGAGAGCAATGCAGATGAACACAATAAAAAAAGGCCTTGTTATACGTCTTCACGGAAGGGGAGAGTCTTTCTAATTACCCAGGTGTTGTTGTTATTGTGGAGCTTTGCAATGTACGATCTGATGCCTGGGCAAGGGAGCAAAAGTTGGATTTTTTGGAGGCGTTCCCTCTCCCTATATATAATTTTCAAATGTTCCTCTCCACTTTTCACACATTTGCGCCATAGCGGAATAGTTGTAACTATCATTCTATTCAGTTTCTGCCAACTATCCCAACCGTATATCCCTGACACAGTGAGACTGCCATCTTGGACACACTTATCTGAGAGTAGCTCCTATTGGAATTATTTTGATTTTATGAGTAAACCTTGATAGAATGAGGTTTCTCATGGCTGCATGTAGTTTCATCATTTTTTCTTTTTTTATATAGTTTTTAAAATCGTTTGATTATAGGAAACAATTAATATTCCAAAATAGCATATACAATACAACATGAACACAACTAAACAGTATAGCTGCATATAACAATTCCTTATAACATCAAATCCAAGGTGCAGGTAAGGAGAAATATCTCTGTTATATTTTTGCATTTAGGCAATACAGTACAGGGGACTACCCTGTAAAACTTATTAGGTCCCAACTCCTGACTGCTGTTATACTTTCACCACTTTTTATTGACTTTTATTGATTTTTATTGTATTGTTGGGGACTCTAAAGCGGGAGTGCGGAACGTGTGGCCCGCCAAATGTGGAGGTTTCATTTGACTTAGAACAATACCATTATCATCCTAGTCAAAGGATGAGGAACCTGTGGTCCTCCAGATGTTGTTGGACTCCACTTTCAATCAACCCTATCCAGCATGGCCAATGGTCAGGGATTATGGGAGCTGTAGTTCAGCTACATCAGGAGGGCCTCTGGTGCTCTACCCCTGTCCTAGTCAGTAGGCTGCTTTTCAGTAGATATAGGGTTAGGTTTGCCCTGTTAAGAAGACAATTTCATAATCCTCTTGCCACCTTTTCCCTGGCAGAGAACTTCTGCTTTTTCAGTGCTGCACCACAGGAAGAAATTCAACAGTTGAAGCCTCCACTATTTCCCTCCATGGTAGGAAAAGCAACTCATTGCATTGCCCAACAACATTGTGAGAATGAGAGGTGGGCTCCCTCTTCACTACCAAAAACAAACTATCCTTTCCCTCCAAGGGCTTCCCATTGCTGCTAATCACTTCATCACCGTAGGGCTGTGAAAAGCCCAGATTGCAACTAGATTAATTTACCAAAAACAGTTTTTTTATCAGAGGAGTCAGCTACATTCCACTGAAAGTGTCTGACTGATGTTGAACAGTCTATGAAATGCAACCAGGACTGATGGGTTTCCAATGAAATCTGACACTCTGCAAAACTTACCTTGCTTCAGGCTATGAAGAATGTCGGCATTATTGCTAGTCTTCTCAGTTTATTACTGTTTATATATCGCCTTTCTTCTGCAATGGAAATCTAGGCAGCATACATGGTGTTTCCTGGTGGTCAACCATCCAGGTACTGATGAGACCCGAACATGCTGAGCTTCCTTGAATTCCTGGGTTCAGATTCTTACACAGCACTGGAGAATCATAGAATTGTAGAGTTGGAAGGGCCCCGAGGATCATCTAGTCCAACCCCCTGCAATGCAGGAATATTCAGTTGAACATGTGGCCCTTCTGATGCTGGGTACCACAATGGCCTTGGTGGATGTGCCTGATGGGAAATGGAGTCCAGCAACATATTGAGGGTCATAAGTTCTCAACCCTTGATGTAGACTGAGACTGAGTACTAAGATAGATGATCCAATGGGTCTGGATTTATCTACGGAAACTTCCTAGACACCTAATTTAGAAGTCTTAAGTCTTCATAAAGATATATCTTATCAGAATGCGCCTGCAGCTATGAATTTCTGACACAATTTACTATTCAAGTACTTAGTGATTAGGTAATTGTTTTTGGCAAAATGCAATGGACGAACACAAACAGAGCATAAAGATTAGATAGATAAGGATTTCAGACTTTTAAAACGATTTTTTTTTTTTGGAAGGTGCTAAATAATGACTTTTATGCGAAAACCCTTTTCAGGTTCGCCAGCCATGTTCCCATCAAGCTCTTTATTATAAACAGGCCCTTTCCCGGGCTCTCTGGAAGGAGAGCTATCTTCCCAGGATGTTAATGATTAAGAGAGTGACTCCAGCCAGAGTTTTGTCTTCCCTGCAGGAATACATTCACTCTGTGAAAGCTCTGGGCTCATTAAGAGGTATTTTGCATTCATTACATTCTCACTAGCCCACTGTTTTAATCCTCTGGTTGCAAATGTTTGTTTGCAGCTTTGCCAGACTGGCTCCAGGTTTCCCTTTCACATGATCTTGGGTGATGATAAGTTCCTTCTATTGCTTGCTAATAAACTTGGAGTCAAGGGGAAATTGTCTTTCAGAGGAAAGGAGCCCTGGGCCTGCCCTGACCATGTGGCTTATGCTGCAATATGGAACTGGCTACCAAAACATCTGGTGAAATGTTTCAGTGATGCCTTGTTTCATAGGCAAGGAATTTTACACTCTGTGTATGTGTATATGTATGTTTTCATATTTATACCCCGCCTTTCCTCCAAGAAGGTCAAGGTGGTATACATAGTTCCCCTCCTTCCCATTTTACCTCACAACAATCCTGTGAGGTAGGTTAAACTGAGAGATACTGACTGGCCCAAGGTCACCCAGTGAACTTCATGGCTGGTTTCATATTATGAGAAGTGGTGTCTTCTGTTTCACAAAAGTTGTACTTTTTTTTTTGCAGGGAGATTCCTTGAGAACAAGTTTAATTGCAGATACTTGAACCACTTTTTCTGGAGTTATTTAATGGAGTTTGGTTATGTTATTCCAGAGTAAATTGTTTTAGGAGTTCAGCCAAGTGGTACTAGTCCTGGGTTCATATCCCAGCTGTCATTAGCTCAGTTAGTGATCTTGGAAAAATAATTACCGGTATCATTTTTTCATCCATAAAGTGGGAATTAAAATCATCTGCCTCACAGAATGATTAAGAAAATAAACAGGTGAGTGAAATATTAATAGTTTTTAGAAATCAAATGAATATTGCCCTAACTATAGGATGGGCATTGCGTCTCATACAAATCATGTCTGATGGAAACTTAAGAACAGAGGTGAACTTTATCATAGTTATACTGGCATAGGGAGCCAAAAACGGGATTTATCCTGCAAAATACTCAGAAAAGCAGATTGTCGCTAAGCTTTTCACTAAATAGTCTTTCAGGAGTTAGATCCACTGAACAAAGGAACACTTGCTTCTGAGCAAACATGCATAGGCTTCCACTCTAAAATGAATTCCCCCCCAATGCCAAATGATGCTCCCACTCACAGCTTTCCATAGGCCCAGAAGGCAGTGTTCTGTGGCAGCTGGAAAGCTAATCTATTGCATGATGAGCTTAATAAATACTTTCCTTTTGCATATGCTATAGAAAAGTCAATTGACAATTCCTAGTCACTTCTGCTTTAGATGTTTGTATGCAAGGGAAGATTCCCTGAAATTGCCAGGGTCTCTATTCTGCTTGTCCAAAGTCAAGTTATAAAGAACGGATGGGCTTTTGTGCAAAAAAGTACAATCACCAGCTTTTATTTTCTGGAAGGAACCTGTTGCCTTAAGCTACTGCATGCTGAGGAGAAACTAATTGGGTAAAAGCAGGATTGCCAAAGTGCCTGGCCAAAGCTGGTACTGATACTTTTGAATGTTCTAAGCCTTAGAATCTGCTGCTGCTTGTTTTTGGGGTGTTTTTTTTTAAAAAAAATCCTAGCTGAAACCTCAAGTCTATGGCCAAATCCACAGCACATTAACTGTGGGATGGCTCCTGCAATGGCTATTGGGACTTCATTGGAATCATCAACCATTGTAGCCATTTTTCCCCCAGAGAGAGAAAAAATAAAAATAAAATAATAGATCCTGATTTTGGGGGAATGGCAGAAGAGATGGTGGTGAGAGACCTTGGCTAAGGAAGGGGAGGTGTTTGTTTGTTTTAAAAGAGAAAGCAAGTGCACTTCAGCTAAAGTCAAAAGCCCCCTTAATTGAATTAAAAGTTCTCTATTGTTAGGCAAGTTTGCCCTTCTTCAGAATCACTACAGTGATTCAGATGGCAACTGCCTCCCGGCCTTTTGAAGTGCACCATCAGGCGGTTCCTTTGCTATCTTTTCAACCATTGGATCAGAAGCTCTTTTATCATTGGGCAGCAAATAGACGCCCTTCAGGAGCTCAGCTTATAAATAACTTGGGATTTTGGTTGCTGTAACTTTCTTTATTCTGGATTATCTCTCATTTGGCATAGTAAAAAGGATCTTAGCTGTGTGTCCTCCTCCCCGCTCCTATCTAGAAAAAGCCTATGTTGTCTGGGGGGGAAAGCTTTTGGATCTGCTAGTGGAATACAGAGTCACCATGAAGAGGGGCACCTTTGCCATCCTTACTGTTATTGGAATTTATGGAGAGATCTTCAGGATATCAGCATGGTAGGAGTTCAAGCCTCACTGCTACTCGGTGGTTGCCACCCACTTCAAAAAGGATGGCCTTAAAATTCTGTTCAATGAGGTGTTTTATTGTTGTTTTTCTGTCTTTCCCTCCTTCAGGTCCGTGAACAACTTTTTGATGTCAGGAACCCAGGTAATTTCCACCCACCCCTTTTCAGTATTGTGAGTTTAAATAGCTTTCAACCTAGTCTGCTTGAATGAAGTACCCACATCTGCTGATACAAAGGTACAATTCCTGGTGCAGAATGGAGGGGAACTGGATAGAAACTGGCTGTTTCAAGGATGTTGGGGGTGGGGGTTGAGAGAGAAAAAATAAACACCTCATGTCACCCCTTTTTTGGTCTGTTAAAGGCATATTTGACATATTCATCCAGTGTGGCTGCTGGTGCCGTACGTGGAATTGAAGAATGTAAGTACCAGTTTGCCTGGGAGCGTTGGAATTGTCCTGAGAGCACCCTGCAACTCTCCACTCACAATAAGCTGAGAAGTGGTAAGTGGATTTCCGCATGTCCTTTCCTACAGACAGGTCTGTCTGGGTTCTGTGGTGGGCAACTTCTAATGAGGAAATGTGGGCTTCTTGGCAATGTCAGGCTTTGATCCTGGAATGTGTGAAGAAATGAACAAACGAAAATGCTTTTGGAACACATTCAGAGTTGTTTTTTTTTAATGAATAAGTTATCATTTATTGCGTCTCGTCCCACCCTTCTTCTAAGGAGCTAAGGCTGGGGCACAAAGTTCTTTTGCACTCCTTTTACCTTTCACAACAACAACAGCCTTGTGAGGTAGGTAAGGCTGAAAGTGAGCAACTGGCCAAAGGTCACCTAGTGAGATTCGTGGCTGAGTGGAAATTGGAAGCAAAGTTTCTTCAGCTCTTGCCTCACAGTCCACCAACCTGGCTCTCATTTCCATCACCACTGAAGAACAGGGAAAGTGCTTCCAGATCAGGGGGTACTTTTTCCCTGAGAGACCTCTCCCCCTCAAAAAATAACATTGGATTTACCCAATAACATATCTATTTATTTTAAAGCTACAATCTCTCTTCCTATTTATCTTGTTTTTTAAAAAATGTCAAACTATCTTACAAAATGCAAATGGAAGGAATCCATCTCCAGAATAAGAAGAGCTAAACAAACAAAACAAAAACTGCTGTGTTTTTAGAGAATTTCTGATATTTTATTATTTATTGTTATTTCATTTTATAATACTGTTTTAAGGCCCATGTGTTTGCCGTCCTGGACTTCTTTAGGGGGTGGGTGGGATATAAATTCAATAATACATTAAATGGATGGGTGCAATTCTGTGCCAGTCTACTCAGAAGTACATCCCATTGAATTCAATGAGATGTACTCCAAGATAAGAAGGTATAGGATTGAAGCTTCAACAGTAATACAAGAATAAGTGAACTGCTGCGAGTACCAAATGCTCCAGAGGTACCCTTAGTTTTTATAAGAAATAGAGTATATGGTGTTTCAGCTCCAGCTTTCTGAAAATAATTACCAGCTGAAGTGCCTAGTACTGTATCTTCATATTTAGGTGGCTACATTTTTGTTTAAGAATGGTTTTATTGTTTTTAGTTTGAGTCTGTATCTTTGGTATTTTATCGTATTGCACACTGCTTCTGTAGCTTTTAACTATAAAGCGGTATATAAACCTGCAAAATAAATAAGTATTAGCAGCAGCAGCAGCTTTATTTCCCAAGAGCTTTTAGAACAGTACCTTCTCTGTACTTTCACCAAACAGGCATGCCAACTTTGTATGATATGACTCTAAAGCAAGATAGTTTACCAGCCCAATAGCTGGGATATAAAAGTTGTGATCATAGACTTTTTTGTTTCTGTGTTAAATGATTGTATATATTACATAATGCTCTGATGCTAGTGATACACAGACCATGTTTAGTGCAGAAAAATAAAACCTGACCTAATGCTTAGTTCCAAGTATTATATATGAATGCTCATGTTATAGTGGATTTATAAAAGGGATCTAGAGACCAGGAAAGAGTAGAAGAAGAAATGTAGGGGACAATTTTGACCTTTTCTTTTCTTTTCTCCTGATGCTGACTGGTCCTTCTTTCAGCTACCAGGGAGACGTCTTTTGTTCATGCCATTAGCTCAGCTGGCGTAATGTACACTCTTACCAGGAACTGCAGCATGGGAGAATTTGAAAACTGTGGCTGCGATAACTCAAGAAAGGGACATGCAGGTGAGACCTCATCTTGGTGGGCATAATTCTGGTATGAGTTCATTACGTATTGCTTTGCTTTTCACACTTCTAGGTGGCAGAATCTCCATCTCCATGCTTTGTGCCACCTGTTTTTGGTTGCTAAGTCTGGCTTCCCACTAGCATGAAAGATACAATTCAAACTAAATTATAATTAAATTATATTTCTTAGCCCCTACTTTCGTTCCGGTCCAAACCTGGCTACTACCCCTTTCCCTGTTTCTTCTGTGATACCTCCATGTGCTCAAACCCATTTCTGTTGGAAGATTCATACCAGAACAGTTTGCAAATTATGTTATTTTTGTCCCCCCAGGTGGAAAAGGATGGGTTTGGGGAGGCTGCAGTGACAATGTAGAATTTGGTGAAAGAATCGCCAAAAAATTTGTGGATGCTTTGGAGACAGCGCATGATACCAGAGCTTCAATGAATTTGCACAATAATGAAGCAGGGAGACTGGTAAGTGAGAAAATATGTAGTCTTCATTTGAAAAATACTTCTTTTAGAATGTGTAAATGGCCAAAGAGAAGAGTGACCTGAGAGTCGCCCCTTCAGGCTGTCCTTTTCTGAATAAGCTGACTGACTCACTGATTTCATGGACTGACTGGAAATAAGGGTTGCTCAACATTGAATGCGGGCAGAGTCACCTTATCAGGCCCTCAGGGTGAATTCCTGATTAATTTTACCTGCTTCTTATTTTCTGAAATAGAGATGGGGCATACCTAATTGTTTTAAGCAGGATGGAGAAACTACCACTTCAGTGGGTTACTTTAAAAACAAAACAAAAAACCCCTTACAATTGTATTCATTTGTATTCGGTTGCAACAAAACAAGAAAATAGCAGTAAAAATGTATTTATTTATTTCATAAAATTTATAGACCGCTTGATTGTAAAAAAAACACACACCCTTAGAGCAGTTGACAAAAACTAGAGAGAGTAAAATCAGGAAAAATGTACAACCCTACTTTAAAATATACCAAAGTTAAAATGCTAAAACAGATTAAAATCACCTCGTTTTCTAAGCGTCTCGATTGGTTTGTCTAAATAGGAATGTTTTTAGCAAGCACCGAAAAGAGTACAGGTCTCAATAGGCAGGGAGTTCCACACTGTAGGTGCTGCCACACCGAGCAGTCAAGTTCTTACAAATGTGGAACGGGTATTATGTGGCGCCTGTAGTAGTGCCAATTTGGCTGAAGCGGCATAGGTATGGTAAAGTGATCTCATAGGTAAACTGGTTCCAAGTTGTTAAGAGTTTTATATACCAAGAGCAGTGGGGTTTTTTCCCTAAAAAAAATGTTTAGGGGTACTCTCATTCTGCACTAACAGCAGATTCCAGATTAAGCACGAGGAGAGCCCCACATAGAGTGCATTGCAGTAATGCAGTAGAGTGCATCGAAGTAACCAATGCATGAACTATTGTGGCAAGGCTTTCCTGGTCCAAGAATGGCCATAGCTGTCGAACCAGCTGCAGTTGGTAAAAGGCACTTGTAGCCACAGAGGTTACCTGAGCCTCCAGTGACAGAGCTGGATACAGAAGCACCCTGAAACTGCTCCTTCAGGAGACAAGCAACCCCACCTAGGTTTGTGTTCTCAGACACAAAAAACAAAAATATACACTTTGCTTCTATCCATATGGCTACCAGACCCGTAATCAGCTGAGCAAAATTGTTGCCTGTTCTCTGTTAGATGGATCAGTTTTCTGTTCTAGGCTCTCTGGTCGTGGTTCAACCTAGTGGCTTGAACAAGTCTCATTATGACTCCTCCTCACTCTGTTTCAAAACAAGGGAATGTTTTTACACAAAGGTGATCAGTTCTGTTTGATTAGTGTGATGCAACTGAAATTTGAAAGAAGCAAATTTCTGGTTTAATCTCTGTTTATATATAACATGACTTTAAACAGTTTGTTCTGTTAAGCAAATTTTTGGGTGCAATGAAGATTAACCTCTTAGGCAAAGGACTAGCATCCTATACATTCCTGATAGAAACATGCCAGTCTTGAGTATCTTCTGGACTGAAAATTCAAGCTGCAATTCTATGCCTACTGGGAAGCAAGCCCCACTGAACACAGAGGAATGATTTTTGAGAAACATGCATTGGATTGGATGGCATGCTGCTTCCATCTAAAACAACTCCACATAATTAGGAAATTTAGCTTCTGGAAAATAAATACTGAATGAGAGTTGATAACTTTTAAGATGTAGGGAAGCTTCTGATAGCATTATTCCAAATATCGATCACCAAGGACCGGTGTTGGCATGCATCATGGTGAGCCCAACATGGTTATCACCGGTCACCAGCTTCCTTTATTAAGAAATAAATATTAAAAAGCTTTTAATGGCATGGTGCTAAACCCAGGGCTATAAATGGAAGCACATTTTGCTCAGGCTGCAGGTGCTATTAACTTAATTTCCCCAGAATTACTACTATATTGGGGTCTAGGGGCATTCTGGGTAAATTAAGCCCTGATGGGAAGGAAGACAGTTGCTGTTTATCATGCACTTTATACCTGCCTAAATTCCCTCTCCTACACAACTTTTTAAAGTGTGAGCAGTGCTTTTTTTCTAGAAAAATAGGTACTGGTACTCACTATGAAGTTCTTAAAGTAAGTGCTACACTTTTTAATAACAAAAAAGAGGTTTTGATACTGGGTGTGGCGCTGTGGGTTAAACCACAGAGCCTAGGGCTTGCCGATCAGAAGGCTGGTGGTTCGAATCCCCGCCACGGGGTGAGCTCCCGTTGCTTGGTCCCTGCTCCTGCCAACCTAGCAGTTCAAAAGCACGTCAGAGTGCAAGTAGATAAATAGGTACTGCTCCGGCGGGAAGGTAAACGGCGTTTCCGTGCGCTGCTCTGGTTTGCCAGAAGCAGCTTAGTCATGCTGGCCACATTACCCGGAAGCTGTACGCCGGCTCCCTCGGCCAATAAAGCGAGATGAGCGCCGCAACCCCAGAGTCGGTCATGACTGGACCTAATGGTCAGGGGTCCCTTTACCTTTACCCTTGAGTACCCCCGGGGGAAAAACCTGCACTGGGTCCTCTTTTGCTTGCAATAAGGTGTCCTCCAGATGCTTTTTGACTCCCCATTGGCCACAGTCAGGAATGATGGGAGCTAGAGTCTAGCAACATCCGAAGGGCACCTGTTGGCTTCTCCTACTAAGGGCAAATGAAGATAGCCACTATTACAGCTGCCTTGCCTGGTGCTTCTCTTCTCTGTGTCTCACCGAATGTTATGGCCCACATCCTCTCTCTGCCCCTTGCAATTTACATCAGTGTGGAACTGGGGGGTGGGCACAGAGGGCACATTTCTCAGGCTCATTCCAGACTTGGTGTTCTTAATTGTTCTCCTGTCTCTCACCCAAGGCTGTAAAAGCAACCATGAAGAAGGTTTGCAAATGTCACGGGGTCTCAGGGAGCTGCAGCATCCAAACCTGTTGGCTCCAGCTTTCAGATTTTCGAGAGACAGGAAATTACCTGAAGATCAAATACCGCCAGGCTCAGAAGCTGGAGACAGACAAGAAGAGAATGAGAGCGGCAAACAGTGCAGACAGTCGTGGAATCACACTCGAGACCTTCAGCACCCTGCTATCCGGTGAACTTGTCTACTTGGAGGACTCTTCTGACTACTGCGTCAAAAACATGACCTTGGGCCTCCGCGGCACCGAAGGACGAGAATGCCTGCAAGGCGGTACAAACCTGTCCCAGTGGGAGAAGCGGAGCTGTAAAAGGCTCTGTTCAGAGTGTGGGTTGAAAACGGAGGCTAGGCAGACAGAAACAGTCACCAACTGCAACTGCAAGTTCATCTGGTGTTGCACCGTGAAATGTGAACAGTGCAAAGAAGTAGTCACCAAACATTACTGCTCCAGACAAGACAGCTCTTCCTCCAATAACACTCGGAGGCGAAACAAAGGACGCAAACCAGCAGCTGTCTAACTACTACCTATGACAGCCTTCCAGCGAACTGTTAAATGATCACATTTCAGGCATACAGTATTTTTTTACTTGGAGTATCCAGAAAAGCTTTATATATTTGGACCATGCTTACCCAAGTCTCCCCCCCCCCTTTATTCTGGACACATCTTCAATTTGACCAATATTTGGAACAAAACTGGTACTCATTTAATGTATTTGTGCCGCTCCCCATCCCCCACAATAATATACTCCACGCCACCTCTGCTTCAGGTACCTATTTCCCTACTCTCACACAATTTAGAGCAATATTCTGCCCTATAAGGCATCCCAATATTATAAGGATCTGTGGTCCAGGCTGGAAACTGGGATTTTTGAGTGTTTTAACTTTTCTCTGGTCTGTAAGGGGGACAGGCTGTTGGAATAAGATAGCCACATATCCCATACCTTCCAGGAATCCACGGACATACACAAAAAATAATAAAACTAGGAACCCCAAGAACCAGGCCCCCCCAAGGAGGAAAGTGGCGCAATGGCTCTGGCAGGGACCTAGAGCCCTTCCCCACTTCCCAAAGCCCAGTGGGAGCTAAAGCCCGAGAGCCCTCACGCTGCCTTCCGAAAGCTGGGGATCACAGCTTTGCGTAGGTGGGGTGAGGGGAATATATAAATGGAGAGTGGGTTTCTGCTGCTCTCCATTTATTTATTTATTTATTTATCCCCCTCCCTCCCCAAACAAAGCTGCGATCGTGTAAGTTAAATAAGCGTAAGTTGCAAGTTACCTGTATGCTCCTTAAGCTTAGATTGCATACTTCCAAGGTTTTCCAGTTTACTTCTAAAGCTTCATAGTTAGCTGTAAGTGCACTTGTAGTCACTTTATTGTCTGTTTCTGGTTGAAAAGCCTTCCTTTTTAGAAGTACCAAATGCAAAGGTATGAAGTTCAGATTTCAATATTGTCAAAGCTAAATTTGTAGAAAAATTTTTCCCAGGTCCGGTTTACAAAGTCAGGGAAAATCATTGCCATTATTATGGAAATGCCTGATGGTTCTCCTGTGTGCAGCTTGGTTCCCATTAATATTTTCTCATGTGGTTGCAGTAGCACAGCTGCTTGTGTGTATGGAAATCTGAATGTGTGAACTGTTGCACAGTGATTTTCACACCCACCATGTGACGAGATCATGACGGAATTAAGTTATGCGGGATCTAAAGCAATAGGGACTTAATGGCCATTGTGTTTTCAGCAAGGTAGGTTTTTGCGTGTGCAAGTTATTGCATGTATACGATGTATGTATCTCACCCCTTCAGGCAACCCAGTTGCATGCAAATTCCACCAAAATAACACTTGATGGGGAAATATGGGTTGTCTGAATCCTTACAACATACACTATGTTTATTCTTGAATGTATCTAATGGAATTCACAGGAAAGTGTAAAGAAGCAGCTTCTTTGTAATGCTGCATGTGCATCGAATGTAAATATATATATATTTTTAGAATGTGAAACATATGCACTTTTTGATGTGAGGAATTTAGAGTCCCTAGTTCTCCCTGAGCTGGAGGTGGGGGGAATACATGTCTGGGCTAAACACTTCAGACTGCATGTGGTGCTGAGGCTCACATGGCAGAATATCTCTTCATACCAAAAACATTAATTTCATACAGAAAACTATCTCATAGAAAAAGGTTCACATGCAGACTTCGTTCAAATTACTAGTTTTCTGTATGCAAGCTGTGTTTCTGTATGGAGAAGTGTTCAGTCAGAGGAGCTCTTACCCAGGGTCTGAAGTGGTATGGCAAAGATCCAGTTTTACCACCTCACTTGAAAATAAGCCATATTACCCCCCCCCCCAGTTAGAATACACCTACTTTCCCCAACCACCACAAGGGTGGCTTTGTGGACAATATTATGCTTTACCTTCTATGCATTTTAAGTATACTTTTCACAAAGTCATTGCAGTGGATAACCAAGGAACTTTTAAATCTCTATTTCTAGACGAAATGGTGTGCTTTGGTGTCCTTTGCCACCTAAAATCACAATAAATTCAGCAGCTGTCAATTTGGTGCTCTTTGGTAGCTGATCAACATGTCCTGTTTTGAAGTGATTGTTATAAGACAAGTGAAGCTGAGGCTCATTTTGCATATTATTTTGCAATAAACCCTTTTTTAAATAAACCTAATGTTTTCTTTTTGATTTTTTTAAAAAAGCTGCTTAAAGCTTACTTTTAAAGTCTCTGTGTGTACCATGTGGAGATAGCTATATACCTATGCACACACAATAATGCTACCTTAAAAAGAAGAAGCGGGGTGAAGAGGGTTGCTATGGCTTGGATAGCAGCCCACAAAATTAAGCCAGACAGTGACTCTCAACAGTCCCTTTTTCTTTAGGATATAAATTGGGCAGAATACTAGATTGCAAACATTGGCCCAGTAAAAGTAAATTTCCCTTGTGCTTTAATTTGTCTATTGTCTAATGTTCTTCAAACAATGCCGGCTCCAATTGTGTTTGATGTGGTAAATATCAGGGCTTGTTGCAAAATTCTTTATTCTAAGGAACAAGATTAACCCTTTGAACTGGAGAGTATAAGTGAAAACTTGGAGGCAGTTGTGAATGTATCTGTGGGCTCCCTGCTGTTTGCTCCTATAAACAACCTGAAGACATGCATGCCTGGGAGGGCAAGAGGAGACACTGGCTTCAGCCAAATTGGCTTCTTGATTAAATGTGTATTCCAGATCTCTTCCTGGATTCAGCTGATTATTTTGGTGCCTCAAGAGGCTATTTCCCCCCACAAAGTTAGCCATTTGCCATGTTAGATATTTGATAGATGACCTGTGTCAAAGAACAGCTAACTTGGCTAGTTCTCAATTCCTACTTTCCCCCTTGGGATGCCAGATATTTTAAAGTAGGTCTGACCACATGGCTCCAAAGGATAATAACTAACGGGTGCCTGATGCTGGACAAGATGGGCCTTTGGCCTGATCCAGCAGGCTCTTCTTCTTTTCTGACAGCTGAACATGCTTTTCGACAATTTTGAGTCCAGCATTCTGTTGTCATTTCCATCAACCATCACCCTTGGTACACACTAAGGGTTACAGATGTTGACATGGCTAATGCTTCAAGCTTCAGAGACTGTATGATAAAAAGTATGCTGCTTACTTCCAAATGGCTGCATGTCGCAATTGAACTATATTGTGAGAGGGATACAACCTGAGCCTGTAACCACATTATTCAAGTGGAGACAGGAGGGCCACTGTGGGAACAGGAATAGCCCCAGCATTACAACTTCTCTCCTGGGTTTGACTGGGAATATGTGTGTGTTACGCAACTGCGTTTCCTCTGGCGGTTATTATCCCAAAGTAATTTTAAAGACCAACAGATGGATAATTATCATAGAATATAGTTTAGGTTACATTACTCTTCAAGGTTAAACCAATGGTGAAACCTAAATTTTCACCTTACTCATGTGAGCAGAGATGGGCAAACAGCAAATTAAAGGTTTATATTAATATCAGAGAAAGTGATTGCAGGAATATTTCCTCAGGATATCTGTGATATTTGCAAGTGATCATAGGGGACCATTGCCACTATTTGCTTAAGAAGGGCAGGCAAGCTGAATGTACCGTGGCAGCTGCCTCTTCTCTTATATCCCCAGCCATCTATATGGACCATTGGTTGGGGAAAACAGAAGTACACCTGATTAACAATCCACAATTTAACTAAAGAAACACCAGAAGATTAATTTCTGCTGTCAGCAAAGCATCCTGCTATATTCATTCTAGGTTTGTTCCTTGGTGCCAATGACACACTAATGATGGGTTGTTGCGTTGTTGTTTTTACCCATCTTAGAATAGAGACAGAAGAATGTATTTATTTTTACACCATTCATTTCCTGCATTTCCACATGGGGTTAGCAGTTGTATGAAGTGAATATTATGGCTCCCAATGCAAAGGCTCTCCATCACTCAAGCTGACATCTCCTCTCTTGAGGAGAATAAGTGACCTTTTCATATGCAGCTTAACTAGCCGGTCACACCACAACTAAATTGGGAAAAGCCATGGGTCACATCAATTCCTGGAGGCCTTAAAAACAAAAGTGAGAGGCTCTTTTCAACTTGCAAAAAAACAAAACAAAACAAAGAAAAACCTCCCTTAACATTACAAAGTTAGAGGGTTGTAATTGCCATTTCTGATAGCCTCTTTTCCAGCATGAGCAGAGGCAGGTGCACAACACAAAATGGTGGCTAGGGGGTAATTATCAGCTGTGCAGGATTTTCAAAGCAGTCCAATAAAAGTTTGATGATGCCCAGAATTAAACTCAAATGAGGATGTGGATGAGGGTTGACCAGATAGCTGAACTTAAAAGAAAGCGATATAAGAGTCCCTTTCAGAGGCATTTGAAAATATGCAGTGAAAACAGATGATGGAGGAATGGGATTTGGGTGCATTAGTTCTAGCTTCTGGGTCAACTTCAAAGGCAGCCCTACATAGAATGGATTGCAGTAAGCCAATCTGAAGGTTACCAGCGTGTGGATAGCAGTGGTCAGGCTATCCCAGTCCAAGAAATGGTCATAGCTGTCATATAAGCCAAATCACTCCTAGCCACTGAGGGCACCTGGACTTTTAGTGAGAGAGATCTATCCAAGTAATTAACCACTTAATGGGGCTTGGGAACCATCCCACTCCCAGAAGGCTTCTGTCCTGTCAGGATTCAGATTCAATTTGTTGGTTCTAATCTAATCTACCAATGAATCCAAGCACCAGGCCAGGGTTTGCACTGCCCCTTCCAGATCACTCGTTAAAGATAAACAGAGCTAGGTATCATCAACAAAAGGAAGACACGTTGCCGCAAGTCTCCCAATAACCACTCCTAATGATTCTATATAGATGATAAATAGCACTGGGGACAGTAGTACCCCTTGGCTCCCCACAGCACAACTGCCTGGGGTCCGAACTATAATCACCCAATGTTATTCTCTGAAATGGACTCTGGACTGGACTGGAACTAATACAAAACAGTGGCTTGAGCAAGTTCAGGAGGATACCTTGGTCAAGGATTTCAAAAGGTGCGGAGAGATCAAGTAAGAATAAGAGGGACACAGTCCTCCTGTCCTTCTCCTCATAAAAGTCATCCATCAGAGCAAGGAAGGTCAATTCCAGGTCCCTCCCTCCTCAAACACCTACTCCCAAGCACATGTTGTAAGATATAATTTCTTAGTTCTTAGTTCTTTCTTACTTTTCATAGGTGTGTCTTGAAGGCAGAGGGGCAGGGTAATGTGAGGAAATGGGTGAACATGTCTTGCATGCTATTGGACAGTCTAGGCTTTGGACCAAACTTGCATCAAGTAAGCTCTGCTTCTATGCATCACCAGATAACATACAGGAGTTTTTCTACGGTTCTTTCAAGATTCTTTCCTGCTTAATTCAACAACATAAAGCACTTGAAATTTGCACTGCTGGCAAATGAATATGGGCCTATTTACAATGGACATAATACTCCAGGCCAGCGATATTTGAATCCGGATTTCAAACATGACAAAGTTTGGAAGGAACAAATCAGATTCAAGGTAAATCTCCCCTGCTATCTTTTAAATGTGCAGCCATCAGCTGATGGGGTGTATGCTACCTTTCAGTGTACTTAATCAGGAGCAAGAAAGAGACCAAGAGAGATACTGTAGCTTTATCTCATTATATCACCAGAGAACCATCACAAATCACTGTATAATTCCTTCTCTGACAGTTGGAAGCACTAAATTGTGCCTCTGTTATCCAGAACTCCCTAAACTTACAAATACAGGCCAGAAACTTTAAAGAGAAAGATAGTGTAAATCATTCTAGAGGAGGTCTACAAAAATCTTAAGACTTCCTGGCCTGTAATAGTAATAATAATAATAAAGGGTCACTTAACAATGAGGAATCTAGTTTACAGCATCCTTCTGGGAGAGATTGCCAAAGATAAGGGTGGTGGTGGTGGTTATGGAATTTCCCTCAACTTTGGCAGCACTGACATAGAATCATAGAATCATAGAGTTGGAAGAGACCACAAGGGCCATCGAGTCCAACCCCCTGCCAAGCAGGAAACACCATCAGAGCACTCCTGACATATGGTTGTCAAGCCTCTGCTTAAAGACCTCCAAAGAAGGAGACTCCACCACACTCCTTGGCAGCAAATTCCACTGTCGAACAGCTCTTACTGTCAGGAAGTTCTTCCTAATGTTTAGGTGGATTCTTCTTTCTTGTAGTTTGGATCCATTGCTCCGTGTCCGCTTCTCTGGAGCAGCAGAAAACAACCTTTCTCCCTCCTCTATGTGACATCCTTTTATATATTTGAACATGGCTATCATATCACCCCTTAACCTCCTCTTCTCCAGGCTAAACATGCCCAGCTCCTTAGCCATTCCTCATAAGGCATCGTTTCCAGGCCTTTGACCATTTTGGTTGCCCTCCTCTGGACACGTTCCAGTTTGTCAGTGTCCTTCTTGAACTGTGGTGCCCAGAACTGGACACAGTACTCCAGGTGAGGTCTGACCAGAGCAGAATACAGTGGCACTATTACTTCCCTTGATCTAGATGCTATACTCCTATTGATGCAGCCCAGAATTGCATTGGCTGTTTAGCTGCCGCGTCACACGGCTGGCTCATGTCCAGTTTGTGGTCAACCAAGACTCCTAGATCCTTTTCACATGTACTGCTCTCAAGCCAGGTGTCACCCATCTTGTATTTGTGCCTCTCATTTTTTTGCCCAAGTGCAATACTTTACATTTCTCCCTGTTAAAATTCATCTTGTTTGTTTTGGCCCAGTTCTCTAATCTGTCAAGGTCGTTTTGAAGTGTGATCCTGTCCTCTGGGGTGTTAGCCACCCCTCCCAGTTTGGTGTCATCTGCAAATTTGATCAGGATGCCCTTGAGTCCATCATCCAAGTCGTTGTTAAAGATGTTGAATAAGACCGGGCCCAAGACAGAACCCTGTGGCACCCCACTAGTCACTCTTCTCCAGGATGAAGAGGAACCATTGATGAGCACCCTTTGGGTTCGGTCAGTCAGCCAGTTACAAATCCACTGAGTGGTAGCATAGTCAAGACCGCATTTTACCAGTTTCTTTACAAGAATATCATGGGGCACCTTGTCAAATGCCTTGCTGAAATCAAGGTAGGCTACATCCACTGCGTTCCCTTCATCTACCAGGCTTGTAACTCTGTCCAAAAACGAGATCAGGTTAGTCTGACATGACTTATTTTTCAGAAATCCATGCTGACTATTGGTGATCACAGCATTCCTTTCTAGGTGCTCACAGACTGTTTGCTTAATGATCTGCTCCAGAATCTTCCCTGGTATTGATGTCAGACTGACTGGGCGGTAATTATTTGGGTCCTCTCTTTTCCCCTTTTGAAAATAGGGACAACATTTGCCCTCCTCCAGTCTGCCGGGACTTCGCCTGTTCTCAAGGAATTCTCAAAGATGACTGCCAGTGGTTCTGAGATCACATCTGCCAGTTCTTTTAATATTCTTGGATGCAGTTCATCTGGCCCTGGAGACTTGAATACATCTAAACTAGCCAAGTATTCTTGTACTATCTCCTTAGTTATTCTGGGCTGTGTTTCCTTTGCTGAATCATTTGCTTCAAATTCTTCAGGTCGGGCATTGTTTTCTTTATCGGAGAAGACTGAGGCAAAGAAGGCATTGAGGAGTTCAGCCCTTTCTGTGTCCCCTGTTTGCATTTCACCATCTTCTCCTCTGAGTGACCCCACTGTTTCTTTGTTCTTCGTTTTGCTACGAACATACCCATAAAAGCCTTTTTTGTTGCTTTTAACCTCTCTAGCAAGCCTGAGTTCATTCTGTGCTTTAGCTTTTCTTTTTTTGGGGGGGGGGGCTTTTCAAAAATATTTATTGGTGCAAATGCATGCCACTCAGAATCTGAGCTTCTGGAAAAACCACTTGTTTTTGCCCGTCTTGTATCTCTCCTCAAATTTCACTTTGGCCTCCCGCCGGGCTTTACGTTTCAGCGCAGGGTCCCTAAAGACATCCTTGTTGACAACGGTCTTGTCAAGGGGAATATCAACGGAGTACCTGGTAGGCATCAAGTGGTTGTAATTGTAGACCTTCACAAAGGACTTGATCTTGGAACGCTTGGCAATCTTCTTCTTGCCCATGCTTGCTGTCACTTTGCGTGGGTAGCGATCGATGCCAGCCACCAGAGCGTGGCTGTAGGGGCGGTCAGACGTGCCATCATCAATATTCTTAACAATAACAGCTTTGCGTCCGGAGTAACGCCCAGCGAGGACAAGGACGACTTTCCCTGGTTTCATAAACTTGCCCATCTTGGAGCTGCAGCAGCGATGGCACCCACACCGGAAGAGGCTGCTTTAGCTTTTCTGACTTTGTGTCTACACGTGCTGGCTATTTGTTTGAATTCCTCTTTGGTGGTTTCCCCCCTTTTCCATTTTTTGTACAGATCCTTTTTTAATCTTAACTCAGTTAAAAGTTCTTTAACTGACAAAGATTAAAATCAGGAGGTAAAATGTTTTTAAAATAGAGCAATAATCCAGAGAGAGAGAGAGAGTGTGCGTGAGCTGGGATAGATTCAGAAAATACAAAGTACTCCACCTGTTGATGTTGAGCGCTCTCTAATTTTCATTTCCCCTTTGCTCCCATAGAATCCTCTTTTAAGGGATAGCTCTCACTGAGGCAGTCTGTATCTGGGTGGGCTGTACCACTTCAGACTCACTGCCTGTGGGAAGCTCCCACGTTCAAATTAGGAAAATCATCCCCCCTTGCAAAGTGGAATATCAAGAAGGGCTCTAGGTTAGATGAGTGCCTCACATGCTAGTTTTCTATCTAAAGCTTTATTCTGCATGAAGTACATTCAGGACACAGGCTTACCCCCTCAGTGAGAACTAGGCCTAGCCAGCCTTAAAGAGTGCAGAAAGCCCAGGCATTTCTGTTCCTTGTTGTTTTTTTTAAGACAATAGCCCTGTTCAGAGAGGGCGCAATTTTGATGGTGGTGGCCCCTTCTATAAACCCAGCAACCACATGCTTATGTGTTAACCATGGTTTACTTCTGCAGTGAGCAAATAGTCCAGTACAGTGGTACCTCTGGTTACAGACTCCGCTAACCCAGAAATAGTACCTCAGGTTAAGAACTTTGCTTCAGGATGAGAACAGGATGAGAGCAGCGGCAGCAGGAAGCCCCATTAGCTAAAGTGTTACCTCAGGTTAAGAACAGTTTCAGGTTAAGAACGGACCTCCAGAACAAATTAAGTTCTTAACCTGAGGTACCACTGTATTTGTAATTGTTCTTCTAACCCAGGCTTCCTCAACCTCAGCCCTTCAAATGTTTTGAGACTACAATTCCCATCATCCCTGACCACTGGTCCTGCTAGCTAGGGATCATGGGAGTTGTAGGTCAAAAAAACATCTGGAGGGCCGAGGTCAAGGAAGCCTGTTCTAAGCTGTTACTGAGTCCAGTTTTCTTAGCAGTCTGTTAGCATTATTTGGAACACATTATGCAGACTTTATTTTCAACAGAGCTTGGTTGATACCCACACAGTGCAGAAACAGGCTTCTCAGGATGGGCAATATGTTTCATTCAAATTAATTTCTTTATAAACAGCAGCAGCAGCAGCAGCAGCAACAACAACAACCATAAATTACTTGAAAACTATCAGACTGATTCTAAATGTATGACCCTGAAGAGCTATCATTTTATATGTGCATAGTGCCATAGGACATTAAATGAGAAGTTGCTTCCTCAGCCCTTTGCACTCCTTCAGATTTGAGATGATGGCACTATTCAAGGCAAGCAGTAAGGTGCCTGTTCACTATTTGCAACACAAAGCCATGCATGGTCAAAACTCTGTTGGCCATTTTCACATATTTACATAGAAAACCCTAGAGGAAAATATACCATGGGATACCCTAGTTTGGCATAACTCGTTAGGAAATGAATTAGCTTGCAATAACCTAACCAATTAGCAGGGTTACCAGACACAAATTAAAAAATAAGATTCCATGGCCTTGCTCCTGTGTTTTTTCACAACAACCTGACACACTGACATTTATCAGATTGCTTTGTCCACGGTTCCCTTTCCTCCGCAGGAGAGCAATGGCTGGCTGTTGTCTTATGAGTCTGGCAAATGGCCAACAGCATCTATTGCGCCAGAAGACAAGAGTGACATGCAGCAGGAACAATACAACTCTTACATGGGAACAACCCTTAAAGGTAAAGGGACCCCTGACCATTAGGTCCAGTCGTGGCCGACTCTGGGGTTGTTGCGCTCATCTCGCTTTACTGGCCGAGGGAGCCGGCGTACAGCTTCCGGGTCATGTGGCCAGCATGACTAAGCTGCTTCTGGCGAACCAGAGCAGCGCACGGAAACGCCGTTTACCTTCTTGCTGGAGCGGTACCTATTTATCTACTTGCACTTTGACGTGCTATCGCACTGCTAAGTTAGCAGGAGCAGGGACCGAGCAATGGGAGCTCACCCCGTCGCGGGGATTTGAACCGCCGACCTTCTGATTGGCAAGCCCTAGGCTCTGTGGTTTAACCCACAGTGCCACCCGCATCCCATGGGAACAACCCTTACATGGGAACAACTTTCAGAGTCATAGTAGTACAGCAAAAAAACAAGAAGTCCTGTAGCACCTTAAAGAGCAACACAGTTACATTCCACTTGATTAGATGCATTTTATATTTGCAGGAGAGTACTGGTAAGTTGAACTGAAATTGGTAGACCTCACTTTCAAGTAAACAGGGACACAAAGATAAGTGCCAAGGTCTGGGCACTTGACCTGGTTATGCAACTGTCCATTGGCACTGAGCTTGGAAAGGGCAGTTATAGGCAAGTATTAGAATCTGAATATAGTTATTATTCTATTTCGTACAGAATATAAAATGCTGTGTTTTTTTCTTTGCTATCTAAACATGTAATACATTTTATATTTACAAGACACTTAATCCAACAAGAGGACAGAAAATTGGCTGAGAAACAAAAAGAGCAAATATATTATCTGAAGAGCAAAAATATTATCTGATCTGATAACAAAAAAACCAAGTGAGAGCCATAGCTTGATGGCAAATTGATTAGCGAAAATCTTATGCAAATTTTGAATTCTAGCCAAGCCCCGTCCTAGTCTTGATTTATTCCAATTCAGAATAAGGAACATCCATGTACATTCTTTGGGGATTCTGAAATTCTAGAACATGGCATTTTTAAAATAAAAGACTCCCACACAAAACATAGGATATCAGGGCACCTTAGAGAAAATGAATTGGTTTTTAACAGAATAAGCTGACCCTCAACATTTTTGCATAATGCAAGCCTATAAATTTGAAATAATTATCTGCCAAAATGTTCCTTCTTATAAGGATGTATATATAAGAATAGCCCTGGTATATGCAGGCCTTACTCATTTACATTTCAGTAGAAACCGATGGCATTTTCTCCATCATGCAAGGATTTGGGGGTACTATAGTTGGCCTTATGTCCACGTAAGCACATAAACTGGCTCCAATCCTATGCATACTTGCCTGAAGGTATGCCCCAATGAACACAGCGTAGCTTATTTCTGTATAAGCGTGCACTGTACTGCATTAGTAAAATGCCAGCAGAAATCGTTCTACAGTTGCGCTTAGTTTTATTCGTGGCCATAGTGAAAGAGACATTGCAAAACTAGTTTTCAGGCAGGTGCTGTGAAGAGCAGAAACAGGCCTTCCACATTTTAGCAGCTCGGTTTGTGGCTATGGCTTTTCACAGTTCGTTTGCTAAATTAGGTATTATAAAAATAGCTGGTGTGATTGAGAGGATGTGTTAATCTCCGTGGCTTTACCATTTCCCTGTAATGACTGTTTTATGTTGGGTACATGGTAAAATGTTTTATGGTGCAGGCAGGAGATTTATCCACATACATATGCTAAAGGTTCCTTGGAATGTTCTCACATAGAGAGCAAAGAGCCCTCAGCACAGAAACGAGATGCATTCAAAATATTGCTGTCATTTGTACTCCCAACACAAATGCCACCCAGCAAGAAGAAACTATTACAATCCATAAACCAATGTCAACTAGCCCAAATAAATGCAGCTTCTAGCTTCTGTTTATTTACTTATACAAATTATATTGCTCCTCCCTCCTTCCGTTAAGGACAGAATAGTAAACATATTGTGGCAAATAACTCTCTCTCCCCACAAAATGCATCACTAGAAATATATTTAAAATAAAACAAAAAGGAATGCACTATAGAATCATAGATTTGCAGAGTTGGAAGGGATTCTGAGGGTCATCTAGTCCAACCCCCTGCAATCTCAACTAGATTATCCATGACAGATGGCCATCCAACCTCTGCTTAAAAACCTCCAAGGAAGAAGATTCCATCACCTTTCGTGGGAGTCTGTTCCACTGTCAAGCAGCTCTTATTGCCAGAAAGTTCTTCCTAATGTTTAGTTGGAATCTCGTTTCTTGTAACTTGAATCCACCAGTAGTTTTCCTACCATTTTCTAATAGTCAACAACTGAATTCACTATATAGCAGATGCATCCTATTTCTATTCAGATTGATGGCATTTTTGATGCTGACCTCAATGGGATGTGATTGACACTTTGCAGGAATGGTGCTTTTCTTTCATTGCTTCTGTGCTTACTCAAAACTCAAATGGTTTGGGTAATATCTTTGATTTGAGGAGTTTATAACTGAAGTTACTCAAGCCAAACATTTATGTGACACAAGACATAATCTGAACTACATATGAAGTTCTACATATTTACTGAGAGTTCCACTGAGTACATTGGGGTTTTACGCCACATGTTTACAGGAGTACATCCTTAACAGTGCAATCTACTAAGAAGCAAGACCCACTGAATGTAATGGGATTACTTCCAGGTAAGTGAAGACCAGATTACAGCCTATTTTTTTCTGTGTCCAATGCAGTAACCCTTCATGAAATTACTACCCCGGGAGATCTTTTTTACACTGCCATTCTGCAAGGGGGAAATTCATGCCATAAAACTGGAGACATTTTCAACCCTTTAATGTTCTCATGATGAGAGGTATCATTCCCCCATTTGTCTGCAAGCTGTTCTTCCCGCCCACTTGCCATTAACTGCTGCCACAATGCTGAGAAGAGCAACAAGGGACTTCCCTCTGAGTTGATGGTAGTGTCACTCTATCATGAGCTAGCAGGGGGTAGTACCACAGCAATTTGGTCAGCAGCCATTCTCTAGGACGCAATACTTATCAATCACGTCTCTGATGTGTTTGGGACTCCAGGGGGCTGGATACTTTTCTGGTCAAGAGGCAGTAACAGAGAGCTCAGAACACTGGAGGA